TCAAGTTCCTAGTTTCGTTTTGACCGAAGCTGCAGGAGTCATTCGACACGTGGCTGCGAAATTCTACCAGGTTAATAGCCAATCACTTGGTTCCATTTTTTTTAAAGAATCCAATTAATAAAGGTGCGCATATTTTAAAGACAGAAGTAAAATAATGCTTCTTTGATGGAGAACCGGGAAATTAAATCTTTCCCACATTTGCTGTTGAAATAAAAATATATAAAAAACAAATCCTTCGAAGGATATTTAAGAATTAAGTCTCATGTACTGATTTACATGGCATGACGTTTATGTGTGGATGTAAAAATTGCAAATTTAATTTTTTTTAACGGTGAAATCTCATCATAGTGAACTCGACATACTTCAAGTTTGAAATTATTTTTATTACAATCTATAATTATGCTAATAAGTCAATGTTGACAATATCTTCAGGATAATATTATTGGAATCATCAGGGATTTCAATCATCATAAGAAAATAAATTTCATGATTATATAATATAGTTGGAGGTAGTCTCTGATGTTGTATATGGAATTTTTTCATGACTATTTTTATATGTATTATGTATAATTCAATGTAATAAATGCAATTATTCATTACATGGAATCTTCCAACTGAATTAGTACCTTTTAAATTATATACTGTAATCTATATCGTCTAAGGCGGATATGGTTGTAAAAAGTATCAAAGATTTTTTGAAAAAATAAAAATTGATTTCCCAATAACTAAATTATTCCCTTTTAAATCATACACCGTATTGAAAATATATATTGAAAAAAATATATATTATACAGTATTGTCTGAATATATGGTTGGAAAAAGTATGAAAGTTTAAAAATATATATTGCGCGTTTTTTTCATGATTTGCATTTTATTTTTTACAATGTAGTATAAATAATGTTTTCTTAAAAAAATGTATTGTGACAAAAACATTTTTTGAAAAAGCTAGTGATTTGTCAAAAACATCTATTTTTTCAGGAACTGAGAACAACAGAAGAAGCCAGTTTTGTTTTCTCTCCATTGAGTATCACATCTCAGTTATGCTTGTTAGCTGAAGGGAGCAAAGGAGAAGCTCAGAATTCTGTTCTGAGTATTCTAAACCTCAGCTTGAGAGAGGTTAAAAGCCTCCATGTGGGATTCAATGACCTTCAGGATGCCCTTGAGGTTTGCTTGCCGATTTTCAAAATTTATCTGATCTTGTATGTTTTAAACCTGCTCATTATCACAAAAAACGTACTTTTCATTCTAACAGTTGAAATCAACCTTTTTTTCGGAGTTTTAAGGTAATAAGCGTGAGTTTCATCAATGATTGAGCAAAATCTAATACAATTGGACCTCTCTGACATAAGTCAAACTCAGATTGACACGAAAATGTAGCTTGTTTGAAAACTGAAATTTTTTAAATACTTTACTGTATATTGCTTCATGGATGAAATGCTGTACTATGCCTATCTAGAGAAAGAAAATGATTTCAGTTCAAATTTGAACAATTCAAATTCTCCAGGAAACTGATGACTGGGTTTATTCTGGAGTTAACATTTTGGCTGCCGACGAATCCGCCAATTTGGATTCAGTCTTTCTCAACAAGGCCAACAAATTTTACAGTACATCAACATTAAAGACGAATTTCAGTGACGAGGACAGAACCATGGAAAACATCAGCACGACCCTGGAAATACTTGGCAAAAAAAGATGGATTCAGTCTTTCTCAACAAGGCCAACAAATTTTACAGTACATCAACATTAAAGACGAATTTCAGTGACGAGGACAGAACCATGGAAAACATCAGCACGACCCTGGAATATGAACCGTTTTTTTCTTAAGGAAGGGGTCGTTGATTACCACTAATAATAACATAAAAATAGACAACGTCCAATACGGTTTTTACACGAAGTCGTTTTTTTCTCTGTTAATTTTGACTAAAAAGTAACATTCTATGTAACTGTATGAAAAAAGTTTTTCATAGTTTTCCTTCATCAGAGTTCTGCATTGCTTTTCCTCTTCCTTGGATGTTTTTCTCACATTTTTAGAGATTTCAAAGTCAATATTGTATTATTTTGAAATATTATTTGAAGGTAAGCCTAATCATAACATGAGGTGGAGGGAAGGAGTCTGCTGAATTTTCCATGTGCTTTTATACAGTATTAAGAAAGGAAGATTCATGGTTGCACTTTTTTCACTTCTATTCCATTTTTTATGCACCCTGTAGATATTTCCTCCATTTGCATTTTCAGAAACAGAGAGCTGTGTTAGTGTGTCACAAATGTGGTTTCTTTGATGTCCTTAAGTTAACTAGACTCAAAAGTGATACTTCCCAAACTTTTTTCTTAATTAAACATATCAATATATAACTCAAGTTTTTTTCCCCTTCTATTTTTTTTTATAAATCCAGAACTGTCAAAGGGTCAAGGAAACTTGATCTACCTGAGTGGGGTTTACCTGGAAGGGAACTGGGTCTTGGGATTTGAGCCCCGAATTACGACCCAGTTGTTTTTCCATTCTGCAAATCGCACTCGGTTTTTTCGGAGATTTCACACTGCTGCTTCTTCAAAGACAACCGAGGGAACCACTCTTGATCCATCATCAGGAACCGGAACTACTGAATTGAAAACAGCATCTGAGGGTATATGTATGCTTCATTTTTATGATCATGTATGTACATAGTACTGATTTTTAGTAAGTTCAAAAATATTTTACTGATACCATTATAAGTGGCGTTGCGGCAAATACTTTCTTTGACGCTTTCAGTTCACGCTGTCAGCGAATTTTTTCAAGACAAAGAGGGATGAGTTTGGCTTGTGCCAAGCTCATAATGTATATGAGAACTTGGAGTCACCCAACTTCTATTTGCCCTCCTCTCAAGGAAATTCCCCCCTTTTCTGACCATTGAGTTCATACATTCCTTCCAAGCCAATGAAATGTCATCTTTGACCTTCCCTAAAAGTGTTCCTGTTTTCAAATAATTGAGCTTTCACTCATTCTGGTTTTTGACTGCAATTGAACAGCATTGTGTGTTGTGCTGGTTCTTGAGGTTCACAAACATATTTGAACAAGTTAAAATGATTAATAGTGAATCATGAAGGATTAATAGTGAATCATAAATGATTAATAGTCATAAATGAATGATTAATAGTCATAAATGAAATGATCAATAGTCATAAATGAAATGATTAACAGTCATAAATGAAATGATTAGTAGTCATATAAATGAAATGATTAATAGTCATAAATGAAATGATTAATAGTCATAAATGAAATGATTAATAGTCTATTAATCATTTTGATTAATAACAGTGAAAGTAATAATAACAATTTTAAACTATAGGGTGTGATTCAGCCCAGCTGAGTCCAGAGTTTCATTTTCTAAAACGTTATTCCTCTACCTTTTATTTTTCACAAGTGCTGTAACGTCGTACATATAAAAAATAATTTACCCTTGACGACATATATATATATGCGTGCTGGATATAAGAAAAACCTCCAGAAACCATCAAAATCAACATATACTGTATTGCAATCAGCAACTGAATAAGACATGTGACATTTTATTATTATGAATTAAACTCTACTTGTTTATATTACTAAATTTGGAAACTTCGTTATAACAAGTTTTTTTTTGCGAATGGTAAATTTTCAGATGAAGGCCAAACCACTAGCAAACCTGACAGTCCTGTTATCGACACTGATATTCAAACAAAGGACAGTGACGATGGAAAAGAGGATTCTGAAAGATCAACATTAGAAGAATCGCCTGAGGGCTACTCGTCTAATGAACGGAGGAAAAGAGTAAGTTTAATTTCGTAAACAGTACTCAAATTTTATTTTATTCCAAAATTTTATTTTTTTTTTTTTCAGGAAACTGAAGACTTTTATAAATGCTTTTCTAATCATCACTTTGACGAGGAGACGTATGCTGCTATGATGAGAAAAACTGGGAGAATTTTGATGGGGCACTTGGACTCTTTTCCCGCCGATGTCGTGAAACTTGAATATGCGGTAATGAAAAAAAAAATAATTATCAAAAAATTTCCCAGGAGAATTTGCTTCTAATTTTTTCAAGATTTTAATAATCTTTCGACTCCCCATATGATGCATCGCGCAGAAACAAGGATTGAGAATGTATGTCATCATACCGTACACTGATCTTGAAGAAGTTGAAGCCATGCTGATGGAAGAAACCATCATTCGTGAAGTAATCGGGCTTGAATATGAACCCAAGATCGCAAATTTCATTTTTCCAAAAGTGAAGTTGACCTCACTGATGGACTTAAAATCTGCTTTGTGCAGGGTAAGTACAGTAATATAAAAGTGCTGCCTTACTTTTCAAGTATGGAAAGCTGAACGATGCATGAAGCTATTATAAGGTATAATAATATTACGTACGGACCTTTTTTTAAATGCTGTTATTATTCCTTCTAGCTTTTAAACATTTCCAAACATTATTGAGACTATTGAACGTTTATATAATGGTGAAAAACTGAAGAGAAATACTGTAACACCATTGCATTTTTATGGAAACTCATATTTTATCATATTTGCTGCTGATCGATTTATGTATAAATTTGTTTAATAATAACAGATATGTGTGCATTCGTCTGATGAGGGTTAAAAAGTAAAAACTTGAATTTATGTATACGACAATTTCTCGCTTCAATATATAAAAAAAAAGTCTTGTTCGAATAAAATTACGACTCTTCACACATGATACGCGTTCAATTGAAGTGCATGATTAAATCTGTTCTTATTTTGCCTTATATGTTGCTTATACTGTATATACAGTAAACGTAAAATGTATAGTTCTTTGTCTATATATTTATACAGATGGGTATGAAGGAGCTCTTTAATTCCGATCGCAAGCTTGTTCAGAGAGGGAGTCTAAGAAATTTCCTTCATAGTTGTACCATTGACGTCCATGGAAAAGGTGGAAAAAGTTATCGTCGTGAGTATCTTCGGGCTTGCTCGCATATAACTAAAATTTGATCTATTTCGTGAGATTAAATCAAGTGTATGCTCTTTTCAGTTCCGCGAATGGACGAATTCAAGAAGAAGATGATCGTTGCCGATCGGCCGTTTGCGTTTCTGGTTGTTGAAGAAAAAACTGCCTCAATTGTGCTAATGGGAAGAATCATGTGAAAAGATGCTGCAGAGGAATAACTCTTTGTTAAAAATTGCGTATCACAATACTGTATCTTCGTATTAAATTGTATATAACAATATTCACAAATAATATACACTGCTGTACAGTATAAAAGCTTAATGCTGTTGGCGCACCGATACGCGTGCATGCATTCTTGACGGGTTACTTTTTATTTCTTGCTTGATAATATTGCCGGAATTATTTGAATTTTTGAGCCGTGAAAAAAAATATTTTTATCCAATTCCAGGGACTTTGTTGTTTATTTACAATACCCTCATTAACCAAACGACTTCTGTACAATTAAGATATTCGTCGTCATCGTCGCGTCCACTTGGCGTGTGCACTCAAAAATCGTAACCACCACTGTCGGCCACCTACATCATGATTTTAGCGACATCTACGTGTCAGTATGAAAAATTTATATTTTGTTACCCTAGCGAGTTCAGCATTGTGCGATTCATTCGGTAGGTGAACTTGCCCCACGAAACGTGAACTTCGCCCAAGTCTATTCACGCTCGGTGTTGGATTAAGGACTTCTTCTGTCTGTTGCGTCGCTCGTTTTCACCGAATGCTAGATTTTATCAGTCGTGTCAGTTGCGTAGGTTCTCGATCGTGTGTGAAGAGATGAAGATGAAAGGTGCAACATGTGAACGTGTCGCTGTTCTCATTGATGACATCCTGGTATTGGTGTTTCATAAAATCTCTTGTTTTTTTTTCAGGAGAACACTTATTTTATTATAAATGTCTAGTTGTGTGAGATAGGGCTTAAATCTTGAAGTTTTTGAATGCTTTTCGGCGAAATGAATCATTTCAAATGTTTCGCGCGTGAAACGCGTTTAGTTGTATGTTTGTCGATGATGCGTGGATTAGGTTCAAAGCTTCCATCATTTCCTTGCTCTTCATGCTTTGAAGGGCTCACCGCCGCAACTTGGTTTGTCCCTGTTTTGCGAGACGGTGAGAAGTGTTCAAAACCAGACGAGTTTATTTATTTGATTTGCGAATGCGTAACGTGTCATAATGAAGTATATCCTATCTTGCTTAGTTCGCGATTTTCTTTTCTTTTTAAGGTATTGAAAGAGCGCCTTTTGGTGAAAAGTATGTGGGAGCCAGGGGTTCCCGGCGAAGACTTCGTTGGAGCCTATCCAACGATGCCAGTTGCAGAAATTGCTCCCGGGGTACAAATTGAACAGAATGATTTTGTTGAAGAAAAGCATCTTCAATCGAAGCCTAAGCTGTCGAATGTTCTTCCGTTCCACGGTAATCCCACCACGATGAACCTGAATGCCTTGATCCTCAACAACATACAGTCCTCGCATTACTTCAAAGGTAAGGTCCCGAGTAATCCTCTAATTCGTTGGTTTACATTATATTTTTACTGGAAATTAAATTTCCTGAAATCATTTTTCAATTAACTGACATCGTACCTCTTCTATTATCTGCAGTCGATTTGTACTCAAAGAAGACTTATCACGAAGTCATCTTGGAGATGTACCATCACGTGAAGCATCTGGAACCATGGGAAAAAGGTAGCCGCAAAACTGCCGGGCAGACGGGTATGTGTGGTGGGGTTCGTGGAGTCGGCGCGGGTGGCATTGTGTCGACTGCATTCTGCGTATTGTACAAGCTTTACACGTTGAAGTTGACTCGAAAGCAGTTGAATGGTTTGCTGAACTACGAGGACGCACCACATGTACGTGCCATGGGATTCATGTACATACGGTTCGTTTTTTCGCTACTTGATGAATTTTTTTTTTACAGTACAGTATATTTGTTCCGAAAGTTTGCCATGTATTGATCATTTTTCTGCCTCGTTAGGTACACACAACCTCCCGCTGACCTTTGGACTTGGTTCGAGCCGTATTTGGAAGACGAAGAAGAGGTTGAGGTCCGGGCTGGTGGTGGAAAACCCATGACGATAGGCGAAATTGTGCGGAACCTCTTGACGAAGTTGGATTGGTTCAGCACCCTATTCCCTCGCATTCCTGTCCCAATCACAGTAAGTTCCTTTTCTTTTATACGGTGACGCTCGTTCCGCTAGATCGCTGGATCGTCGGCGTCCTAAGGAGAGCTATTCTTGTCTCTGTTGTCTTCCGTAAAGATGATACTGTATATGAATCACCCCGAGAGCAGCTCTTGAAAAGCAAAAATTTGTCTTTCTTCCCCAAGAGACAACCACTTGATGACAGTCGTTCCTCAATCGTATATTCATGACGGCCGAAATGCATTTTTTTTTTAATTAGCACGGGATTTGCTGTTTCCAAAACACCCATTTTTTTATGCGTTCATATCTTGAGTTTTTCTCCATGGCATCCCGTGGATGCAATGATGTGGTAGGGATACTTTTTGTGTTTTTAGTGATATGTATTTCTTGCGATTTTCAGAAGGATATTTTGGCAAAGTTGAAAGAACATGATGAAGCTTTGAAAGAAGGCGAAGAGCAGGAGAAACAAGCAGAAGCGGAAGTTCGAGAGCGACAGAGATCAAGGTCCGCTCAGAAGGACGAGTCCAGATCTAGGTTTGAAAATTTTAAAAGCATCTTTAGCTGTGATACGTGAATGCTGAACGTGTTGCTTTCTTTTTCTAGGAATGATGATCGATATGATCGTCGTGACGCGGACCGAAATCGGGGACGTAATGGGGATTGCGATTGGAGGAGCAAAGATCGCGAGTCGAACAGGTTTGTTCAGCCTGATGAATTTATTCGATTTATGCATTTCAATACTGTACGTGGATATGAGCGAATTTTTAATTTTTCCGGTAACTGATACTACGCTAAATCTGATGTTCGTGAGCAAAAGTAAGTTACAGTACTGTATTTTAAAATTGAAGTACAGTAATTGTGTCGAAGAATGATGTACATTTTTGACGGTCCTGTAGTATAAATGATCATGCCCTTTTAATTACTTGTGAACATGTCGAAAATTTTTTCCTAGCTTTATTTGCGATGGTCAGTCTCTTGACCGCCACATGAAGAAAGTAGTCTGGTTAAGGATTTTTTGAGGGAATGACGGTACCTTGTTTTATTCCTTTTCACGCAGTGTAATTCTTATCTGGTCGAGGACTCGGTGGGAAAAAACAATCCCTTTCGAAAAAAAAAACTTTTCCTATGCTTTGAGAATAGTCACTGCGGGGATTATTGGTTTAATTCACCAAGCATGAAAATATGATTTAAGCTAATTTTTATTCCGTTCCAATCCATTTCCTCCCTTGAGCTTTTGAAAAATGTCAAGGCATGAGTGTTGACCCAGACATTATATATGTTATTAACGAACAATCAACACTTCTTGCTTACTTTAGACACAAGAGTGATGATAGAGAATCAAGAAATTCACGAGGTGATTCGCACAAGACCAAGGATCGACGAGAACGGAGTGATCGGAACCGGAGCAGGAGTCGTGATAGAAGGTCACGCGAAAAAGAGGAACGTATTCGCCGTTCTCGTTCTCGAAGCCGGGGAAGGCATGCAAAGGATGATCGTTCGAAAAGATCGAGGAGTCGGTCACGTGACCGGTACAAATATAAGCGCAGGTTCGTCGAGTATACGATGAGCATTTTTGTGATAGTTCAGGGACTGCTTCCTATGACAGTGAATACAATATCTCCGGCTCTTCGCAAATTGTCTTATGTACTGATTTCGATTTTAGTTGTTTTATTATCTTTATTATACTGTACTAAAATTCAGCAAATTTAAAACGCGCGTTTCTTTTTGTTGGACTCTACAAAATCGAAGTGCGTCTAAGATTTGACTGCCGTTTGAAGATTTGAATGCCATTCCCCTTAACGCGTTTGAAGAAATAATGTGGTTTAGACGTGTTTTTATGCGTTTTATGAACACTGTACATCACTAAGTTTTTGGTATACAGTACTGTACTTCATATCAAGTGCATCTTGGATTCGCGAGAAAAATGTCATGTCTGTTTATAAAGTTCTGGTGCGCCTCAAAATCGATATTAGCTTGAGGAAGTACTTTTTATAATTTTTCAAAATCTTTTTGTTGAAAGTCTGTCTGTAGTATAGGTTTACTCAATATTGCCATCTTTTTCGTGATTGAAATATAAGAGCGTGTTTTTTAAATATGTATATTTTTTGCAGAAGCACTTCAAGGGATCGCAAGCACCGAAGGTGAAACCTGGCCACGTTCTTGACGCAAACGGCCGAGTTCAAGTTTTCTGTCACATATTTTCGGCAAACTTTTTGTGTTTTTACGTGCAGCCGTGAATTACTGCAGGGTTGGTTGTACCGTAGATGCATCACTGAGATGATCACCGTGACCATATTGAGCGTTCTGCAAAAATTCTTCGATTCGACGATTTTTTTTAATGACAACCTTCTATGCCTTCTTTGAACCGTGTTGTTTATTTTAACTCCGGATCTCGTGGGATAGTCAAGTGTTCATTAACGTATTCTGTGTTATTTCTTTCACAGTTCTGGGAAATTATTTGAAATTTGTGTCAGCGGATTTCACCCATCATGGCTTTGGCGTTTCGTGTTACGCGAACCTTGGCTCTTCGTCGATTGTGCACTTCGGCTGTCGTGAAAGCCGATTATGACTTGAATGATCCCTTTGAGCATGCGACCGGGCGAGAGAAGTTGGTGCTTCAGGCCGAGAAGGAAGGAAACCCTGACCCTTTCAACACAAAGGGTTATATCCGCGGGAAAGGAACAAAAAGTGATCCTACCAGCATCCCATCGTTTCTGAAACGACGGGTAATCGGATGTAAATGTGTGAGTAGTTTTTCGGGAGATCCACTCCAACGTCACTATTTATTAGTTGTACTGTACTAGTATCTCAAGTATTGCAAACGTTGTTATCCCTTTAGGAGGAAGACACTCAGATGGAAAAAAAAGGATAGGAATTCATCTGTCAATTTTTTATGTACTTGTATCCGATTTGTATTACGTGTAACTTTCAATTTTTTCTCTGGCACTGTTTAATATCGCGGGATTTTTCACGTAAATTCAGCGTATCTCCTATCAGTAACCCTACGTATGCATTTTATGAAAGTGCTTTTATTTTTTTATTCGTTAGGCATTAAATAACTAAAATACTATATAGCTTTCAAATTAGAGTATTTGTTCTACAGTATACGAATTTCTCATGTAAGGGGTTGTTCAATCTATTATTTGAAAATCGTGCGGTGCTCGAGTGAATGAGAATTTTCACTGGACAAGTATGTCAACCATAACAGTTCATTATGGTTGCCTTTGTTACCACTGTGGGCCATATCGTTGTGTCGTGAGTTGTGCTATTTTGAAGAGTTTTTATTTGTGCACAGGATGCTGAGTCGATGCATATCAACTATATTTGGCTGGAAAAGGGTGTTGACCGAAGATGCTCTTGTGGCTTTTGGTTCCGACTTGTGGATGCGAAGCCGCTGCCGAACTGTCCGGAATTCAAAGCCATCCCGAATTAAAATGTGATTTTTTAATGCAAAAGTTTTCGGGGGCAATTCCTCACGTTCATTTTATTCAATTGCCGGCTGTGAAATATATCGCGCTGTTGTGTGTGATTTGGTAAAGGATTGCCATTGTGTTCATCCGTTAGTGCCACTTCGGTGTATTGTGATTATGATCGAAAAGTTTACTGGGATATCAATTCAGGTGTGTGCTGTTTGTCTGAAACTTAACATTTATGCCAGCAGTTTTTTCACTTGTTTATATTTGTGTGTGCAAGCGACGACTGCCGCAGAACTTGATTTACGTTCCATTTTTGTCGATTTTGTGCAGAAAGAATTCATCGTGGCCGTACTGATTTCCATCGAAGGTTCCTATGCATTTGAGCTTTCCAAGAGTTGCAGAAGTGAGCAGTGTCCTGAAATGTTCAAGTTTTCGGTTTTTTTTTTTTATCATTTTGCAACTGCTGTATGACATCAGTTTTCCCATGCATTGATCTCGTGTGAAAATGGCTGTGTTCGTATTGATGCGTTTATCTCTTGTCCGGTGATCAAAGAAATGTGACTGAAATTTAGGAATAAAATTTCTCCTTCAGTTATTTCGAACGTCGCTGTTCGTGCGAAGGTGGAATTTTTAAGCAGTTCCAGGTTTTTGAAAGATTCTGCCACTTCTTCGGCATATGTAACGGCAATTATTGCAGTTTTCAGAAAACTCATGATTCCCACACTATCGTGACCATTTCAGATTTCGTGTTGAAATGACGAGTTTACCGCGTTTGTGTCGATTTTTTGTGACCGAGTCATACCGCATTCCTGTCCGAAGATGTTTGCATCAACAGTTCGACAGAGCTCCCATCATTGGATCAGCTGCCGAAGTTAACGATGAAACTTATAAGGTTTGTTTTATTTTTACCATCTTTCGCTTTTCCATTTCTGCTGGTAATGCCTGTTACTGAGATTTCCGCTTATAGGTTGAATGAAGCGATGTATACGTCTTTTTTTTTTTAGTCCCCTTCCAGCTTCTACCCGATTTTAATTCAATTCCCCAGTCGTTTTCTCTCAATGCGTTCCATGAATGCCGATAATATTTCATTTTCAAGGATAAAATTTCCCCTTTTAAACTTTCAATGCCACGAGCAAACTACAGTATCAATAAACATTGCTGAGGAAGAGGGTCACGTTGCATTTTTGAGACGCTGCTTTGTTCTGAGATCTTATTTCAATCTGATGCACTGGTGATTTTCAAATTTAGGACAATCACAAGAAGATGGAGCAGGTTGTCAAAGAGTTGCGTACTGCAGTTGCAAAAATTACTCTCGGTGGAGGGGCAAAAGCGGTTGAGCGCCATTTAAGCAAGGGAAAAATGTTGGCCAGGCAGCGAATAGATGCATTGTTGGATCCTGGTTCGCCATTCCTGGAGCTGTCGCAACTGGCGGGATTCAAGCTGTATGGAGATGAAGAAGTTCCAGCCGGAGGCATTGTCACTGGCATCGGTCGAATTTGTGGGTGAGGGCTTTATTTTCTTCTTGGTGCAATTTGGTTGTTGAAACTTTAAATTTTTTCCAATCCCCAGGACAGAATGCATGGTAGTAGCGAATGATGCAACTGTGAAAGGCGGCACATATTACCCTGTGACTGTGAAAAAGCATTTAAGGGCGCAGGAAATTGCGGAAGAAAATCGACTTCCGTGCGTCTATTTGGTGGATTCTGGTGGAGCGAATTTGCCCAGACAGGCTGAAGTATTTCCAGACAAGCTACACTTCGGGCGAATTTTCTTTAACCAGGCAAATATGTCAGCAAAGGGTATTGCTCAGGTGAGACACATTTTTCCAGTAAATATTTTTGGTCGAATTTTTTAGTACAGTATATTGGTGACCAAATCTGGAAATGGGCGATATTTTTCATTTCACTTTTTGATTTTTTTAGATTGCTGTTGTTATGGGCAGTTGCACTGCCGGTGGTGCTTATGTGCCATCGATGGCAGATGAAAGTGTCATCGTGCGCAAAGAAGGTACTATTTTTTTGGGTGGGCCACCTTTAGTGAAAGCTGCCACTGGAGAAGAAATCTCGGCGGAAGAACTTGGAGGAGCTGATCTTCATTGTGGGTGAGGATGATTTTCATCAAGTTATTAATGAGCTGATCTTAATTTCAGCTGAAATATTTTCATCGAATAATAGTCTGTGGAAATTGAATAAAAATCTTGTCATTCTCTTCGACGCTTCCTCTGCATCAGACTTTGTATACACTGTCTTCATGTCTGATTATTTATTGTACAGGATTTATTTTTTTTTTCGAAGACTGAATTATGATGCGTCTGTCGTATTGCTGTTTACAGCCCTGTTGGGGGAAAAAATGCTGGGAATTAGTTTTGAATGTTTTCCCCTGTGTAACCTGTGAAATACTGTTGTGTCTCGTCCTGTAATTATTTTGCCAAGAAACCTAATCTTTTGTTTGTTTTTTTCATATCTTTCAAGAACATCCGGTGTGACGGATCACTATGCTGTGGATGACGAGCACGCGATTTTCCTTACCCGACGCATCGTGGAGAACCTAAATGTTCGAAAGCGATTGAACGTAACGTTACGAGACGTTGAAGAACCGCTTTACCCAGCGGATGAGCTTTATGGGATCGTGGGCACCAGTTTAAGCCGAACGTTTGATGTACGGGAAGTGATCGCGAGAATCGTTGATGGTTCAAGGTTAGGGCGTTTTACTCGATTATTCAGCGCTTTCCGTGTTACGCAATTGCTCGATATTCATCGCCGAGCTTTTTTTTAAACTACTGATTCCAGTTTTTGGCTTGAAACCTTGAAAAAATTCTGTACTAAAATTGACGCATCGGAAGGGAATCTGGCTTGTCAGTCTTTGAATCGTAGCTGAGTAAAACAAACTGAAAATTCCTTTTTTCTCCCTGTATATTGTTGTGGTTTTGCGAGGGAAAATAATTTCACTTTCAGAATCATAAAATTATTAAGGAAGTAAAATCATCCATCAATAGTCCATAACTCAGTTATTTTCAGCAGAAGTTATCCCATGTTGCAAGTGATTGTATTGCAAAAGTTAAATTTTGATGAAATATCTGCCCTTTATCGAATGAAGGTTTGTGGAATTCAAGCAGCGGTATGGAGATACATTGGTAACAGGATTTTCGAGGTTGTATGGATACCCGTTGGGAATCATTGGGAATAACGGTGTATTATTCTCCGAATCGGCGCAAAAAGGAGCGCATTTCATTCAATTGTGTGCCAAGCGAGGAATTCCGTTATTATTTCTTCAAAACATCACTGGTGAGATATACAGTACTTTCGGCTTTCTTTATGATTCGAAATTTATGAAGACAATTTTGTCCGAAGAATTTCCGCGCGGGTTTTTCTTTAGTGTGATGATTCCTATTCTCTTGTGCAGGATTCATGGTTGGTCGGGACGCAGAAGCTGGAGGAATTGCGAAACACGGAGCAAAAATGGTGACAGCTGTGGCTTGTGCTCAAGTGCCGAAATTGACGATGATCATTGGTGGTTCCTATGGAGCCGGGAACTACGGGATGTGTGGACGGTCTTACAGGTTCGTTATTTCTTAAAGGAGCTGAAAGAGATTCAGTTGTTTGAAAGCACTGTCATACGTGATGCAGAGCGTTTAATATTTTGATTCGAGATTATCGAAACGCTTCAGAGAAGTAGTATTTTTGGAACCATTTCATGTACCTGCACTTTAAATGAAAGTAGAATTTTCTTGCGTGATATTTGGAGTGCAGTATTACGAACTTGAAATTTTTAGTTTGAAATTCAATGCAGCTATAGTAATATCGTTAATAATGACAAGTCTAAACTCGTCGCGAAGAAAACGGCGATAGAATATACTCACTGGAAAGGAAGCGTCAATTTAGCATTACTAAGGCTTTTACCGAAGTTTCTGCAGTTTGTTTGCCAATTCAGAAACGTTCAAGTTCTTAAACGAAGTTTATTCTTGAAGAAAATAGATGATTTCCCTCATTTACCGTTCAAGCAGAATTTTGTGATTCAGAATGTTTCGAAAAACATTTTTCTGGTGGTACAATACAGTTTTGAAATTTTGTGCGTTTTGGTTCGTCATGGGTAGGAATAAACTTTCCGAAAGCAATGAATGTATTTTAATATACTTCAGTGTCATTTGACTCTATCGAATAATTTTCAAGAGAAAAATAGTCTTAAAGCTTTTTTTTCTGGACTCGGTCCACAAAAAATAACGCTAGTAGAGTTTGGGAAAAGTATTGCAATTCGGCTCCATTTCTAAATTGAATTACGTAAAATTATACTTGAATCGGATAACGTCTATTAATCTCAGAGATGAGAATTTTATGGATCTTGTTTATCTGAAGCGGCAACCCAAGCGCAGAAATTACGTTTTTATCGTACTACATTTCGATTACATTATTTTTCTACCGTTGATGAATTTCTGATTAAAAATTTGTCGCGTTGCAAGCAAAAAAAAAAAAAAAAACAGACTTTGACCTTCAATTTGGATTAAAGCTTTTTTTTTTTACAATATGTCCAGCCGTAATTCCGTCCGAGAATTGAAATTAAATAATTCCAGACGAGTAATCCCGATTTTTTTTATAGTCCGAGATTTATGTGGATGTGGCCGAACGCGAAAATATCCGTGATGGGCGGCGAGCAAGCGGCGAATGTTTTGGCCCAAGTGAAAAGGGATCAGTTGTCACGTGAAGGCAAGGAATTCAGCGAGCAAGAAGAAGCTAAGTTCAAAGCCCCAATTCTCGCTCGATATGAGGCCGAGGGTTCCCCTTATTACGCTAGCGCGCGTTTGTGGGATGACGGAGTGATTGATCCGGCGGATTCGCGGAAAGTGTTGGGTTTGGGACTGAGTGCCGTGATGAACTCAGCATGGGATGAGCTTCCGAATTTCGGAGTTTTCAGGATGTAGTGTCGCTGTGTCGGGTTGTTCGCCGTTTTTGGCCTGTTTTTTGTTTCGTTCACTGTGGAGTAAAAATATGGATTCTTTGATGAGCCGGTGTCTGCGAATGGTGGGGAACTTGAAATCGTATGAATAATTGTTTTGGTTGAAATCGAATCTCGTGATATCAGTCCTGTCTCCTGTGCAAATATTTGCACTGAATTCCTTTGAGCAAACATTTTGAATTCCGAGGAAAACACTTCAGCGTTCGTGTTCCCCCCAAACGCGTGGCATTTCGGGTCATTGCAGAACTCATTTTTGTATTCTTCAGAACGTTGGATTTTTTGAATATGTGGGTGAAGTGAGATGTGTTCGCGTAATTCAGTGAGATGCTTTTTTGTTGACGTCTAGTTTTCCGAACGGATACAGCGAAGTGCGCCGGTGTTTGAAAGCTTTGCGATAAAATGAAAAAAAATTCTGTTAATTTAGAAGCACTCGAACGTTCGTGAAACTGACTTGAAGTTCGTGATTTGTTTTATTCTAGAGTGGATGTTACCATCCAGTTGCCAATTTTTGTGACGCCGTTTTTGTTACTTGGTGAGAAGCTCTCGTGATGTCGCGCACCACAGCAAAACTTCCGGATCCAAAGAAAGTGGTGAGTACTAGTACTACATTGACTTTATCTCCGTGCCTTATTGGGTTCGGAATTTCTGGAATTCAACGAGCAAAGTTAAGTGTTTGACGGGACGGCCCCCATTTATGAATGAAGAGTGTCATTAAACGGGATTCACTCGCATGGAAATTACCGTATTCTGTGCATGAACAATTTAGCCAGAAAATTGAATTACTAATTCTGTTCTTGTAATGGCGAAATCAGGAAGGTTTCAGTTCATAGGGATTCACGCGCTTTTTACTAGCGAAAATATTAGTATTTCGAGGGCTTACAAATGAAAGTTCTGAAAAAAGAAGGTTTACTGTAAAAGAAAGGAAACGTTACTGGCATCATTCCGACGATGCGAAGTATTCGGCGCCTGAAAAAGGAAAGTGATTATTTTTTCTCCTATTCGCGATTAATCTGTTTCTCAAATTAGGTGCGAAAAGCTGCGAAAAAACGTTTTTGTTATCCCCAGGAAAACAATTATTTTTCGGTTTATGGATGATTACGGAAGAAATTACACTGGGATTTTCCCAGAAAGGAGCAGAATTGTGTCCTTGCCCGAACTCTGAAAATTTGCCGTCGTTGTGATTATACTGTATCACCTTCCTTATGGGGAAAAATTGCAGAATTAATTGCTCATCACTCCACGAAGTTTGGTTTTTAAGTTTTTGTAGTCATTCGAATTATCTTCTTTATTCTCATCAAAGCTACTTCATTATCTTCCGGCCGTATTTTTACCATCGTTTCGATTTTGTGTAACTGAAGTGCCTGATTGATGTACTTTCAAGAATGCGGAACTGTTCGCTCTCACTTATGGCGCTCTGGTTGCCCAAATGGTGAAAGACCACGAGAACGTGGACGACGTGAACCGGCAGCTCGAGCGAATGGGTTACAATATCGGCATCCGACTCATTGAAGACTTCTCAGCCCGGCAAAATCTTACTGGCCGCTGTGTGGATCTCCGAGACACGGCGGACAAGCTGAAAACGGGCTTCCAAATGTATCTGGGTTGCACGCCGGCACTGTCGAATTGGTCGTCGGCGGGCGACGAGTTTTCGCTGATATTTGATCCGTCGTCGTCGTCTGCTTTGGGATCCGGCGTCGGAGTTTCGAGTGTGACGGGGGGACAAGGAAACGCCGGTCCGTGGTCTCTTTCGGCGTCCGGGGCACTGCCGATGACCGAGTTCGTCGAGTTGCCGCCGAATCTTGGGAATCTCAAATTCTGCAACATGTTGCCCGGTGTCATTCGTGGTGCTTGTGAAATGGTGAGCGTTTTGGAAGTACAGTATTGACGAATGCGCACCTCTCTGAAAATAAATTGGTGAATTCCTAAATTTACTTTTCCTAGTACCTAATTTTATGCATTAATACTGTACTTTCTGACAACTTCATCAGTTCAATTTCAATGTGCGCTACGTTTCTGATGCGTGTCGAACTCCTTCGTAAGTTTTTAAATTAACTGCGACGTACGAATCGGGTGGATTCTGTCAAGAAAAAAATCTGAATGTGGGTTATACGTTTTATTTTATTCCATTAATTCCTCTTTTAGTGTTGAAGTGGCAGCGTTTGAATTATGGACCCTTTCTAAACGATTTTCATTCGTTCATTCTGGAGTATCGGAAGGTTTCTTTGAAATCACTGGAATTTTTTGAAGTAATCCGATTAACTCCGTGAATTAACGAAGTTCAAGCAAAACCTGTCTGATGTCGAAGAAGATAACTGAATCAGGGGACAGTCGAGAATTATTCAGCTAGAAATTACTTGAAGCAATACGACATTTCAGGTAATGCTGAAGGAAGTATTTAGATCCAAGAGACTTGACTGCCCTTTGAAATCGTTGAGGGAGAAAATGGAAACACCGTTTTTCAATGTCTTCCACATTGTGAAAGTCCTCGTTCGCAAATATGTCTATCCAATTTACTCGATTATGGGCTTCATTTTTCTCCGGAAAATGTACCACGAATTCGAGTGTGGGTTATGCTGGAAGAGGGAAAGATGTCTGTGTCAGTCTCAGATGTGCGACCTACACTCGAAATTATCTAGAACATACAGTTTAGACGTGTCAATGGAAACTACAGTGGTTATACTTCTCAAATTATTGTCCTAAATTTGAGTGCGGCTTGAAATCGCTTGAATACTGTGCGTTGTATAATTATGTTCTTGAGTGTTGTGAAAAGTTTTTCTTTTCGTTGAAGGTCCAATTAGATGTGACGTCCTGGATTGTGCAAGATCAGTTGAAGGGCGATCCGGTGACAGAGTTGCGGGTAAAATTCAACCGTAGGCTGGAAGACGCAATTCCAGCCGGAGAGGATTAAACCTGCACCTCCATTCATTCCAATGAATTATTATTTTCACGCGCGAGCGAATGGATTCCTGTTGCTCGCTATTGGATTTTTTGTTTTGAACGCAGTTTACTGTGATTTCCCGCGACCTTGGGGAGTGTTTATAGTGGTTAAGCTGTCCGTTTTTTCTCTCTTTTTTTCTTTTGCCAATGTGTTTCATTGGCTAGCTTACGATAAAGGAAAGATACTTTTTAATAATTCTCGGAAAGGTGTCTGTTGCTTGAAGTTTCACGGGTTGACTCATTGTTTTCTCCTTTTCTAACTCTACACAGAAGCGAGAGATGACGACGAGTGAATCATTCAACGCACGGATGCAGTGATGAGTGTGTCTTGCTTGTGGTCAGAACCGGACTAGGACATCCTCTGGCGAGATGTTCCCGTGAGATTGTGTGTGTGTGTTCCGCGAAGGTGAAAACCTGAGTTGGTAGCTGGAGAGGGGGGGCGGGGGGTTTCGGAGGAGGGCGTGGTCCCCACCCGTAGCGGGCAGGGGGCCAAGATGCGCTCGCACGCGGACGACGAGGCCGAGGCCGGCAACCAGTTCCGGCGCGGGTTCAAGCCCGACTTGCCGCTAAATGTGAACAATGCCGGGATGGCGCGGCCTAATCATTGTGAGTAGTTGATCTTTCCCAGTTTCCCCCTTTTTTTTGGTTCACGGACCCTTGTTCGGTGTCCCGATTTGGGTTCAGGAGAAAATTCCGTAGGCCCGGAAATCTTGCGGGTCTTACCCCAGAGTTCAGATCGATTTATTCTTCGCCAATTGTCAAACGTTGTAAAACTTATGAAAATGTGGTATAACTCAATCAGTCTGGACTCCAGCATTCTTGAAAGCCTAGAACTAAATCAAATTTCACCTTACGATGATTTTGAGGATTTCCAATACTGTATAAAACTGGTGAAATTCTACTTAAAACTGCTTAAAAACTTTTTTATAACGGAATTTTTCTGCGTATCATCGTCTACTTCAGTTACCCAAAGAGGCTTCTTCTGATGCATATATTCAGGTTGTGGGATTTTCGGGCCTACGGGAATTCTCAGCTCGTTTTGATCGCATCGTGTTTTTGTTGTTTTTTTTCGGTCCACTTTCGCGTTTGCTGTATTTATAATCTTTAAAACAAGTTCACAGGCTTTTGTGCTCGTGAACATATTTTTTTTATTTTTCTGGATGCGAGAATAGGGTCTTAGAATTTTTGGAATAATCACATCCTGATGTTCTACAGTGAATTTGCAAGGCCTGTCGCATGGCCGACCCGGGGGGAATTCGGGACGAAAGAAGATGCAGCTCACGTTCCAAGGATCTCCGTCGGTGACTTTGCGAGAACCGGTCAAATCGCCTGAAGCCATCGATATCGAGGCGAAGCTACATGAAATCATGAAGCTTACCGACATTCTCACTATAGATGGCAGGGTAAATGTCGTCTTATTCAAGTTGTGTGACGTCTCCGGAAATCCACGTATATAGTATTCATGATTTGTCAACAGAAATACCGTGCCACCATTGAAGAGCTTGAGCACCTCGGCGATCTGGGCAACGGTACTTGTGGACACGTGGTGAAGATGTTCCATCGTTCGAGTAGAACAACTGTTGCTGTGAAGGTAAATAGAAGTGCTGTTGTTTTATGGGAGGTTCTCGTTCTCAGTTGTGATTGCCGAAAAAACAGACTTTATTCCTCACTGTTGGCTCCGCCGAATGTAATTACATTATTGTACTGTATGTACTTTTTAGAAGCATGATCGTGGTAAAACTCAGTTTTAGAGAAATTACCGAGCTTCTATATTTATTTTCAAGGAAAATAGGATGGCCGTTGATTTTGAGGATGAGTTCTATATTTATTGAAATGAAAATTCTCCTTTTGCTGGAATGGAGTATGCAATCATATGTGCGATAACTTCCATTTCGACGATTTAAAATTGCCCTTACACCAGATTTGATCGGTTTGCTGAAATATGTTTTTTCGCAATTCTGGGCAATTATTCCTATTGAGTATGCGTCATTCTTGAATCATGAAAAATCGTACGTCCGGTGTGAGAATATTTTACTTGTGTTGGTACAAAGAAAACGTGTCATTTGAATGGTCCCGGTATTTGTATGTCATTAATCGTGGGTGTGTATTTTGCAGCAAATGAGAAGAACGGGTAATAGAGACGAAAGTAAGAGAATCATTATGGATCTGGAGGTTGTCCTCAAGTCGCACGACTGCCCTTACATCGTAACCTGCCTCGGGTGCTTCATCCGCGAATCCGAAGTTTGGATTTGCATGGAACTCATGTCCACTTGTCTGGACAAATTATTGAAGAAGTGCCGTCAGCCATTCCCGGAAGACATTCTTGGAAAAATATCCGTCGCTGTAAGTTTGAAACGCTCTTCGGTTACCTTGGAGAAAATTCATCTATGGAAAGAGTTGTTTTGGATATTGTAGACCATTCGGTATTCGTGCAGCTCGATTCATTGGATGTATTTTTGTATCCCTCTTACGTCATTTGATAATGTCTGATATTTCAATTACAGTATTGAGGATTCCTGAAGATTGTATTGTACAGTACAGATCTTGGTAGTGTGCCAAAATTAAGGCTTATCCAATATTTCGGCCCTTTCCGTCATTTTTTGTTAAGTATTTGACGTGTATTCTTGTGTTTTACAGACTGTGAAAGCACTAAACTACCTGAAGGTGGAGCACGGCGTGATCCACCGGGACGTGAAGCCGTCCAACATTTTGCTGGACAAGAAGGGCAATGTGAAACTCTGTGATTTTGGGATTTCCGGTCGTCTAGTCGACTCCAAGGCGAAAACCAGAAATGCGGGTTGTGCAGCCTATATGGCTGTGAGTAATGAGCGGTTTTGATGAATATTTTTTGTTAGAATTGAATATTCCTTCCCTTTTTGCCATTCGGTGATTCACGCTTGACGATACGGTAGCTGATTTTTATTTATTCATTTTTCGTTTCTGAAACAGCAGTTTTGAAGAAACAGAGCTGCTTTTCTGATGAACAGAAAAGCTAATTCGAACAGTGTTTCCATTTTAGAGGGAATTATTTTTGGATCTTGATTGGAAATTCATGAGATTCGTAGTAATTCGTGGTTCGAAGAAGTTTTTCATCGCCACTGTAGTTTCAAACCTTATCCTCTCGAATTTCGGATAGTTATAGTTCAACCTAGATTAAAGCTCGTGTTCCCTAATATTTCCTTCAATTCGAAAATTTTCTTCTGCTTTCTAAACGCGTTATTCTTCATTATTTTAATTGGGGAAAATTCCTCATTTCATAGCCTGAGAGAATAGATCCGCCAAACCCGGACAGACCAGATTATGACATCCGGGCGGACGTGTGGTCGCTGGGCATCACGCTGGTCGAACTGGCTACTGGTCAATTTCCTTACAATGATTGCAAAAGTGATTTCGAAGTCCTTTCTCGAGTCTTGAACGACGAGCCTCCTTCTTTGCCTCCGGACGCCGGTTTTTCTCGCCAGTTCCAGTCCTTCGTCAGAGATTGGTAAGTTTTTTTTTTTTTTTCACTTGCATCGCAAGAATTACGGAGGAGAGTGTGAACATTTGCGGAGGCGATTCAGTTAGTTTTTCTCGTTCTTTTGCGGACGAAAATTGATTTATATGATTGGTGTTTTTTTTCCTTATCTTCTTGAGTCTCGATGGACGTAGCAAGGTGAAGTCAATCTGTCAAAATAAATCAGTACCTCAGTACAGTGGTTAATTTCTGACCATTCTTACGCTCTAAGTTGTAAAAAAAGGAAATAATAAATTGAAAGTGCCCCGTCACTGTGGAAATAAAATATGCCTACAACACACTTGTGTAATGACTTCGCAGTTGATTCAATTAAATATTTAAAATAATCGTAAGGTATTTTTCATAACATTTTTCTATGTTTGGCAATCATGTTTTTAATGCTACTTTGTAATTCTTGACAATGATGTTTTAATTTAGCGTTCTAATCCTGACACTTTTACGACGATGAACTTCCTGCGAAGGTTTACACTTTTGAACGTCTTCTGCTCGTCATCAAGAAATGTTTATGTCTGGGCTGCAGTAGAAAGTATCGTCAGTGAATGAAGAGAGCTTTACTCTAATCTAGTTGACCCTACGATTGTGGGGATTTTGACTTTTGTACGTTTTTATTCGGAAGAACTTAGAGTAATTTCAAGATACTGTGACGCAATTTTAACTTTTAATCTATCATTTTACGTTTTTCAGTTTGACGAAGGACTACGAGGCCCGACCGAAGTACAAGCGGCTTCTGGAGCACGCGTTCATCAAGAAGTACGAACAGGAACACGTGGACGTGGCCTCCTGGTTCGACAACATTTGTCGGCAAGCGGACCAAACCGCGATGAACTCTTCGTCCTCGGTGAACAATTCGAGCTCGATGCGCAAAGACCAGCAGCCGCCGTTCCCGCCACACTTACACAGCAATGCAAAGAAGTTTGTGTCGACGGCGGCGTCGGCGTCGCCAAAGATCGCTCCGAAGCCGTCGACGCGCGAAGCTAGTGAGATGTTCACCTCGCCGGACGGCCGGATGTCGTCATCGGGCTGCTTGATGATGGCAGCGTCCCCTCATGCTACGCGTCGATCGGCTCGGGACGCCAGTCCGGCGCCGCGTAGGAAATTTGCTGTGGAAAACTCCCCCGTGCCTCCGAGACGGCTGTCACGGGAAAACTCGCCCGCGGGACCAAGGTGAGGGAAACTGCGTCGGACTCTCAAATAATCTATATACAGTATTATCCTAAATTTTCAAATTTGACGGCCCAAAACCTCAAGAGAAGTTTGTGGTACGCTGTTGATGCGAATCGTTAATTTATCTTTGTTCAGAACACCGTATTCAAAAATTTTATTTTTATTCTTTTCAGATCTCTCCCACCGCCGTTCATGCCGTTTGGTTCGTTGCTCGGCCCAGGCACGGGTACTGGCAGCAGCAACGCAAGTTCGTCGGAGCAAAACACGCCGCCGTCGCCGTTTGTTCGACAAAACTCGCTGACTCGGGACGCCCCGTTTTACAGACAGTGCTCGTTCCGCAGCGACGGCGGTCAGTTTTTGCGGCAGAACTCGTTGACGAGGCAAGAGGCCAATTCCAGCGTGTTTTCGCGTCAAGGTCCGCAACGGGCGAGTGCTGGCATGTTACGACCGATTCCGAGGCGCAATAGTTTGTCGCCGACGGAACCCGGGCCGCCGCCCAGGGCCCCCGTTGCCGCAGTTCCTGCATCCACGTGAGTTCTTTTTCATTTTCAAGATTAATTTTATCTGCAGTTTCAAGAAAATAAGCCACCGCGTGTTCTAAATTTAATGAATTATTAAATTATTTCTCCTACGCATTTTCTAACGTGTTATATCCCCCCATTTGAAAACGTTTATCCAAGAATTTATAAAATTCTGAAATCACTGATTTTGATACTCTTTGCACTGGTCTCTGAACCTGCAATATCGCTGGCAAACCATTCTCGATGAATGCCACTGCTATAGAAGGTTTGGTAAAAATGTTTTCTGACTTTTGGTTGCACTGCAAGTTTGCAAAATATATCATCATAATCTTTGAAATTGCACATAGATGAAAAGTTTAATGAGGAATGAACTTGGTGTTGATTTTTCGCTGTGTCCTAGAAAGAAATGGGCGGGTAGAAGATATCTGGAAAATCCTCACCGATAGCTACTGTAGGACATGAATGAGGAGTTCTGATGACGATGTTGGACTGTGCATTATTTTCAATTAGTGGGTGTCTAATACTTCGGGTGCTTCATGTGTATTTGCACCTGAAACTCGTGATGAGTTTTTTTTTTCTGCGTTTAAGTAAATTTTCAGTGTCTTATTTCGTTGAAAGTCTGGATTACACTGCGCAATTTAGGTTACTCTCTCAATATTTTTGGCTATCTTGCCTGAAAATTTTGAGGAATTTTTTCCTTCAGTGGAAGCTGCAATTCCTTGGGCACCGGCGGTTTCCCGCCGACCTCAACCGCCTATTCGAACAGCAGAGATCCGAGCCCGCAATGCGCGTCGCGTGTTCCGCGCTCAGGCTCCAACTTTCTCGAAACGAACGTGACTTTCTATCCGGGTAGAAATTTGTACGTCGTCCAGAGAAGCAGGGAGAGCTTGGCGCAGGGTGCCAGCAACGGTGGTGGTGGTGGTGGAGGTGGCGGCGGCAGCGGCGGCGGGGGTGGAAACTCGCCAGGAACGGGTCCCGGTGGTGGTGGAGGCGGTGGGCTTCCGCCTCGCGCTGGTAGTGCCGAGCCGTCGTCTTCGGCATCGTCGTTTGCTGGCGGCGGATCCGCAGCTGCCGGCATTGCTACGCACTATATGAAAAAAGGTGCGTTCACCTATCCAGCGTTGATTTTTAATGCGGTTTTGTAGCTTACTACATTACTGTAGATCGAAATACTGTAGTCTAAAAAAGTCATTGGAGGAATGAATTAGTGTGTTAAAGAAATGTCGCATGCGAAAGAAACTTCGTTTTTATGGTCATGTACTTCAAATATAAAATAAGAAGCAAGATGCTATGCGTTATAATCGGACACATTCTCTGCGTTTGGTTAAATAAATCGCTGTACTGTTATTCTTGATCGAAATGTTTGAAAGAAAATATTTAATATTTCGCGTTGTGTTGCCGGCAAATTTTAGAGGAGGACCGAAACGGATCTCTTAGTCTAAGAACAATCATCCATTCCTTTTTCAGCTGTTGAAGCCAAGTAAGGAGAGAGTCATTAAAAATAATTTGGAATAATACCTTCGCTATTTTTGGGATGGGAGCGGAAACATTGGGTTAAATGTTGCCCTCATCTCGTCGACTATAATATTCGTTTATTTCAACACTCGTGAAAAATAAAAATGGTCATAATTATGGTAAGCATAGTTACAAGTATACGAAGCCAAATTCGGATTCAAATCGCGCGATTTTTCAGAATCTTGACTGTGGTACAATATCTTCCTTTGAAAAAATCTGGAAAATAATTCGAGCGTTAGCTGTTGACTCGATTTTTATTAAATCTCAAATTTATATTCATTCGAAACCAGGAGGAGACCGAATCAGTGCGTGGCTCAAGCGGTTACCCTTCGGCGTAGATCGTGGGTCAGCCAAGCCCAGCGGAAGTGATCAGCAAGCACACGGGTCCGGTAAGTGGTTCCAGCCGTCGCCGAATGCTCGACGCCGGTTGTCCGATTCCACGGCCATCGAGCCAGGCGGTGGCGGCGGCGGTGGATATCATTCACAAATCAGCGGCACCACTGCCGATTTCAAAACTGGCGGCGGAGGTGGGGGTGGCGGCAGTAGTAGTAATAGTAGTAGTGGAAACCACCCGCATCCGCATCACGTGAGTCGATTGCAACACCAGGTGGCTGGAGTGTCGCTCTCTGATGCCTATTTGAAGCCCAAGTACACTCCGGAACCTGTGCGGAAGCACTTCTTCCAATACTGAATATTGAGCGCCATCCTGGTTTTTATTGTTTTTTTTTTCGTCGTTCCATTGTTTTGTCGGTGATTCCTCTATAATCTCGTTTGTTTCAAACGTAATTCGTCAACCGACCATGTGCGCTTCATGCCAGTTACCTAATGAATTAATGATGTAAGGTGAAACGAAGAAAAATCTAACTCAGAAGACGCTTTCCACTGACGAGCGAATCAGGTTAGCTATTGATAATGTTTGAGTTCTGTTGGTGAAACATTTTACGATTTTTTCGTTGATCAATATTTCTGCAACATCGTGAACTTCAAGTACGGTAAATGGATAAAGTTTTCTTCGAATTTCCAATTAACCCATTTTCTTCAATACTGTAATTTCATCTTCTTTTCGAAGAAGGTCTGAATGAAAAATCGTGCGTCTCTGAGAAAAAGAAAATGGCTTATTTAGATACTGTATCTTATTATTAAAACTTGGTAGAAAAGAAAAATCCTCGAAGATCGGAGTTAACTTCGGAAAACTTGACTCGCTCGTCAGAGATTTGTGGAGCTTCAAGAAATTGTATCGTGTTACGTGACGACCCTTCTCATTATGAAAATTCCCTGGTTTCGGCCGGTGGATAATTTTGTGGTTATGTGCAGAGTATTGGAATGAAAATTGACAACTTAATGATCAAGGCTTTATGAAAACGTGCGACATTTTTAGAAAGGTTTCGCAATATTTCAAAGGCTTATTACGAATGCGAGAAAAAATAACGAGTTAATAGACATCTACGGTGCTGCTCTGGTACGCGATCCACTGCTAACAACAATTTATCTACCCTGTTGATATTCTTGATCTTGTATCTTTTAAATGCTTAGTAATACGTTCCATGTCTTCAGTCTTGGACAGCTTGCGAACATAATCACTTTTATTATATTCCCGAGTGAACTTCCACACGTTTGGATTTCCTGTTCTCAGATTTTCGACAGAAAAAATATTAAGTTTCATTACCCCTTCAGATTTAATTTATTAATCTGAAGCGTGTAGTTTACTTTAAATAAACTTTTTTGAGTATTTCTTCCATTTTGCTGCGTTAATTAAATTTTTTAGTAGATCATGTACCGAAACGAAATTTTATCTATTGTCAATATTTTCTGTTGGATGGATCACATTCTGCTGTTGGATCGTGTACCGGAACAGTTCCGATTCTCCTTATGACGTTATGTGATTTCGAATCTTTGATTTCATGTGAAACCTATTCCTGGAAAACGGGTAAGGAAGAATTTTGTGTGATGACTTAACCGATTTTGTGAGATTATCATGACGTATGAGTTTTCACTCACAATTGGCAGCCAACTGGGCGATGAAGCATTGACGAAAATTCCGAAACGTTGGATTCCCATACAATGTTTTTTCTGCTGCATCCCGGTGTGTGCATGCGTGCTGAATGCGTTGCAGTCCTTGATTTCCTGACGAACACTTTCCTTTGATGATGACGAAGGCGATGTGTCCAAAAAAAAAAAAAAACTGACACGAGAGTGGATATCAATTCTTGCTGAGTGCCATTTTGATTTTTGTTTTCCTTTTTATTTGGCGGATAGATTCGATGCCGACATTAATATTTAGCCGGCTCCTTGTGGGAGAGGGTCTGTTGCAAGGTGCGTCAATTATTTTTGTGTTTTGTCTGATGCAACGGAATTTGAATAATGACCCAATTATCTTGTTGGGACAAGATATATGAGGTAGTCATGAAAATCTGACTTGGTTTTTACATTTTCTACCCGGATGCGATCTGGTTCCAATTTAGCATCGATTCCTAACCGTTGGATGCTTCTTTTTTTATCCGCAGGCATTCTTTCCTCATTGTGCAATTTGATCTTCCGTGAAAACGAAACCGTGTTAATCAACCTATTCAGAATGTTGCCACAAGCCGGGAAACTTTTGCAGAGCGGAACAGTATCTGCTGTCGCCAAAAGGGCGTATTCGCCTTTTCTCGTTTCCAGTTTACCACGTGTGAGGGTTTCTCTTCCCGTAAGTTCAAATGAATTGATAGCTATGTGAAATACGATGGTTTGCTCGAAAGTCTTGCGAATCATCGAAAAATCGTGATTGCAGATGAATAACTACAATATTTACTCGAATATTGTATTTTAACATTTTCCCACAAGAATAGGCTATAAAGAATTAAAATGTATTTTATATCCATTAGTGTCTTGATATTTTAAGGCGTCTTTAAGTAGGCGGTCGAGTTCGTAAATTCTTCCTGTCAAAAATGTATTTTGGGCCGAAAAAGCGAAGAAATGAACTAAACCAAGTCTTTCCGAAATTTTCTGTTTTACGACGCAAGTTGATATACATGTATATTTCATTTTATGAGCACATAAGTGAGGTAAACTTATGCCGATAAAAAGCTAAAGTTTCTCAAGTCCCTTTTCAGGGGTTTATAACGGGGTCCCCGGGACACGAAAGCCCGGGACACGGAATCCCCGCGCGACGATATCACTGACTCGAAATCCCCGCCACAAATTTCTCTATCAGTCCTTCCATGTGACGAAAGCCCCGAATTTTTTTTTCAATACTGATAGTCTTCCGTATTCATTGGTAGAAAAGTTTTCATTTACAAAAAATTAAGTCTTTGATATATTTTCCAAGAAATATTCGGTAGTCATTGGTAGAAAAGTGTTTATTTACAGAAAATTAATAGTCTTTGAAATATTTTCAAAGAAATCCGAACATTCAATAAGTCGGCTTTGATTATCTTTGCACAATTGACGCAGTTCTTTCTGGCGATATCTCTCAACAGTCGACACTTGCTTATGTGGAATGACACCATCTTCGTCAAATTTCTTCAGCGTTGTAGCAACTAATGCAGCATCTTGTTTCAGGCAGCAAATTAGTAACCAAATGGTGGGATTTTCCTTTCCAACCAGGCCATTGAAATAGCAATTCTAGGCTTCACTGAAATTGTTTGTTGCGCCAAGATCATTGAGCACAGCCTGATGAATGTTCCGCTTCTGTGGCGGAAATGTTGGGGGTCTCCCTTCACAGTTCAAAGTTCGACGCAAATGTGTTTGTTGTTTGGTAAATTCGAAAAACTTTGGGAGCAGCAGAAATTCATTTTGATTGTGCATTGTTCTTTGGAGCTACATGGTTCTCCTTGAGAAGTGGTTTTTCTTCCCTTTGAGGGCTTGTAGTTTTGTTATCTGATTTCGTGGTTTTTTATAATTTAATTTTACTATTATTCGGCGTGCGCGTGCGGTTTGGGGCTTTCGTTACAGCTATGGCGGGGATTTCGTGTCAGTGCTATCGTCGCGCGGGGATTCCGTGTCCCGGGCTTTCGTGTCCCGGGGATAGTGACGGTTTCCCCCTTTTCAGAAACTTGGTGAAAAAATTGCACCATTTCTCCCAGAAAAAATATATTTGAGAAACATATTCTCGAATTAGTTTTGTGCCCAAGGAAAATATGCTGCTGTGAAGAATCATGCTCTTATTTTCGAGTGATATGCGAGTCACAACAGTTTCTTTTAAAAGAGAGCTAGAGAAATTGTATTTAAAACGAAATCTTGCGTCTTTCAGTTGTCGCTTGGTGGGGTTGAAAATTTTTAGTTGGAAATTATTGACGGGAATTTTCTTGATGAAGGTTGAAAAAAATGGAACCTTCTTTAGAGAATGTTCTCTAGAAAGCTAGAACGAGAAATTTCCCAATGAAATGTCCAACAAAGGAACATTCGGGCGCCCTCAAATAATTTCCATTTAAACAAATGCATCTTCACGAATTTGCGATTCGGAAAATGTTCCTTACAAATAACAAATCTCCGATAATTGACCACCAAATACCATCTGCTTGCATTGCTTTTCGTGACTCGCTTGCCTCTTCGGGAATTATTTGTAAAATATTGCGGTCTTTTTAATAACTGTTTCATTTATTCTTATTTTTTTATGACTTCCAGGAGAAAGTTGTTCACGGATTGATAATCGGCGCCGGGATCTTGGCGACTCCAGCAATTGTTCTGTCCAATGCCAAGCACTACAAGCAGCCGAAGGAATAATGATACCCTGTGGATCACCCTGTTTTTAGTTACTTTAGCACATTGCAAGTGTCTCCAAGGACACTTACCTGAGTCGTAAAGAGAATGAGTTTCGATTCGATGTACTCTACGTGGTTGTTTTCTCGATTTTTCATCCCGGTTGAATATCTGTATGATACGTTATTCGTTTAAATGACAGTTTTCTTCTTTTTTTCTGTCTTTCGAGAGCTTGGTCAAAATCCTGGGCTATATTCGTGCCAAAACGTAGCGCGTACCCTGTGTAAATTTTATTCTACTCCTGCAATGGCGAATTTGAAAACTATAACGGAAGAGAGTCAATACAAAGCCGAGTTGGAAGCCGCGGGCTCTCGGCTTGTCGTGGTCGACTTCATGGCTGAATGGTGAGTAGCTTTTTGATGGACTTACGATATAATTTGGAAGGCTTGAAAATTAAATCAATATTTCAGAAAGGGAATATTTGCGTAAAGAAAAACAAAACCTTGCCTCGTATTTCCCGATACAGTACTTCGGGTTCATTGGTTTCAATTTATTTTCAGGTGTCAGCCATGTCTGAGAATGGGTCCGGTGTTGAAAGAGTTCGCGCTGAGATATCCAAACGCGGTTTTCCTCAAGGTGGATGTTGATCAACAAGCTGATATCGCATCACGCGAGAATGTTTCTTCGCTTCCAACCTTTATCCTATTTAAGCTGAAGGTGAGCGTTGCTTTCGGTGCAATAGATATTCTTTGAATAACTTTCAAGAGGAATTTTTTATTTCAGTGTAAAATAGATCAAATGAAGGGAGCGGATGCAGTTGGATTGGAAGCGAAAATCAAAGAACATTACGTGTCTGGCGACGGTGATGGCAGCGGAGGCGATTCTGCTGTTCCTGGACAGGTGCCAATTTTCTTGTTCTGTCCGTGCATTCAACTTGACCTAGATGTACTCAGTGATCCAGTCAATTTTTGACCGATTTTCAAGCGTCGCTCTTCATGTGACTGTGACGGAATTTTAATTTTTTTGAAAATTATGCTTTTTAAGAAAATCAAAACTTGCAGCTTAGGTTTTTGGATTTCAAATGTCCTCAAGATATTACGCTATTTCGATCCGGAAGAAGAGATACATGAAACTTTTTAATCTTGAGCTAAAATTGAAGCATTTATACGAAAAAAAACCCTGTTTCTCAGCGGTCATGGTTCTTGAGAATTGCATTTTGTGTTGAATTTTCTCTACTTTGGCATTGATTTTGCATTCGACCCTCGTGTGTATACTTCACTTCCAAGGTCCACTCTATATGACCGTCCCAGGAAACATCGTGTGAAGTTGTAAACTTTATTTTCTTGCCTTGTGCATTCACCAGTTAGTCAATTTTTGAAACCTAATTTATATTTTTATAAAATTATAACCGGATGACCGATGAACACTTCTTCACTACTATTCTAACTTTTGATTTCCTTCTGGAATTTATTAACTTGTGTGAAATGTCTTATCTACAGTATTCTTAAATGAATTTTTCGGTTGTTCCAGTTGGATCTGACGGCGTTCATCGTCAAGTCAAATTGTGAATGCTTGAATGAAGACAACCAGTTTACGTGGGAAAATGCCTTGAAAAACGACGATTCGGTTCTGAAGTCGGATTGTGATGAGCAGATAATTTTGGGACTCTCTTTCCGAACCAACGTGAAACTGCATTCGTTGGTGATCCGAGGCCCGCGTTCGTGTGGTCCGAAAACTGTCAAATTGTTTTCTAATTTGACGAACGGATTAGATTTTGATTCTGCACAATCGAAGGAACCTACGCAAACCATTATGTACGTTCCAACTGAGTATTTTAGCAATCTTGATCGAGAATCTGATCATTCGAGATTTCAACCTTGCATCGGAGTGTTCAAAAGATTAAAGAATTATATCGGGAGTATTTTTTTATCTGTATAAAGTTCCTGCTTTAAAAACTTCTCCTGGCTTCATAGCGAATAATTTGGACGCTTTTTTTTTGTTGCTTGTACTGAATCCAGTGGTGAAAGCACTCGTGGGATCTTCTATTTTATTTTTCGTTTTTCGACTACTTGTAGACAATTTACAGAGTTAAGACTTTGATATCAAGATATTATTGTGTATACTGTAAAAGTGTAGAGAAATTTTCAGTGCCATAAATACGATATACGGTACTTTATTACTTTAAGGAAATTGGAGCTAAATTTGTCATTATCTTCCTCCAACTTTCGGGCTCCAGCGCGTGTTTTTGAAATGCTGTAGTTCTTTCCAATTTGAATAAGCTATAATTTGTTCTGCTGGGTTTATTTAGCGTTGAATTTCATCATGCCGCCATCGTATTGAGATGTTTTAAAAATGTTTATGATAATATTTCATCACTTTATTTTCTCATTTTTCAAAGAATGACCGAGGACGACATTGAACAAGGGAAGCCACAGACGCTGAAATATGTCAAATTCCAGAATGTTCATAACGTTACGATGTTCATTCAGGACAACCAAGAAGGTACAGAATTGACGGAAGTGACGCGCGTGCAGTTCTTCGGCTCTCCCATTTCCATCACGAATATGGAGGAATTCAAGCGTGTTTCTGGAACGAAGGGCGAGGCCCATTTCTAAGCTTTAAATGCTTAGATGAATTCTGTATTTTGATGCGCATAGGGAATTCCATTTCTGATCGGCCAGACTCTGGGTATATTGAAGAGAAATGAAAGCCCCGTTTTTCAACCAATCTGGATTCATTCTGTTCGACTGGGTTTTTTATATGTATATTTGTTCATTTGCTCAGTTTTATAGGCGTGATATCACGTTGACACCACGATAGAATCCATAAATACGGGACCAACAGAATTGCAGTACTGTATACTGTAAGTGGAGAATCTTTTATTTTTCTAGAGATTAAATGCTTCCTCGTCAGATATGTGTCTGCGTTTCATCCAATCGCATGAATATAAGGTGTGCACAAATCCCTGATGAATTTTTTTGAAAAAGCTAAATTTTACACCTGCTGCGCGAATTGACAACTTTCAAACTTGAAGACTATTTGCGGGGGATTTTGCTTGACATATTCAAAGAAATGTTTTGGAGCTGTAGCATTTTATTTTGAAGCTACGGTACATTATGGAAAGTTATTAGCAGGATTTTGGCACTGCAAGATTGGGCAAAGGAAAAGATCATAAGAGTGGGAAAAACTGCTTTATTAAATAAATACAAATAAAACTGTAAAAGCATGTTTGTATGGAAGAAGTTGTTGTGTGCTTATTTGGCTGTTTAATAAGAAGGAAGAAGTAAGACCATGTCTATTTAGAAGCACCTTGGAGAGAGGAAAAGAAAAAGCCATGATTCAAATTAGAAGAATAAACCTTGTTGAGGGACTTCCTACCTCTAAATAATGACCCCAAACTGACTTATGTCGTCGTAAGACAAACTTTACCTAACACCGGTAAAACGCGCAGAGGTCGTAAGTAATGAAAGTCATACGTAAACACCCGACCGTCACGACATTGCTGGGCGTCATCTATGTGAAGTATTGGAATCTTGTGATGTGCTGTTCAGTTTTACGCACCCGACGTTTTTTTCTTTACGTCTGTGCCGTCGTGTAATAATGAAAGTGTGAAACCTATTCCCCATTGGTCCATGTGAACTCGATGCCAGGTTTTCAAGGTTTCGAGTTGGATTGATGTGCCATCCTTAAAGAAATTACGCTGGCGTCGAGTGAACGTTATTCGTAAGTGTTGATTGAACAGATGTTTGAGCGCGTGTTTGACATGGGTTGTGACAATTCTTCGGTGGTTGACCGTGATACTGAACTTTATTTCGATATCTTCTCTGACTGTTGGTAGGNATTACGCTGGCGTCGAGTGAACGTTATTCGTAAGTGTTGATTGAACAGATGTTTGAGCGCGTGTTTGACATGGGTTGTGACAATTCTTCGGTGGTTGACCGTGATACTGAACTTTATTTCGATATCTTCTCTGACTGTTGGTAGGCATTTTATTGAAAAGCGAGTGAGTTGTTCAACTTTTATACCGTACAGCGCTCGGCTATGGCGTAAGTTGCTCACTGAATTTGCTCCTTGCTCTATCGCCAATAAACCTGTAAATTTCTGCAGATCTACTGAAGAAGAGATTCTGGAACAAGAATTAGATAGTGTAGATCACGGAGAAGCAGTCGATGCTGAACTCACTGCCGAGGAAGAAGCAAGATTGCTCGGAGATGACGGTCCTGAAGAAGAAGCTGTCGGTGAGATCATACTTGCCATTGTTCACGTTAAATGAATAATCTACATGCTTTAAGGTTGCATGTGATGCAGTGTGATGCATACGTTCGCATGCGAGCATGATGTGCGGTATTATTTTCATTAAACGTGCATATTCTCAATTACCCAGTATCTAAGGAAGTGGAAACTGTCGTGAAACCTACGGAAAACCCTGTGACCGATGTTGAGAAGGAGAACCTGGTGGCCAATGTTGAAAAGGAAATCCCGGCAAAGAATGTGGAAGAAGAGACCTCAGTTACTGATGCGAAGGAGAATCCGGCTACTGATGCGAAGGAGAACCCGGCTACTGATGCGAAGGAGAACCCGGCTACTGATGCGAAGGAGAACCCGGCTACTGATTCAAAGGAAGAAAACGTGCCAAAAGAAAACGGTGCTGTGGTTGAAACCACGGGTTCACTGGCAAAACCCTCCGCACCGGAACAGCTCAAACCTTCAAGACCCGTCCGCGGAGACAGCAACGGGATCCGAGGATGTTCTCGTCGTGGCTTCAATCCAAGAGATGCACCCTTTCGCGGAAGTTCCCGACGTGGTCTTCCGCCTCGACGCGGATTCGAACCTCGTTTTCGTGGAGGAGGTGGTCCTCGATTTGAATCTCGACCGTTCCGTCGGCACCCGCGTGACATGGAGTTTATGGGTGATGATGTTGATCCGATGTTTGACCAAGACCGGGAAGGCTTCAGATCTAGAATGCGATCCTCACCGCCGATGTTCAACGATGACATCATGGACCGACATCCTCGTGGCAGACGAGACATGGTTAGAACTGCTGAACTATGTACTAAGTTGAAATTTAATTCCGTGTTGAAATTCGAACTACTGTATTCAGAAGAACAAGGTGCTCCACGTTTTTAGACACATGTAACGTAAAATTTAGGAAGCCATGATCATGTAGAGTTTGTATGAAAGGAAGCTAAAGTTTCAGAGCAAGGGACAAATTATACGAGTGAAGATGAGTGTTCGGCGTGGGGATTGTTCGAGACACAGCTAGTGTCTCAAAAATTGGAGAATAACTACCCGAAAAATATCTACAGTACAGTACGTTTCTGTATGGCTAATAATGAGAGAATGATCCTGCATGTCCTCTGTTTAAGTTTGCGTGCTACTTCGAAATTTCTCAATTATTTCTTAAGTTGGGAGTTCGAACAGAATGTAATTCCTGTTTAGTTTTGTACATAAGGGCTTAACCAGGCGTTAGTGCTTTATAAAATTAATGATCCTAATTTTAAGCCGTTATTGCAAAATTGGAGATATTTTATCATTCAACTTGATCAAACTTGTATAATTTGAAGCAGAGTTCAACTTGATTTCGTACGTTTCAAGGAACCCATGTCCGATTTTGGTCCACGTGATCGTCCGCCGATGAGGGGCTTCCGTGGTAGAGGACGAGGTCGCTTCGAGAGATCTCAGTTTGAAAGACCTTCGGAGCCGCCTGCGCCAATTTTTTCTTCTGAACCATCTCCGGATGTGTCGGATGATGTGAGAGCTGCCCAGGCCAAAGCGTTGAGCGCTTTGGCGAACTTGAGATCTTCAGGAGGTTGGTAATTTTTATTGAACATAAGAGCCAGTTGAAGTTATTTTTGAATAATTTGTGTAGTTCCTATTTTAACGATAGCTCTGACGTTCGAGCTTTTTTTTTTTTTTACTAATTTCGGCGTCTTTCTCTGACATACTCTTTCTGCAGGGAACAATCCTCTACCGATTCCACCGGAACGAAGGAAGGTGGACAACTTGCCACCGCGTTTTGTTGGTCGAAGGAATCGGTTCTCCCCACCCAGGGGAAATTTTTCTCCGCCGAGAAGCTTCTCTCCTCCAATGCGGGGTCCGTATGTGCCTCACATGAGGCATTTCTCTCCCCCGAGAGACTTCTCGCCGCCTCCGAGGCGACCCTTTTCACCGCCGCCGCCAATGATGGAGCCCGTGCGCCGTTATTCTCCGATGCCGGATATGATGAGGAGCTTTTCCCCGCCGCCGATGCGGGGTATGATGGACGACTTTCGGCGTCCGCATCACGAAACATTCCGGCTTGTCCCTCGTGCTCCATCGCCACCTATACCCATCATAAGGTATGAATGGTCGGTGATCGAATTATGGTAATAAATACAGTGAAACTTCGTGGACTGTTATCTTAACAAAGAATTTTATTTCATTTTCCGAAAAAAATGGATCAGCATGTACGTGGTGCATGGACAAATGTTCGCGTTCTATAATACCAGGATGTAGTTGAATACCAGTTAAAAAGTTTCTCATTAGTTGATGTATAAATCAACTCGAGGGAAAAATGAAGAAGATGGAAGGAAGTTGTGGATGAGGAACATACATTTTTTTTTAGATGTTTCCGTGACTCCCAATTCTTAAGATGAAATATATTTGTCCCCCGGCAAGTGTTCAGGCAACAGCAGTTTTTTCTTTACCCAATGCTGTAGGCTTCTTAGAACTTATTCCAATTTGATACAGTGGGACGAAATTCAGGGGACCAGAAAGAAATGTATGATAGAGAGATATCCCTCAATTCATGAGTTGGAGCGGAAGTGCGATTTTTGGAATCTTGAACTGATCGATTGAGTATTTCTATTCGCAGGTACGAAGATGAGCAGCGAGCGAATCGTTTCCTCAATGAACAGATAACGCGGAAAACAGTCGTCGCACGTCAGCCCATTGTGCAAACTTCAAGGCCACCAGTGCAGAGATTGATGGCCAGCCAGTCCGCAAATCCTAATTTGATCACTTTGACTTCTGGAGAAGAGTCTTCTGGGGGAAATTTGATGGTGAGTTTAATTAGTTTACCGTAACTTTTTTGTGGGTTGCGTGGACTCTGCTGTTGAAAATTTGAAATTTAAGTATTTCTTTCACGATTCAAAAATTACCGAACGAGTGAACGTTCGATTGTTCAAACTTATTTTTCGTGAATAGTGTTCCCAAACTTCATTGGTTTTCTGATTGTAGTCACGGAGGAGACCAGCTGAATCATCATCATCTCGCGGCCCACCTGCGAAACGTTGGGTTGGTCCCATTGGAAGAACCAGACGAGTTCGGATAGAAAACTTTCCGCCTTCCATGAATGACACTCTCGAAAGCATGTGCTTGGCTCACGGTGGTCCAATCGAGGTTAGTTGATTTTGTCAACTGTATTTCAGTTCAGTAATTCAATAGAGAATAGACTATTTGAAAAGTGATCATCCTTCAAGAAAGTCGGAGTTACTGAGAAAAATGGAACTTTCGTCCATCTTCAAGCGATTTTTTTTTTATTATTGATTTGCGTCAGAAGCTCGGTAGGTATAATATCCAATTCCCATGATGTATTCCGACATTCCTTTTTCTTCAGGAGAAAGTTCCTCTTTTTGAATAGTGCTGGAATTGGTTTTTTGGAGCCTTTTAGAGTGTCAGTGCGATGTATCGTATGACCCATATCTATGATTGTTTCTCATCAATCCTTTTGTTGCAGAAGTTTGAGATGCTTCGCACAAGCCAAGGTCGTCTGGTTGCAATGGTACAGTTCGCCAACGAGGAAAGTGCAGACAGGTTCCAGCTTCGGTATCACAAGAGACTCATTGAACACTCGCAAATGTCGGTCAACTATATACCAGTTTCATTTTGAAGGTTTGCCTTTGTATTTTCCGTTCCTGTTTCTGTTGATTTTTGCCTTTTTAATTTGCCGTGACGACGTTTGAACTGTATATTCACTGGCTTTTTTCGGTGGAAGTGTATATGTTGAGCGTAATTGTATCGGAACAGAACTTTACTGATTTTGTGGAATAATGTCCCGGATTGTGGCGATCGTGAGAGAGAGTGAACAAGAAAGCTGTTGGCGAAGTTTCATCGAAAGATAGTTTTGTTTTCTCCTGCGTTGATTTTTGATATTTTTTTTCTTACCCGCGCGTTGACGAATTAGTCGAACAGTATTCGAAATTTGGACGTGTCCCGTCAATAGGAAGAATTTATTTTCGAACTCCCGTCACATTGGCTGAGATGCTGTTCCTAGGGATCATGTGTTGATTTTTTTTCACAAACTCGGACAGGGCTACGAAAAATTTTGTTATACACTGTATGTATATAATTTTTTTACAAGTTATTTAAAACGGATCTTCCTTTTAACAGAACGGTTTTATGCGAAAGCGATGGTTACACAACGTGAATCCTCGAGTGCGACTCTCTTGTTGGGCAGAAAAAAGTGGCTGTGTTTGTTTTTCTTTTTTTCATGCGACCGATACACCAGTCACAAAAGTTGATTGTAGAAGGAAAGTCGCATATGAGCATCGCAGTTTCGGTCGATTCAGACGGAAAACCTTACGGATAAATGCTGCTTTTTTCTATTTTTTTTCTAGGTAGGAGACCCTTTATTTTATTTGATTCTAGTCATCATGTTTCAATTCACGTTATGCAGCTTTGATAGAAAGCCGAGACTGCATCAATTTGGGCGCGTGTAAATTTGCTTTATTTTATTTTTTCATTCCGATCAAAAAAGTTTGATCTGAAGTGATGGTTCTGCTCGATTTTCATCGTTGCACATGCTGTCTCCGTTAGCGATCGGTTCGACTGCAGGTTTTCAGTTTTCTCCCGGTCGTTAGTCTGTGATGGAGTCGACAGGCGTTGAATAAGACGCTCTTTTCAAACAGCTCATCCCTCTGAAACACAGAATTCCTCCCTGGAGCTTTATAGAATCACGAGGCGAGAATACGCTCTGCCGTGAAAGCGGAACGCCGCCATTCTTTTTTTCTTTATTTTTATTGGTCGAAGCACATCATTTTTTGAGTTTCCGAGGAGGGAGAAAAGTTACGATCTTAAAGTTTCGAGTGGACAAGAAAACGGATTCGTCGTCATCCATCAAAATGCTGTGAGTTGGTCTCTTCCGAAGTGTTCGTTCTTTAATCCTTTTTTTCTCGCGGATTCGACGTGTATTACCGCGTGATGGTCTTCAGCGCTGAACGAATGGAGAAATATCGACTGGCGAAGCCTCCTGGGAAAGCTTGTTGGCGGCCATTTGTGTCTATCAAGGTAACAACGAAGTCTCCGAGGAATTCGCGGAATTCTTTCTCTTTTTTTTTTTTAAATTCTCCATCTCGGAAATGAGAAAACTTCTGCTTTTTTTTTAAGGTTGGATGAGAATTTACCTGCATGGACCTTTTTTATTTTTGCGTATGCTGATATTTTTTTTTAGTGAGAATTGTTTACAACTGTTGCGTGATCGAAATGTCGTACCTTCAGACCCGTTTATTGATGAAGCGTTTGCATTTGTGATGTGATATGGCAGGTATTTGATGCTGTTGTGTACGCTTGTTACTTTTTCAGGTCTCAAGATGATGCTGCTTGTTCGAAGAACGCGTGACGGGTATTACGAGCTTGCCTCTTGTCGCTAATCGGATTTCGTTATTTTGACATCGTTGGTAATTGCCCGTAAAACACTGTTGTTGGAATTTTTTCGGTCGGATTAGGTACGCTCGTGTTTTGTGTTCATTGAACAATTGTGGCTGTGAGATCCTTTTTGTAAAGCCGAATGGACAAGTTCCGTTGTTCGGGTGTTATTTTCCGTGCTATGATACAATTGTTCTACGTTTCATTATCTTTTTTTTTCTTCCGTTTTCTAGTTGAATACTTCAGTGTTCAGTGACCTCAGAAGTGTAAAAAAATGGCTGGTTTAACAAGATTTCTTGGAGGACGATACCGAGAATTGGCTCAAACATGGTGAGAAGGCTTATTTTTTCGGTCTTGTGCTGGAATTCACTCTCTACAATATAGTATTGATTGGCAATTATCGTGCTTCCCTTTTTGTTGAATGGAGATGGCCGTAAGTGTTTTACGGTTATATTTATTTATTTCGTAAGCAGTGTTGCAATTTTTGCTGACCTTGATTAAATTCTTCAGACCTAACTTGAAACTTTTTTTCCATCACTGTGAGAAAAATGATTTTACGCAATGGTCTTGAACATTTTACCCGTTTGCTTGTTACTGTTAAACCTCAATAAACCACCAACCAGTGTTAGTGAGGATTGTGACAGATAAACAGGGTTGAAGGTTTATCCATGCAGAAAACCAAGATAATGCGGAAATGAAGAATGAAAAATTAAATTAATATTCTGGAAAAAAATATCAAAATCACCCTGGCACACGTAAATTTTATCCCGCTAATGTTCCCAAAAGTAAATTTAGTCATCTTCGTGTTTGTGTGTGTTTTTAAATTTTTATTAGAGACCTCTCGTAAAAACTTCACTTTTGCGGGGTATCAAAGACAAAATGCATCGCCAAGAGCATTTTTGAGTTGTCAGTAATTTTGACAGATGTCCATTGTTTCCGATGTTATCATTCGGGAAGAAATTTTTTTCATTTAGAGTTTGATGAGGGTGGCTTCATTGGAAAAAATGCAAGGCTGACACTACAATAACAATTGTCGAACTCTGAATCACCTAATCCTTTCGAAGAGATTTTTAGCATTCCTGAAGGACAAACTCAAAGATCGGGGAGAAAGTTTCATTCTAGGAGAGAGGAATCTGTCAAACTCAACCTTCAAAGTTAATTAATCTGGGAAATAACATCCTTTTTCAATCTTCACTTCTGGTGCCCATGCATTTGACCTGTGTTGATCTGGCGTCGAGAAGCCTGTTGTTAGCAGTCAATTATTATTTTTTTAATTCTTGAATGTTCGCTGCTCCCATACAATCCTTCCTTGAAACAGAAAAGATTTGCACTAGGACTTTCAGGTTCCGGCTCCAGACCGGATGATTGTGCTCTGCAATTCATTTCTCATAAGCATGTCTCAATCGTGTTCAGTCTAGTCAATTTTGAGTGATGTAAGTTGCGCGGCATAAGTGAAATCTTGGGTAAACTATCTTTGCGTTTTTTAGCGACTGCTTTGTCTCTAAAATCATGAACTAAAATCATGTTAGTGGAAATTATTTCCCCTACAGCGTCTAAACAGGGTTTGATTTAACATGCATTTTCAGGTAGTCTCGAGCGTTTTTACTACGTTAGGATATTTCAAACAATTTAAAATGTTTGCGGCATTATTCCAGATCATGCGACTCTTTTCAAATTTTTTTAAGAAGCGGATTTAAAAGGCTGTTTCGATGAAAGTAAAGTGGGACATTTCACAGGGTCACTCCGGCTGCAACTTTTGGTGCTGCAGCAGGAATCGCTGTAACCTGGGGCTTCGACTGGAAAGCAGTTCTCCAGTATGTTCCCATTGTCAACCTCAAGTGGAAGGATGAGACGTCGTGAAAACGCCGTGTACAGTCCAAGGAAAACGTGTAGTGCAATTCGTGCGCCCCCCTTGCTTTTGTGAATTAGGTTTGAGTGATTTCGAATTCGTGGAAATGCAGCGAGTACTTCGTTTACGGTCGAATGAGTTCCTTTTTCTGCTTCGACTTTCAGTTTAATTCGTTTGGAGGTCGTTATTTTTTAAATAATTTTTTGTGTGTCGCTCGAAGCCTTAATACTCATGCCGTTATTCCGGATACGGCGAGGATTTAGTTATCCTCAGATGCTCTTTGTGTCCGTCCTCGGTGTGCTGGGAGGAATTTACATTTGGCGCCCTTTAGTGATCGAACGCCTGAAGAAAGAAGAGGAGGAAAGAAGAATGCGAGTTGCTGTCAGCGATGACGCGTGATTTGAGGTGAGCTGTGTTGTACTACTCTTTTCAATTCTGTGAAGTGATGCGGGTACAGTATTACTTATTCTGAAGTATGGCTAGTCAGGCTTGCGGAAATCCGTGTGTTGGTGTCTTTATCTTGAACTTGATATTTTTGATGATCTTTTCCGTTCTCTCTCTCTCTCTCTATTTTTTTTTTTACTGGAAGTACTGCCTTTTAAAGTTATTTCTGCGTCTCAATGGTTGGCTGGCGGAATATTCGGCGTGTCATGTTAATCTACGAGGGTTGATCCATAAGTTATGTCTGTCCTTCGTTCTGAAGTCTCGTTGTACAGTATAGGATCAATATTATGTGCATGAATTTGAGAAATGATGAGTTGAAAGAATGCGACCGAATTCAACATTCGGGTTTTTAATTGATTTCGAAGTGTGAGTTATCCTGGTTCAGAGTGTAGGTGTGTTGAAAAGTGCACAGTTACATTTTAAGGAAAAAATAATAATGCATTGCTGAACTGTGAGTTATTGGCTAAATTATTCTTTATTATCACTGCCCGATTTTACGAATTTCGGAAACGATCAAAATAATTTCTTTCTAACTTGAATTCCGTCTGGTTTTATCGCATTTTTCAGTATGTTGAAGCGTTTGCGAGCCGGGTTCCCGTGGAAAAAATACACGCAGGTTGTTTGCGGGATTGGAGCTGTATGGCTCGCATGGACCTATTACAAGGTCAGCAGGAAGGAACGAATGCGGGGTGAAGCCATGCTTGTCTATGACTTGGAAATGAAGCGGAATAACGCAAATCCCGATGAGGGATTCGTGAAGGAATGCTGAAATCATTTCCGGTCTTCGTTCAGATATTAGGGATGTTTAGAGAGAAATTCAACCATGCTTGCGAGTGCAATGGACACGTCTGACTTTTGAAACGCTTCGTTGTTCGTTCTTTTTGCTGGAATTATCCAGATTTTCGTAACGAGAGTAGTGCTTCTTTTGACCCGCTTTCTCCGTCATGCTGCGTCAGTTCTCCTCTAAGGTTCCCACGCGTGTTCTCGAGTGGCTCCCGTTTTGAAAATTTCCCTGGTGCTTTTTTTTTCTGGTTACACGAATGGATGGATTACTAGGACAAAAAGAACAAAATTCTACCCAATTTTTTTTTTTGAGGAAGTGACAATCTCACGTTTGTTAAGTAAATTGCCCAACTTTTCGATTCCAAACCTTCGTCAGCCATTTTGGTATGTGAAGTATATCGTCGTATCGATAATTTTTGCAGAGTAAATGCTTTGAAAGTCACAATCGCTGTACAGTACAGGAATTGAAGAAATTATAAGGAGCGTTTGAGGAAGTGGTCGTAGTGCAATTCTTGCTCGAGTCGCTGAAATTTGTTTTTTATATTCTTCAAGTGGGCCTGGCAAATTTTAGGTAACAAGAATCTAAGAAAATATGAAGCTGCCAAATGATAATTTAAAATTCTCGCGATCTCTTGCAGTTTTCTCGTCTGTTGTGCGTTTTTCGATGCTAGGGTTGTTGAAATTGTGTCATCTTTTTTTTTTACTTCCTTTCAAGTGTCATCTTTCAATATACTGAAATAGAAAATAATTTCAAGTCAATGTTAATCAGAAAATAAGGATTATAAATCTGTGTTAAGTGACGGTGGGGCAGTGGAAAAAAAATGAACCTGGCACAAATCGTTCTACTGCAAGCGCGAAATGAAAAATTTTGCGCCTGAAGGCAATTAGTGAAAGCCCCAGGACAACGATAGTTTGTGGAAACGAGAAATTTTCGGGCGAAATTTTGCCATCTTCAGAAAAATTATTTCTTGAAAGTATTTCTGGTGTATTTTCCTCGAACATTTTCCCCTTTTTCTTCTCTTTTCCTTTCTTGGATTGTGACAAAATGGTTTTTCTTTGACTAAAATTGTATAATTTGATGTTCGCAATTCCCCGTTATTTTAGTGCAAAAGCGTGTGTTTCAGCATATGCAGCATTTTTGAATTTGGTAGCGAGAAATTTCAACTCTTTTCGATGTCGTCAAATTACTCTAATTGGTCCTTGTGAAAGTCGAGCGGGATTCGGAGGCGTAATATGCCCGTGTAAATTATCTTTTTGTTTTTTTCTATGAGTGACCTCGTTTTTACTTCCTAGTCCTATCATTCCTTTATCTGACCATAACCGACTTCTTTGATCGAGAGTAACTGAGGGACGCCTTCATTTTGTTTGTTTTCTTGAATAAATATACCTATCGGTTAACGCACGATGATCAGTTCCAGAGTTCTCACTTCGACTCTCAGAAGTTCGTCGACAGTATTGGGTCAGCGATCGACGCCGTCTTCTCCGTCGAAGTTGTTGACACGCGTCGCGAATCCGTCTTTGTCGACGTCGCCGCGCCGTGCGTCCCTTTTGCACACTGCAATCGGAGTCAACCGCCAGGACTCACTGGAAGCGATCCGGAGGATCTCTGAAAAGAAAAATGTTGGGGCAGGTGATGGATCCGACAATTACACGTGTGACACTTCGGGGGCCGGATCTTCCCGTCGGGCTTTTTGCACTTCCGCCGCTGTTAAGGTTTCATATGTATTTCTATTTTGCCTTGAAATAAATTTGAAAACAATATTCTCCGAATCAGCGTGAAGGAGCATCTTTCCCTTCGCGAATAATTTTCTTCGTCTGCAACACTGTAGGGATATATTTTATTTACTCATCGACTTTACATTCTTGAGCTTTTTTCTCTTAATCGTTGCAATATTATTGAATTTGTTAATCGCCTGTAGTTGAAGATCTTGTCGTTAACTATCTTGACGTTGCTGTATTTCAAGCACTCGTGTACTCTATAAGATCTTTACTACAACGATTTTCTATGCAAAAGAAATTTTCTTTTACATAGGATTCTCTCCCCATGTTATAGAGGTTCTTTATAACGAAATTCTCTTCACAACGATTTTTTTCCCCGTGCCATGAATTTCGTTGCTGAGAGAAGCCACCTGTATTGAGTAACGCCCATGAAAGCCTCAAAATCTTTGTAAGCTGAAAATGTTGCAGATTAATGGTTTTTTTGGTTCGCTTTGTACGTTCTTTACTCATTTCATTTAAACCGGTACGAAATCTGGCGAATCTGGAATAAGTTGTTTAATGATGTTCTTGATGTAAGTTTCCAACAACCGAAAATAACCTACGTTTAATAAATACAGCACTAGAAACTTAAGAACTAATCTTTGTAGAGCATAGGAAGAATGTGGAATTTCTTCAGGAGTCGGTTCGCAATCGGGAATTGTGGGAAACATTTATGCTGTAGCAGTTGATGATGAACCAGGTTTCGATAAAGGATATCTCGGCAAATCTGACGAATTGGATGATCGCGGAACATCGTTAGGAACATGAGAATCGATCACGTTCAATCATCGCCTTTTCGTTCCAAGTTCTGGAAACGTTGATTCGGAAATGTTTTTTCGTTTGTTTTCTGAATTCAATCGCTCTATTTCCAGAGCGGTCCGTTGAAAGACGAGGACAGGATCTTTACAAACCTGTATTCTCGGCATGATTGGTCCTTGGCTGGAGCGAAGAAGCGCGGGGATTGGTATAAAACTAAGGAGATCATTTTGAAAGGGCCCGAGTGGATGGTGAACGAAATGAAAAAATCGGGTTAGATTTGTTTTCAAGAATAATTTTTTAACCCCTATGATAATCCATTTTAGATGTCGAAGTTCTCTTATTTAGTACTTCAGTCGAAATTGGTTCGATATGAGTGTTCTGGTTTCAACGATTTAGGGAAATGTCCTCCTCTTGGTGAATTGAATTTAAAAATGAATCCTTGCGTCCGGTCAGATTTTTACTGTATTCGCTTAATGTCTCTGGAATCTTGATGGATCGGATCTCCATTATATTGTCTGATTCCGTAATTCCCTTCTTAGGCTAATCCATTGAAACGCTTGATCTCAAATTCGACGCATAATTTTTTCTTTTGACTCTCAGTGCAAGCAACATTACATAACCAAAGATTTTGTTTCATTAGTGGTTATCGAATGTCCTGCTTATTCAAGATTCACTGGAGCACATTCTCGTGGTGAGAACAAATTTAAGATTTTATTTTGCAAATTTCATCTATTCGTGGGTAAATCAAGCAGTGAAATCTGTTCGATTTGGTTGTACAATTTTTTGTATGTCAGTATTATAAAGAAGTAGAAATTGTTTCCAAGGAGTGCATATAAATTTTTTTCGAATTACTACGATAGTAAGAGCGTCTCGTGTACACCTCAAATTTTAGTTCAGTTTTCAACAGTTGTCAGATTTGCTCAATGGAGAAATGAGTATTCAACCTTATTCGATAAAACTTGTTTTTCTTTTCTTGAAATCAATGGCGGCTATTTTGGATATATTCATATATGGTCTGTACTGTACAATACATTATATAAATTTTGGGAACAAAACATGTATTGTTGATTCAAGAGGAAGGGAGTTACTGTATTTGTGAAAAAGAAAATACTGTAGTTCGAAGTTAATTTTCGAATAGTCTGATATTTTATAATCTTGACACAAATTGTGAACTGAATGCAGTACATTCAGGGGCAGCCGTGAACTTTAGTCTCACCGTACGCATGTCGTATTTTAAAACACGACGCCAAATTGTAATCCCCCCAGTTCTCGAGGTCGCACGTTACACGAAGACGCTAGAACCTTCCGCTCTGACGAAATCGGAGGATTACATGTCAGGAAGTTGTTTAAATTTCCTTGTGCCATTATCTGGAATTTTCGCAGGAATGCGCGGTCGTGGCGGCGCCGGCTTCCCCACCGGCGTCAAGTGGAGCTTCATGCAGAAGCCCCGGGACGGCCGTCCCCACTACCTCGTTGTGAACGCGGACGAAGGAGAGCCGGGCACGTGCAAGGACCGTGAAATCATGCGCGGCGACCCGCATAAGTTGGTGGAGGGCTGTCTGGTCGCCGGTTCTGCCATGGGCGCCTGCGCCGCCTACATTTACATTCGCGGCGAGTTCTACAACGAGAGCTGCATCATGCAGCGCGCCATCAACGAGGCGTACAAAGCCGGGCTCTTGGGTGAGGATTTTTGCATTTAGACAGGAATGTTGGCATTCTCTGTAAAAATAACATTCAAGTGAAAAAGAGAGAAGGAAGTCCCTGTATGCTGGAGGTTAATTTTTTTTAATTAGCTGAATGGATGGTAAATTGGTGAGAGAAATGCTTAAGAAATTTGGCCTAAAACTTACTTGGAACTACTGTATATCACAAAGTGTCCTTATGTTGAGTCAGTGTCCTCATGTTGGGCCTTCTTTATTAATTTTTTGGGGAAAATAAGTGTCCATATGTCGAAATGTCCGCATGTCGATGTGTTAGCTTTTGGGGGTCACACTGTACTGTGCATATTTTTTGTTTACCAGGTCTGGTAAGGATTGAATCGCATCTGGAATCCAGAATTTCTTTTTCAAATTTCAATAAAATTTAGACATTTAAATTTTGTTTTTCATGACTGGTGTGCGATTCAAGCATACCAGACATGACCGAAAACAGTCTGATCTAACATATATAAATTCAAAATCACCTGGATTACGCACCCAAAATTTGAGTTAGACAGAATAAATCCTGGAAAAGTTGAGAGGATGCCGATGAAATCCCATCGAAAATTACGAAATCTGAGACAGAGCTTCCTGGGAAAAACAGCTTATGGGAAGTCTCATAATTGCTGAGTTTGTCATTCGAAGATTTCATGCCAAAGAGGAATTCAGAATTATAAATTTTGCGATGCTATGAATTTTCATCCGATTTCGGGCAGATCGTTTTTGAAAAGAAATAACCGTTTTTACTAGAGTACCACGCGCCCTCGAGTAAAACGCCCAGCAGGGGTTTTCCAGTTGAATTTTTTTTTTATAAAATCTTTAAGTAAGACGCGCATCCCATTCTTAGTGACTAAAACAAGTATTATTGTTTTGGGGAAGGAAGAATTGCTGTGAATTGTAATTTGTGATGTACTGTGCCTTAAATTGATTTCTAAAAGAATTGACAGGATGTTGGAACTTGGACGCAAAGATTAATTTGTCCAATTAGTCTTTCACTTCCTCGAAAACACGCATAGTTAACTTTCTATTGCTTTTCTCTTTCCTGCTGTGTCAATGAAAGAATAGACAGAAAGACTTGGTAAACTAGATTTGCAGAGGTTTGAGAGGAAAACCATTGTTTCTAATGGAATTTCAGATGGGGTCTTGAAGAAAAAATTCGATTCGGTTCAATTGTGGTTCAAAAATAAGAAAATTCAAATTTGAATTTATGCATGAACTGAGCTAATTTCAATTGTTTCCCGTATAATCGTTCCAAAGTGTCCCATTCGAATCAAGTAAAGTACTATGCATAACTGAATTTCTTAAAAAATATATTTGCCCGCGTGACACTCACTCATTTTTTTCCTCTGAAATTTGAGAAGAAAAAGTTGCGCGTGTTGCTGGAATAAATACGGAATTTAATTTAATCAACGCATAATGTCCGAAGTCCTTGGGAGGAGCTTATAATTTGCTCATTCCAGGAATGCATGCTTTGAAGCTACCGAGACAGGTTGAGTGCACTTCTGCGTCTGTCTCTGTAGTGCTGTGCTGGTTCTTCCCGGGATAAAGCACCCGTAGATATTCAGTGCTAATTGGAATAAGATTCAAATGTTCTAGCTGTACAAATTTAATTTTGTTCTCAAGTTTAACGCAATTCATAACGTTATTCCTGTACATTTCGCGCTTTCCTCGTGGATGAATTTCTTTTTTTTCGTATGCGAGGGTTGTCTCTCCCACGCTTCCGGGGAAATTCTGATATCGTTAAAAATATGAATATGAATATTGCAGATGTTTTCTCATATTTTTCTATATTAGGAAACAGTTTCTGCATAATGAAAAGTTCAAACTTTCGGTTTCGACCAGTTCCCCCACTCCTCACAGCAGGCTGACAATGGAATAAGTTTAAAATCCTAATTTTATTGAATATCATGTTCTTCATATTTGATGAAAAAATTTATGATGATCAGTTTTTTTTTTAATAAAAAATGAAAAATGGAAAAATTGTTTTCAAGATATTCAGCATAAAGGGCTGATATACAAATTTCCTACTATTTTTCATGGTCACTCGCCAACGATATCTGTGTCACAATTACGAAGTTTTCTTCAGTGACTTCAAGTTTGATTTTTATTCTTACGCGTTTTTTTTTTTTTTCCTTTTTATTTTCACTACAGGACGCGTGTGAGTATAGTCGATTCACTGATTTTAGACCGCCATTAATCATGGAAAAAGTGTATTCCGCGAAAAAATGCTATTTTAACTTGAAAATAATTATCCCATAAATTTGTAGATGTTTCACATTAAATTTTTTGAACTTGAAATTTTTTTCCGAAGTGGTAACATACTGAGATAGAGAAAATTAAATTGTTGAAAATACTGTACAATACATAGTTTAAAAAAAATCGAGCATAGTTCCGTATGTGGAAATACCTGTTGACTCATTTCCAAGCTATGAAACCTGTACCTACCTGTGCATAACGTCAATCGGGAGGTTTCCCAATTGAAACACCATCAAATTTTGAGTTTTTTTTTCCTGTGAATTTATCGAACTTCGTGGACTTTTCAAGGGAAAAATGCCTGCGGTTCAGGCTACGATTTCGACGTGTTCATGCAGCGCGGCGCCGGGGCGTACATTTGCGGCGAGGAAACTGCTTTAATCGAAAGCCTCGAGGGAAAACAAGGGAAGCCGAGACTGAAGCCTCCGTTTCCGGCCGACGTCGGCCTTTTTGGTTGTCCGACAACCGTAAATAACGTCGAAACCATCGCGGCCGCCCCCACGATTATGAGGCGCGGGGGTGACTGGTTCGCGTCTTTCGGTCGGAAGAACAACACCGGAACAAAGCTCTTCAACATCAGTGGCCAGGTAAAGTGCAGAAGTGTCCGGGGGGGGGGGAGCATTGTTAAATTTTTGAACCATTCCCCAGGTATAGTGCAAAAGTTGTTGAGCTTCAAGAGTCCGGGGGGGGGGGGGGAGAGAATTGTGAAAGATTAACCCATTCCCTGCAGGTGCTCCTTGGTTTTGTGCCATGCAGCAAAAAAAAAATGGGGCCCACCCAAAATAATCAGAAGTCTTAATTTACTTCATAGAGAAGTTACTTGCAAGTTGAAATCTCATTTGGACAAATTCGTCTATTCGTCATTCTACAGGAAAATAAGTTTTCTGAACCCAACTCTCGAATTCCGATCAAACATTAAAACAATTTTTCAATGTCAGCAAATTGCTCTAGTCTCTACTGCAGCTAAATTCAATAATTTTGTACTAACTGAACCTGTCATGAGCCCCATTCGGGGATTCTAACTATAATTGGCAATGCCTGAGAAAATTTGCAGCTTTAAAAGTAAAATGAAAAATATTATAGTCTTTCTAGGAGGTAGTAATCTAGAATCTAGCAAAAACGAATTTGTGGGAAATTTGGCAGGTAATGGTTCAAGAGGTAGGTTCAGTTGGTGACGAGACCGATCAGTGGGTGTAATTTTTGGCGGCGTTCGAGTTTTCCGCGACGAAGATCCCGGTGTTCAGTGCAGATATATATTTTTATTTAAGCAAGTACCTTGCTCACCATTTCATTTTGGAAAATCAAATCTGAAGATCATGGTGAAAATTATGTTACATGTCTTAACACATTTTTAAAAAAATTATGAAAAACCAGTTATACGAGTCATAAATAAATCTCTCTGGGTGGAAATTACGAGCGTGAAATGCTGTTTGGCACAGATTCTATTACAGTTCATTGTACACAATTTTTTTCAGTTGCAGGATTATTTCATTTCGAATTTTTGTTCAAGATTTTGAGCTGACAGATGTTGGGTTGCAAGTCTCAAGGGGGGGGGGGGGGGGGAGATTAACCCATTCCCTGTAGAGTGTAGACTGTAGAGGCTTCTTGGTTTTTGTGCCATGCAGCAAAAAAATGAGGCCCCCACAAAATATTCAGAAGTCTTAATTTACTTCATAGAGAAGTTACCTGCAAGTTGAAACCTTATTTGGCAAAATTTGTCTATTCGTCATTCTACAGGAAAATAAGTTTTCTGAACCCAACTCTCGAATTCCGATCGAACACTAAAACAATTTTTCGATGTCAGCAAATTTCTTTCTACTGCAGCTAAATTCAATATTTTTGTACTACCTGAACCTGTCATGAGCCCCATTCGGGGAGGCAATGCCTGAGAAAATTTGCAGCTTTAAAAGTAAAGTGAAAAATATTCTAGCCATTCTAGGAGGTAGTAAAGTAGAATCGAGCGAAAAAGAATTTGGGAGAAATTTGGCGGGTAATGGGCTAAGAGGTAGGTTCAGATGGTGACGAGACCGATCAGTGGGTGTAATTTTTGCGGCGTTGAGTTTTCCGCGACGAAGATCCCGGTGTTCAGTGCAGATATATATTGTTATTGAAGCAAGTACCTTGCTCACCATTTCATTTTGGTAAATCAAATCTGAAGATCATGGTGGAAATTATGTTGCATGTCTTTACACATTTTTAAAAAAATTATGAAAAACCAGTTATACGAGTCATAAATAAATCTCTCTGGGTGGAAATTACGAGCGTGAAATGCTGTTTGGCACAGATTCTATTACAGTTCATTGTACACAATTTTTTTCAGTTGCAGGATTATTTCATTTCGAATTTTTGTTCAAGATTTTGAGCTGACAGATGTTGGGTTGCAAGTCTCATGATGAGATATACTTTTGCCTCAATTTCAAGCATGAAAAGAAAATGTTTTAATTGATGTGTGGTCCAGTACAGTTAACTCTTGATTTAGTGCCCCTGGCTTAGTGCCAACTTGCTTAGTACCACACAAAATAATCCATGTCCTGGATGAAAAATGGGACCAAAAATAGAAATCCTTGAAATAAATCAAGGATTTTTTCTAGAGATATACCTACTGGAATCAGGTTACTACTGAGAAGCACAGACCCATGCTCAAAATAATTTTTACATTTCTATTCCTGAATTTGAACATCAGTGGGTGGCATTATTTGAGTTTCTTCACAATCATCCGTAGTGAAGAGCATCTTCATGAACTGGGATAGCCTCTTATAAAATTAAAAATCAATCATTTTACCTGATCCTGGAATAGCTTGTATATGTTTAAAATCCGATGTATTCTGTATAATTAAATAAATTGAAATACAGTACAGTATAAGAACGGCGCATTTGCTTGAGCGCACATTTATTGTGGTTTTCTCTCCTATAAAACTAAATTGCCTAATAATTCTGCAAACCAACTCATTTTTCATTGCAGAAGCTTTCAAGTACATCATCTACCTGTCATACAATAAACCGAATTTAGTGTCACCTTTACTTGGTGCTGCAATAAGATGTGCCAAGAAAAATGATGGCACAAAATTGCTTTTAGACTATAGTACTGTGCTTGAGTAACGAAAAATTCATTGATGGAATTTGGGAGGCTATTGAGCAATTCAACCCAGGAATTTTGTGAAGCTTCAAATTTTAATTTATTGAAAATTTGAATTTCCGCCTGGTGTAACAGGTGAACAATCCATGCACAGTTGAAGAAAGCATGTCGATCCCTCTAAAAGAGTTGATTGAGCGTCACTGCGGTGGCGTAGCAGGAGGCTGGGACGCGTTGACGGGGGTAATACCCGGGGGTTCCTCGACCCCGATCCTGTCGAAGGAGTCCTGTGAAGTTGCTTTGATGGAATTTGACTCCCTAGTGGAGCACAAGTCAGCCTTGGGCACCGCTGCCGTCATTGTTGTCAACAACAAGGTTGTTAAGGATTTTTTTTTTCGTGTCCGAATCCCGAGACTTCCACAGTTTATGCTAACAAGAAACGAAAATTTAGGGCATATCTTATATAGTCTGTATCTTATGAACTAAGCTCCTTGATAGAAATTGGGTGGGCTATCTGGGCATCATTTTTTGAGTGAGAAGTGTGTTGTGCCGACTTGCTGAAAAATCTTTAAATGAAACTGGAAGGTTTCAGGGGTTCGGAAAAACTCGCGTGTCACATTCTCAATGTTTCCTTTGATCTCATTGTTGTCGGTTTATGAAAATTAATTTATCGTGCTGCTTGTAGTACGATGTGGTTTACGCGATAGCCCGGCTGATGGACTTCTATGCGCATGAATCATGCGGACAATGCACTCCGTGTCGCGAGGGTTGTTCCTGGATGAAGAAGATGGTGCATAGATTCGCCGCCGGAAACGCGAAAGAGGAAGAGATTGATATGCTGTGGGAGCTGTCCAAGCAAATTGAAGGACACACCATTTGTGCCTTGGCGGACGGCGCTGCCTGGCCCGTGCAAGGCCTGATACGTAATTTTAGGCCGACTTTGGAAAAGCGGATGCAAACGTTCAAGAACGCTGCCTCTGGGCGTTCTTGACTTTTGCTTGTAGTGCACTCAGCTGTTTCCCCCTCCCCCATTTTTTTGTTCGGTAATGAAGCAATTGATCGCTTGCCAAGGATCTCTTTTCCTGGTGATAGTTGCCTTGCTTGCTGCCAGATGGCTCTTAACCTCAATATGGCGACGAACTGCATTCAGGAAATGAAAACACTCCGCGACGCAAACCAAAAACAAGCTTGAAGGTCATTGTCAGGAATGCTTTGGACGTTATCTTGAAGGACTGTCTCTGAAATAATCCACGTGTTTCGACACTAAAACCACTCCTTATTATCGTTGATATTTTTCTGAGACGAATCTGAGTAAACCAGCGATTTTTGCTTTTTTTCCTTGATTCTGGGGATTTTTCGTGTAAGGTTCAAATGTAGATTTTGAGGCAGCGTCAGTTATTTGACGCTATTCAAACCAAGCCCATAGGGCCGAAAGTGAACTCTTGAAAGGTTGAATTCACGCACACTGAGGGAGTGGCTTCTTGTAACCTTGAAGTCGCCCGACACCCGGAAACGCTCATGCGGTATGCGATTAGGCTAGCTGGGTCCAGCTCGCAATGCCTCATACGTACACCTCTCAATTACTTTACTGTTGTGCTATACTGCGTTTATTGAGAAAGCCTTGTATGATTTGAAAGCGAACTGATAGTTCCCGGCGAAAATGAGTGGTAAAGCGGTACCTCTTCTGATTTTGAATCTCGGGGGAGAAATGGTTTACATAATTCATCAGCGGTTGGGAGCTCAAGGAATACCACAAGATAAAAGCGAAAAAGGTCAGTGAAAACTTCATTTCGTTTTGTCGCGTATAATACTTGAGAATGTCTGGATGTACCGTAAATAAATCCCACGAATGAGATTGTGAGACCTTTCATATGCTTCTGTAGTTATTGCTGACATCGTGGGTGCCTTGGTGAGCCCGTCTTTCATGGACGAGGTTTTCAAAAATCAGCGTGTCTGTAGCTTGCAGACTGTGAAAGCAATTTTTGAACGCATCGTAAATTCGTCTATTATGAAGCTCAGCACGGACAGCATGGATAAGGTAGAAATTTTGGCAAGGGTTTCTCGATTCTAATTCTAACTGCTTGACTCGTGAGACAGATGTTTGACTTGATGGTCATGGTGTTCAAGTACCAGCTGCGCAATTGTCGCTTTCCTCGGGAACTGCTGTGGGTGACGATGAACCACTTGCGTGGTATTCGTGGTGTTGTTTTTCGTCCGCAAGTTGTAGGGAATGTTGCGCTCGTTGGGAAGAAGTTTGTTGAGGTGCGTACAAGTCTGCTCTTAATTTATTTTTGAAGTGTAAGAACAATAAATAACGAATTTCTTATCTGAGCTTTCTGCGACGATTTATTGATTTTTGCGCTTGTTTTTTTTTATTTTTTTACTTCCGCCTCGAAACCGAAGTGTTCGGCCTTGAACGTGACTTATTTCATGTCAGCTGCGCAATTTGCATGATATATATCAATTATTCTTTCCAAGTGTACCCTTGCGATGATTTCTGCAGAACTTGAGATGAAATGTGTGAAATCAGTTTTGTGATTGCTCACCCTAATCTGAGCGGTATTTTTGAACATTTCAATATGATTAATTTTTTTCTCCTCAGGCATACAAATCTTTTTCGAACTGGGATCTTCAGATTCTCAGGTTTCAATTGCTGAATTGGGTCCAGAATATGCACATCAAGGTTTCAAACTTTCTCAAAGACGGAAAGCAGGATTCTTTCGGGTACTTCATTGTACCCAGTGGAACTTCCGTTGCGTTCGGATGTGATGTTCCTGGGAAGATGAAATTATTATGTGGCACTTCGGCTCCGGAAGTTCGCACTTTTCCGGTGTTGTTTGAAAGCTCTGAGGATGATACTCAGGGTTCTTTGGATTGGAATGGACAGCCGGGTACTGATCTTGGAAAGTCCATGTAAATTCATCTTCGTTACTCTTTACGATCATTATTATCCGATGATTTTCTGTACTGTTCACTGAAAAAGATTGTCATTGTTGTTTTTGCTTCTGAGATCTGTAACTTCGCTCCCACTTGTCCAACCTCGATGTAACGCATTTTTTTTTACTTCACAATTGGATTGTTCTATCTATCAAAATTGAGTTTGCTAAAGACTAGAAACTCGTCTAAGACGTTACTGTTACAGTATAATTTTTTCCTTGTTCTTTATTTTTTAATTACTTGGATTTGTGACGTGTTGCTTGTCTCTGACTCATTTTTCCACATTCCAGTACTGCCCTTCACTGTATTCATTGGTGACACTTCTGAAGGTGTCTTAATAGTATACAATGCAAATGAAATGTCAGTTTCATATCTACCACTTAAATTATATGCTGAGTACTTCTTGTTGATGCATTCTGCGCACCAAAGAATAACCAAACCTTAGCTAGCTTTTTTGACCAATAAAATTTCCGTTTAGTTACGCCGAGGATCTCACCATTGTGAAGTCCGAACCCGAAGCTAGCGATCCAACGATTACAGAATTCAGAAAGATGTCGTGTACGTCAGGGAAACCCTTCATGCCTGCAAATAGTGATGCTCTTCATGCGAAGGAGGAATTGAATCTCTTGTCTATGTTGGTTGATGGCACAGATAAGCAGAGTGAAAGCGAGACTTTCAAACTGAATTTATTTGGGACTTCTATCTTTGAATCAGGGTGAGAATTACCGCGAAATTCCCGCGGCGTTGCTTTTCTCATGAAGCTTTATTTTCGGATATTGTCAGGGTAATTTCTGATGAAGTAACAGAAGATGCCGAGAAGACTGCTGTGATCGACTCACGAATCCGTCCGCAGAACGAGGAGCTTTGTCAAATATTTAAAGAAATGGAATTGCCGTCCGAGAAAGAAGATGTGGATTTGCTGGCTTTAATGGACGAAGTCGTGTGAAATTTTGTGTGACCTACGCTTTCCGTAATCTCTAATCTAGGTATTGGTGGTATTTTGACGCAATGTCTTATCTAGTCCTCAGTTTTTGATGTTGATCTCGAGTTTACCAGTGTGATTCATCAGTTCTGTTCGTATCCGGTGTGATCTAGCCTTTATGTTGTTCTGTGATTGGTTGCGCATAAAATTTTGTTTCAAATCATTTTTACAGGTTTCGTCTTGCTCGCTTCAGTGCAGTAGAGAGCTATTGTATTGCTTTAGTGCTGACTGAGTGTCGGTGACGAGTGAGTGAGAAATGATCTGCTGAAATCGCTTCCGCTGAGTTTTAGCGTCGCTTGACTATGACCATGAGTCGTAACTCAATCGAATCGAGTTCACCGCGGGGGTCAAAATGCGACGGAAAACCGATGGCCAGATTGAACAGATCGATGTCTGTTCATTCGGCAGACATTTGCCGGTAAGTGTCATTTATTAATCCTGAATGCCCTCATTTTGAACTGGTGGGGTTCTTTCCTTTTTCTTGTGCTCTGGAATTCTTGAACCTGTCGCCCCTCCGAAGTCTTGGCTCTTGTGTATTGTTGACGTAAATTGTCCTGTAGTTGTTTATGTTTTGTCATTTCTATGTTACAAAGCTGCATAAACAAGATTCATATTGCCGTCAATATATTCCTTTGGTTGAAAGACAAATTTAGAGCTCCTAACTTTCATTCTGACTATTGAATTATTGGCCGTCATTTCAACTTAATAATCATAAAATTTTATACTCAGTCGAGATTCCCCGCAATGGTCATCTTAACTTCGATTACCAAAATTGTGTGGCTATGACTTCCGCCGCTTCTTTCTCTCTTGAGGCAATGCCACTTTTAATTCTGTTGTAATTTTTCGAACAAAATTTGGAAGAAGCTTCTAATTTGGGGTACAGTAAACCGAAAAGAACCCCCCGCTTATCTAATAATAAAATTGCAAGGTGTGATTCAACTTCTCAAAAATTTATCACGACTGTTTCCGCAATAAAAATCGCCAAAAAACTCACGTAAACCACGGATATAGACGAAGTTTTAACGACAAGTGATATGAGTAAAGTGCAGGTATATGAGCGTAGATGGTGAACAACTCAAGACTGAAACCGAATTTTTTGTCCTTCATTCATATCCCCTTGTCACGCGTATGTCCGCGAATGGTTTTGTCGCGTCAGAGCTCAATTCGGAGCTTGAAGTGATCTGACCGAACTATGTCTCATAATACATAATTTATTGTTTTGACATTTTGCAGAATCTGTCACTGCGAAGTGGGAGAAGGGAAACCGGATAGTAACTTGATTGCGCCCTGTTACTGCTCTGGATCTTTGCGTTTTGTGCATCCCGAGTGCCTTCAGTTATGGATCAAGGCGTCGGATATCAAATCTTGCGAATTATGTCACTTCGCTTTCATCATGAACACGAAAACGAAGCCATTCTCTCAGGTGATTTCTTGGATTTATCGTTAATGAAGAAGTTTCTGCTGCAATTTTGAGGTTCGGAAATGGATTCAGGAAACGACGAACACTCGTGAAACCGTTTTTTGAAAACTCAATTGCGTGAATAAATTTTTTTTATAGGAAGTATCTTTTGAAACTTCGAGTGTCCGTAGAGTTTCTGTGGATTGAGAAACTTGTACGCTGCATAATGTACCGTTAAATCATCTGAACAATCTTAAATTTTTTGACCGCACTACAGCGATGTTATCCATGCAACAAAATTTTATGTGGTGCTTAATTTGTTTCTCTATGATACAGGTTACTCACTCTACAGTAAAACGAATAATTTTCAAGTGACCGTCGTTTAATTTTGATTTACATGGTACGTGATGTTCCATTTTATTCTGGGTTCATTTGTTGTTTACATGAGCGTTATCGCAATATCACGATAACATTTTTGTATCGAGTCTAGTAATATTGTGACATTTTTTATCCTTTGAACTGAGACGCTTTCTACCTTGAACAATGGCTTTATCCGAGGTTTGACCGAGGCTAGAATTCTGATTTTTTTTACCGCGAAGACGCTCAAGTTCAAAAAAAGCCTTCACAATTTTGAGAGAATGTTAGGAAAAGTAACACATGTTGCTGATTGATTTTCGCCTTTAGTGGGACCGCCTGGACATGAGTACTATTGAAAGAAGGAAAGTCCTCTGTTCGGTAACGTTTCACATCGTGGCAATCACTTGCGTCGTCTGGTCCCTGTACGTGCTCATCGACCGCACGGCAGAAGAGGCCCGCTCGAACCACCTGGAGTGGTCCTTTTGGACGAAGCTCATCGTCGTCGCCGTCGGCTTCACCGGCGGCATCGTGTTCATGTACGTGCAATGCAAAACCTACGTGCACCTCTTCAAAAAGTGGCGGGCTTTCAATCGCGTCATATGCGTCCAAAACGCGCCGGACAAGACGGTGTCCGTGTTGGTGGCCCTCGACCCCATCGGGCCAGACATAGGCGGCGTTGAGAAGACCACTGTGTCGTCTGGGGACGCCGAACCGTGCTACGAGTCTGTGGTGAGTGTGCACAACGCGGAGAGGGAAGAGGAGCCGAAGGTGGATGTGCACCGTGTCGACGATGCGTCCAGCAACAAATCCGACGACGAGGACGAATCTGGAGAGGCGCCTCTTTGCACCACGATGCCTGTTTGAAGCCTTTTTTTTCCCCAACACACATACCCGTAAATTCTGCTCGGACTGCATGTCTGAGCTTTTTTTTTGTTTCCGTTGATGCTCATTTTTCACGCTCTTTCCAGCGTCGTTGAATCCCTCATGTCATATTTTTAATGTGGTAGGTTGAAGGGCATTCTCAAGGGCTATTCCGATCTTTCTTACTAAGCGTTGATTAGGTTTCTGTTGGCTGATCATATCGATCGATAAAGGGTGACCTGATGCGATGGAAGCAAAGTGAATATCCATTTAGCCGGTGTAAAGGTGCTCAGAATTTAAAATTTTCTCGTTCGAAAAGCAACATTCAAACTCTCTGTCTAAAATCACCCTTTTGACCCTTTATATTCCCGCATGTTGCGAGTCAGTGATGTTTACGTCCAGCTCATAGGTGTCGCTTAATTGTTATGATTTAATATTGGTTATACTGTATTAGGTTTTGAGGTGACACCTCGAACCTGAATTATGTTTTCAAGCTTGAAAAGTTAGAGTGAAACATAGGCCATAATGGTTACTTCAAGAATATCGAAATTTTCACGCAGTTAGAAATAATTTTCCTGTAGAAAGTCGGCAAGCAACTGTCATGCATTTTTCCATGCCCGCATTCTTTTTTCTCTTACTTGAAATTCATGGACGGAAATGGCTTATTTTCGAAGCCATTGGCTTTCTCTCGCTAAATAAACATAGACTATTTTAAATCTCAATGATTATGTTTTGATCGATCCATAATTCTTACATTATGATCGAAATCGATCATTTTCGCAAGAAGTCGAATAGTCAATACCCTGTTTCCGCCGAGTCGAATGTGAATAGTTCAGCTAGCAGAACTTTTGTCGAATAATTCGCAGGTATTTTCAGAGAGATTTTGATGATAGTGTCATTTGCATAAGTTGACACTGACTAGTTGAGTTGATGAAGTTGTGTATTCATGGCATGATGGGTACTGGTGTGAGCGTGAAAAAGAATTTTGATCCCTCCTGAAGTTTTGGTATTGCAACTGCTCTTCCCACTGGTCAAGTTCACGTGCATTTATCTTTTTTTATTGAAGGTACGTGTAGGGAAATTTTCCTTTCTTTGTTGAGTTTCCGTGATTGAGGAGCTTCTTGGTGAATTGCAGACGATTTGTCACGGTTGTACAAGGCGTGAAATTTGTTTGGTTTTTTGACGTATTTCTTTGGTTAATTTGTTTTTTATTGATTTTAAGAGTTTTCCTCACGATTGCCGTGATCCGCTGTTACTGGAAACAAAATTACATTGGTAGTTGAAACATTGAAATGTTGCCTGTGATATTCGATTAAGTGCGTAAAAAAATTTTTTTATCTCGTTTAAAGTTCAATATATCTTGAGGAATGCATTGATCTCGAATACTTTTTGAATTTAAAAGGTGCCTTGATGCATTGACAAATTTCAAGTTCGTTGTACCGAGATTCGATTCCCTCCTGCGTGATCCGTGGGAAGAGTGGTTTGCTATCAAAATTATAACTCGACTACTGTAGTTGGAGTATACTTTTTGCTGTGATTCCAACGCATCCGTGTGAAGAAACATTTTTGTGAAGTTGAGAGGATGTGGTTGCTTTCGTCGTCATGTTTTTCGCTTTACGGAAAGTGGGATTTTTTTCCATGGAACTCACGATTTTTAAACGCTGCTTGGATTCACGAGGAGATTAATGAGTGTTACTTCCCATGGACTCGCCATTCAGGAACGAAATTCGGCGCGTTTTACTTCTTTTTTGCAAATCTTTCTTGAACGTCCAGGTTGTGAAAGGATTGTGGAGCATGTTGGGTGCTTGGAATTTCCCCTGTGAATTGCATCAATTGCCGTGAATTGCATCAACTTTCCGGAAAATCTAGTCAGCTTAGACCCCGTTTTGGAACGAGGGTTCTGAATAATCGTTGGGCTTTCTTTTCTCAGTTGTCCGTGTGTTGGGAGGATAACACGAACTGAGAGAACGGATTCGTGTCCAGTTCATGTACCGTCTGCTTCAATGGATGCGTGAATTTAATTTTAAATTTTACCGAAAAAGAAAAATAATTCAACGGAAAAAGTACTTTACTTTCTCATATTACCACTATATTTTCTCAACTTGGTTCGGTTTTGTTCATTCCGCATATTAACGCGAATATAAGACAATTCTAATTTGTACCTGAACTAATCGGGATTCATCTTAGAATTGAAAGTGTTGAATCTAGATTCAAATTCTAGTTTATACCCTGGCCAAAAAGTGTGCTCTCAATCAAAAGATTATTATACTGTATTATGAACCTCGTGATTTTTGAAGATCAGATTAATTTTATTGTAAATTTACGCTGAAAATTGAAAGTTCGAAGTTGAAATCTAATATTAAAAAAAGCAATTGTCTATGACTTATTTTCTTGTAGATTTTTATGAAACCAGGTTAATTGCATGAAAGAAAATTGAAGTGACCCTCTGATTGCAGGTTTTAATGGCAGTGTATTGTGTGTTTTAATGAATATCAGTCTTACATTCGTTCTATTCTGTACTGAAGACTTCTTGGTATACGTAAAGCGACTGAGTATTCGTTTCAGATTTGCCAGTCATTTTTTGTTGAAAATGCTGAAAATTTGAGTTTTTACTTGGAAATGCTTCTTATTTTCGCGTAAATTCGAAGATTCAATTTTTTAAGTTTTCCATTGTTTCGAGGGGAAACAATTTGATCGAACAAATATTTGGAAGATATGTCGAGCTTGAAACATTTGCTGGCCACTTTTTCTTATGACTGGAACTGGCTACTTCGTTGAATTTTAAGAGCCATCACTAAATACAATACTGTACTTGATTAATACTTTCGAAACGAGCTTTCCTTTTGTGATGCGTTGAAAAATGTATTCTTTGTATGTCCGTTCAAACGACGCTGATTTTATTTTCCAATTTGAATTGCACTTTTTTTTGACTGTGTTGTGTTTTCTTTGATTGATTGATTGATTCTACTGAGCCGGCATTTCTTTTCCCCGCGAGGAATTTCATGAATATGCAGATCTCGTGGCCTTTTTCCTTAGTTGCTGCTGGTGAATGTTGCAGAAAACATACAGGAAGATGTCTTTTCCCCCTTGCAAACGCGGTACGTCGTTTTTTTTTTTTTCAATCGGAAGCGAGGAATCTACCAATAAATATGGTTTGTGTTAGTGGCTAGTCTCGAATGGCATGATTTGTGTTTTTGATATCCGGCGAAAGTGAACTTACGGGGGTATTCTGGAGTCTCTGAATGGAACTGAAACTGAATGCTTCATTTTCACTTTTTCCTTGTTTCACGTGTTCAGTGTATTGGCAAAAAAACGTTGGGTCTGTTCATACGATGGTTTGCTGTCGTTTTATCGTAACAGATCTCAAGAGAACTGGTGTCGTGTTACTTGAATTTTTGGAACACCTACTTGCTACCTAGTAATTTTATGCAAGAATTAACTTTCAATCCGAGGTAAAATTTTAAAATCCACTGACGTGATTCTCTACTGCAAAGCTGTGTAAAAAAAGAAAAACTGAAGATTCAAGCTTCGGATTTTTTGGTTTTAATAATCATGACTGGATATTTTTAAATTATTTTTTGCACAGGAGTAGGGCCCATAAAGAATAAATTATAAATACCATACATGTAAATCAATTTACAACCTTCAATTATTTGCTCGAATAACTCGGTCGCATAAATTGATTCAAAAATAGACTAAATTATTCAATAACTTCTGTCACAAAAATCATAAAAAATACGAGAAAAATTAGAAAACAATTTCTCTGGGTCGCGCCTCGACTAATTCTGTTTATCGTCGTTGCATTTCCTGGTAAAGGATTTTGCTCCAAATAATGAAGAATTAAATGTGAAATATAATGAATATGCAGTCTCGTCATTGACGAAAGCGTTCGGAATTTGTTGCCGGCAACACAAGCAGACAAGAATTTATGTTTATCTCATTTTTGGGAACGCAAATCGTGTGAACCGGCCCTCATATTGGAATTAACCGATTGAAAAAAAAAGATTTTGTGCTTCGAAGTTTGAAAGAAAGTGTGCTATTTTTTCTTACAATCCTGCATGGCTTCATGCCGTCGGCGGCATGAAACTACACGGAACAGGCATTACGGAGATGGTTACGCGTTTCCTGCGGCACGATGTTGTGAGAGTGTGGAAGAACGCGTTGGCCCCTGGCCCGAACCTCTGGTTGGTGTCGACGTGCGCGCGGCGTTCATTGTCCACGGAATGCCGCCTAGGAGCCGCCGCCACCATGGACTCGTTCGGCACGTGGGGCGGGAAGGTGGACCTGAACCTGGAGGAGACCGTGCGGCGTGGTAAGCTGATTCCGCGAGTTCAAGTGTCGTCTGTTGGGTTCGACTCGAAGCAGGGGAAACGGCAATACCAGGAGGACCGATTGTTGGTGGCGGAATTGGGGCCGGATTTGCTGTTGGCGGCCGTTTTTGACGGGCATGGCGGCGACGCGTGTGCGCAATTTGCCGCCGATCACTTCGTGGACCAGGTTCGGTTTTGGTTGAACAAACGGGATCCGAAGCGACTGGACGATGTGCTTGCCTTGGCCTTTGCTTCCATAGACGACCTGTTCGCCGATTTCATCATGGAGAAATTTCGTGGTGAGCTCTTGTAAACGTTACTTATTTTTCGCTGAATCCATTCCGACTCGTGACGAGCCTGGGAAAGATTCAGTGGGGCCTCGCCTAACGAACACAATTGGTTCCAGCACTGCGTTTGTAAGGCGGGTCACGTATTCCGTCAAGGATTAATGTAAACCCCATGAATTGGTTTTTGAAGAAAAATTTGACAAAAAAAATTGCTTGATTTTTTTATTATTCAAGTCCCTGAAGTGCTCAGAGTGTATTGTAATTTGTAAAGGTCTTCGAAATGTCCCTTTGTTAATTTTTCCAACCATGAACCTCATGTACTTCTTGTTCATGAGACATCTTTAACAAGGGCAGTTACCGATGTAGTGTGCACAAACTGCATAAATGTCACTTCTGCAACAAGTATAATTTGTCCTTCGGTGATACTAACACCTCTCAAGCTAGTGAAAAATTTGATAAATTCTTGAATTTGATTAATTTAAGAAGTGTGATTAATTCTTACAGAGGAAAAAATTTACGCCTTTTTTAGGTTTACTTCCAGAGCGTGCAAAATATTTACCCGCCTTATCAGGTGCTTGAGTTATGTTTTCAGTAGGTTTGCCTGCATTTTTCTGGGGGATTGATACCTTAATGTGGATCTGTTTATGGAGATGATCCCGTTGTCCGACATGCTTTCGATCAGATACTGCTCCTGAGAAAATCCGATCGAGTGGCTCGACTGCCACCGTCGCGATAATTCGCCTTGGGAGGCAACTAGCAATAGCACACGTTGGAGATTCCAGGGCGATACTTTGCCGAAATGGAGAAGCAATGACTTTGACTCAAGATCATGTTCCGACTGAAATGATAGAGAACGTAAGCGTGTGTTTGTTGATTCTGGTTTGTTCGTTTTTTTTTTTTTTCATGTTGAGGTAGAATCTTCATTGTGGGTTGTTCTCAGGATCGCATCACGCGTTACGGCGGTCGTGTGTTGGAAGACAGTTACGGACAACCGAAAGTGAATGGAAGGCTTTCTATGAGTCGAAGTTTGGGCGACATTGATTTGAAAAAGTATGGTGTTGTTGCTGTGCCGGACACGAGAATGGTCAAGGTGAAACTTCCTGGTTTTTCCTCCAAGGCAACCTTTTTTGAAGAACGTTCAGGCTTTGCTAATATTTCAATAAATTCAGTCTCCAGATAGATCTTGATTTATTCTTTTTTTGTTGACGCCCAACCTTGTATCGAGGAATATCGCTTGAATCCTATAAAAGCCATAACAGACCTGACCGAAATTTAATCTTACCTAACGTAAACAAATTCAAAATAACCTGAATTACTCTCCTTGAACCTGATAAAGACACAATACATCTTAAGAGGTTGTGGGGAAATCTATGAAATTGCCTCGAAAAATGAAGGAAGTGAGGCTTCGAGCTTGGGGAAAACAGCTTATGGGAAGTCGCAGAATTGCTGAGTACAATATGTCAATCGAAGATTTCATGTCGATGAAAAATTCAGAATTGGAAATTTTAAGGTGCTACGAATATGCATCCCGATTTGCGCGGATAAAGTTTGACGGTCAAAGTTCTTGAAACTAAACTACCGTATTTCTTCGAGTACCACGCGCCCTCAAGGAAGACACGCACTGTAATTTTTCACCCTAAAATGTTTATGAAATCTTATCCCCGACCAAGACGCGCACCCCATTTTTAGCAACTGAAAACTAAAATATTTCTAAAAGAGACACACCAGAATTCAAATTTTGTCAACCTGAATTAAATTATTGGATTTCAAGAAGTTTCTGCCAAAAATGTCCGATTGTAACACTCACCTAAATTTCCAGCAGTTTTTGAGAATTGCATCCCCACTTATGGTACCCAACCAAAAGCCCCCCCCCCCCCCCCCCCACCCATGGGCCTGCTGGTGAAAGGTGCAGCTTACCATCAAGAGTTACAAGAATACCTGTAATCCCCAATTTTTGAACGTAGGGGGGGCTTTAGGCAGGGGGGGGGGGGGGGCTTTTGGACTACACCCCCCCACTTATGAAGAGCACCCCCTTTTTTCTCTCGAGTTTGAGAAAAAATGTGTGCATGTGTGTGTGGTACTTGAGTAAATACGGTATAATCTTTTTAGTTCAAGTTTCCAAACATACAGAGGTTAACAAATTATTCTATATAATCTGGAAGCTGGAATTTCTGTGCTAATATCCAATTCAAGCACTGGTCTTACCATAGGTTAAACACGGCATCGACAGCTTCCTGGTCCTGATAACCGATGGTGTATGCGGTGTGATGACTGATCAAGAAATTTGTGACACTGTGGCATTACATGCGGATCCCTTCGAAGCCGCAAAGAGTGTAAATGAACAGGCGATCGCTTTCAACGCATCTGATAACGTTACCACGGTTGTGGTGCCTTTCGGGTCATGGGGAAGTACCACTCGGTCATCTTCCGTGTTTTATTCGTACGGACGCAGTTTCACGGGGAGCAGCAGGTTCAGTTGAAACAATTTTTGAATGATGAACGTGTTGCGTTGCAGTCCCTTGGTGAAGGTTGCATAGTGAAATGGATCGGAAAAAATACGGTTTTTTTGTGACTTTTCCATTACTTGTGAATGACTCAGTTGTTGCCAATGAAAGGAACTTGATTTCCGTTTTCATCCCGGATGTCTTAATGCCCCCAGCACTCAAACTTGGTTTTTACATCTGGTCTAAAGAATCAATGCTGTACATTTCGACCCGTTACGAATTAACTGATTTTGAGTGTTGATGGGAGGGAGCGTTGATTTCAAATCCTTTCGTATGGTTTTCTGTAAATAATTTGCGTTGGTATTCTTTCAGATGACTCTCTTGTGACGTTTCCTCTTACGCCTTCTGTGTGATTAGTGTTCTCGAGCTTTCCTTCATTAACCAGTTTTGTAAAATATGTGTGAACGACTTCGGAGACTTGGAGGCTGTCCCTCGTCGCTTTCGCTTGAGGTTGTCTTCGTTGTGTCCTTTCTTTTCATTCTTGGTTCCTGCGAAGAAGAATGCATGCGTAAGTTCAAAATAATTTTCGGTAACTTTTGTGCACTCATGCCAAAAGGTGATGCGAAAACGGATCACGCGAATTTTTGATGACCTCGTATGGAGTGGCGTAATAATGATGAGTTTTATTTTCCGATGCACAGACAAGACGATACAATGCTATACCTGTGACTCAATGTTCGACCCGAGATGCCACGATCCGTTCAATTATACAGACCCCCCAGATACTGAAGAATGCCTCGGGTGTTGTGTCAAACTTGTCACTAATGTGGGTACTGGTGAGTTTATTTGCAAACCGTTGCCCTGTCCACGTAATTTTTTACACGGCAGGTGATCAATGTCTACGTACGGTAGTTGTTTGATTTCGCTGAGTTAATTTTTTCCTCCTCTTTTCTGCAGTGCAGTGTAACTCAGAAAAATGTACGACCAATTATGAGGCGCGTTATAATTACTACGCTTGCATGTCGAAGTTCCGTTGATAACTTTTGATCAATGAAAATTCTGTAATTTACTAGGGCAACGGAAAGATCAATTCGAACATTTTTTTGAACAGGGATTGAAGTGACGAGGAGGCTTTGCACAAAACGACTCTGGATCAACTTGTTTATGGTGGACCACGTCTGTATGAAAGAGGGTGATAGATCAGGTCATATGTGTTTTTGCGAGGATGACCACTGCAACAGTGGTAACACTGTGACCTCTGCGACCTTTCTCTGCCTGTTTGCTACGATTTTATCCGCCTTCGTGGTTTTGTCTCCGTCCTGGGAATTCCCTTTGAGGTAAATGTTATCCTACGTAATTCCGGACTCAGGGCTCTCGAGATGAAATTCGCGAGCTTTTGTTTTTTCTTGTTTGAATTTTCGATTTTTCATCGCGGAATTCACGGGTCTTGTAACACGGTTGGATCACAATTACCGGTCACGATCTGAGATGCTTGTTTGTTCGAATTTCGATATTGCGCGGTATTTACCTTCCGTAAGTGGTTTTTTTTTTTAAATCTAGTCACGAGAAATTTTCTTGACGTTCGAAGTTTGGGCTTGATATTCCCAGACCTCCCTGCCTAGTCCCCTTCCAAAAAGAACGAGAAGTCTCAATCTTCCTTTGTGATTCTTCCAACGTTCATGTGCCTTTTATCGTAAGATTAGATCTGAAACTTGCACAGGGAGAAAGTGTTCTTGACTATAGTTACCAAATTTTGTCGACACTTGTTCTCCTTTTTCTCAATCGTCTTGGCATTGCGTCGTTCCGTGGTGCCTTCGTGAGAAGTTATTTTAGTGTTCACGGAAGGTGAAGGAAGCGTTTCTTTTTTTTCGCGAGTGTTATACGAACGTCACGGATCTTCACGCGATTTCTCGTGTGTGTTTTTCAACGAACTTACCGACTATTCGAAAGTTTTGCTCATTTTTTCGAATTTATGCGGTCTTCAATTGTTGCGTAGCTTTTAGACGTGAACAGGATGTGATGGAGTCTGGAGATTTAGTGTGAAAGGTTCGTTCCTTCACCGGAAATCGATTTCTAGTATATAGTTCCTTTTTAAAATGTTAAAATGTTAGCGTGTTGAATTTTCTGCGCACGGCGTGGATTTGGTCCTTTTTCCAGCACGATTATGTGATCATTGCCTTGACAAGTCAATAAATCCTTGTGATTTGCTGTTCCTACTTATCTGGAATCAGCTTTTTCATTCTACTGATGAGTTTAGTGAATGTATTTCTTTTTAATGAATCCGTGCTCAATACGCTTTTTTCCTCGAAAATTTAGAACGGTCTTGCGTTGATCATATTGTTGCTGAAAGACTTTGTTTCCTGTTACCTATTTTCTATAGCTGATCACGTGAATGACGAACTTACAAATTCAGAACTGATTACTGTAATTTACTCATTTATATCTGTGATGGATGAATATTTTCATATTAATCCAATGCTAATGAATTGCGATTACTGTGGATGCTGTTTACTAAAATTGAATTTTCCGTCTCTCCCAAATTCAGCATTGCATCATTTTAGCCCTTGATAAATCGCAGTTTTAAAATTGGAAATTGTGGTGAGGAAAAATTACATGTACGAATAAAAAAATATTACACGTATTTGTTAGGACAGCTTCCAATTTCGTAATGGGGCGTGCAATCGACTGAATTAGTTCTTCATTGAACGTCATGCAATCATTCGACCATTTGAAATGAGATTCAGTTTATTTTGACTAAAGGTTATTTCGTGGGAATTGATACTAGGCTCATTTTTCACCGGAGTCATTATTTTGGGGAAACGTAATGATCATCGACCTGATGAAAATACAGTCGTTGTTTTTGAAACCGGCTGATGAATTAAATTGAAATGATTCTCTTGTTGTAGGACCCGATGATCTCCGTAAATGTGAACCGAGCAGGTGATGAAGTATTTGAGTGCGTCCTTAAGTTTTTATTTCAATCGGGGTAAAGCTGGAAATGCCCAGTCGGGGCGGAGGGAAGCAGAAACAAGGCGACCTCAGAACGTTCTTCGCGAATGCGTCGAAGAAAAGCAGTACTATTGAGAATGCGTCGGCTTTCCAGCCGGATTCCGACGATGATTTTTTCCCAGACGAAAACAATCCTTTAATTTCAGTGCAAGGTGAGCATTGGCGATTTGCGTTTGATTTTACACTTGACTAAACTTTTTTCTTGTTTGTCAAGATAAAAATGAGAATCCGTGTCGAAAGCGGAAATCGGAGCCATACTCGAGACGAAGTATACCGAGTGTGGATTCTTTCGATTCCTTCCTGGATTCCGATTTCGAAGATGACGTCGTGCTATTAACTCCGAAAAAGCATTGTTCTGAAAGCCTTGTTTATGAACAGAGTGAGTTGATTTTGTTGTGATTGGTCTCTCGTTGATACGTGAAATGACGAGGTGAAAAATCTACGGTTGTTTCTGCCGAATGAATCAATAAAAATTTATAATGATGGAATGAGAAACGCTTTATGGAGATTTCGTTTAGATTTGCTAAGACAAGCAGAATACGATGGGGAGGATGATATTTAAATACCATTCGATTTTTATTTACTTTTATTTTGAGCTTCACTCAAGTGTGATCACATTTTTAGAGAGCATTGCAGTGCAGAGATTTACAGTCATGACATACATCAGAATTTTCTATTGTAAAAATATTTGTATTTCGTCAGTTTGATTGACGTTATTGAATTTCAGAAAGAAGTGTTCCGGTCGTAGAGCAACCGGATCTTATGAAGGAGACGGCGATGGAAGAAAAATATGATCCTGACCAAAGCTTGTTCCCGGATGATGTGGAATTGGTTGACATTCAAACTGATGAACCCATTACCAGTACGGAGATGGATGCCGAAAAGTTTGCAGCGGGGAAAACTGAGGGAGAGTTGAAGTCAGCAAAGATTGAACTTGTTTCAGAAGAGATAAACCCAGCTAAACTTGGGCTTGATATACCAGAAGAGCCGAAGCCAAAACCCGCTATTGAAAATTTCCCGAAAGTGAGGATTAAATCTGAGCCTCTTCCCGTGATCGACACGTTTCCTGATGGTGGGTTATTCGTGGGGTGATTTAAATTTCTGATTCGAGAAGGAATGCAAGTTTTTTCTATTTTTTTAGACCCTCCTACTTCGGAAAAGTCGAAAGAGTTGCTCAATTTTGTAGCATCGGTTGATCTCCATCCTGCCTTGCAACAGATAACGACAGGCATGGTGAGTTCCTCTTTCAAGATTCTGTCGAGGAAGAAAAAAGGAATCTAATATTGTTTGTTTTTTACCCTGGAAATAAAATACTTGCTGGGTTGTAGATTGTACTTCGGGATGATAATAAAATTGAATGGTTGGTATTACATACTGTACTATGTCAGTAATTTATTTTCCCTGTGTTGCCCCTTTGTCTCGTCACTTTGGTGACATTACCATTATTCAATGCTCAAGGATTATTCAATCCTCTTCCGAAAAAAATACAGTATACTATACCGTGTTACATTGATTTGACCAGTCCAGATATTCGGAAGAAGAAAACAAAACTTATTCCTATTATGGTTGTCTTAGTTACTTTTTTCTTCTAATTTTTTACAATCAATCAGACGGGAAACGCATTGTCATTGTTCAAAATCAAATTTTCAGGGTAGTCCGAGAATCTTCTCTTTCTCATTTCCTCGCGGTCTAAAAAATTCATTTTTTCGCTCATCGAGCTATTCCAACTTATGAGTCGATCCCAGACTGCAGAATATCGCCCGTCCATTCATTTAATATTATTCCCTTTTGTTAGACTTCTGCTTCGAGGGTCGAGGAATCCCTCGGCTATCTGAAGGATCTAAAGATGACCGTCTTGGAGAAACTCCTGGAAATTCATCGGCAGATCCCCAAGTCTAAGTACGCGGAGTTGCTCGGAGTGGATATTTCGGCGATGGAGAAAATATTCAGTTGTTTGACCCGCATCGACAAGCGTCAGAAAGTGAACGAGGTTCTCCTCAGGACTGCCGTACGCAACCAGAGTAACTCGGAACGCGATCTACCAAAGATAGTTGGCTCAGACATCGGCAGTGAGCTGCAGATTCCAGCTCACGTTTCACCAATTAGCGCATCTGTTTCGTTTGATCATCCTGCCACGACGCATTTGCCTAAAAAACCTGTCGGCATTTGCAGTCCGCATAAAAAGTCGAGTGTGAATCCGCCCTCTGCATCCGTCGCAACTGCGTCGAGTGTCGGTGATACTGACTTCAGGAATGTTGCGTCGACGTCGTCGAGGAGTGAGAGTGTCGACAGTCCGGGTGTGAAACGGAAGTTTGTATTTAAAAGAGCGTCGAATGTTGGTGCTGCTGTGCCACGGACATCTTTGCTGGGTGTCCCTTTGGAGGCTACTTCAGAGTCCACGACGAGAGCGTCGTTTTTGAGCCGGCCGAGCGACACTCCTTCAGCGAACGATGTTGTTGGGAGTAATTCACCTTCTAACTGGAATTCTCCTTGTGGAAGCTCGAGTCATACATCAGCTGTGAATGATCGTGTTACGACATCCAACACTACGTATCCAACTTTCGGCAATTCTCCCGCTTCGAGTAGGAATTATGCGAATGAGTGTAATTCAACACAAGCTGTCGCTCATCCCACTTACGGCCATCTTCCTGGTCAGAGTACGAGTTATGCATCCCCTGCAGCCACTGGTTCTCAGGCTGCCAGGACGGGTTTTAGTTTTTCTCAAAGCAAGTCCGTGTCGAAAAATCAAAAGTCGAGCTTCTTGAATCGCGAGAATGGCTTTTTGACGAACACGGATGCGTCTGCCGCGAAGTTTGCGGGCTTCGGATTCCAGTGGTCGGACAGCTTGCGGGAAGCGTTTCGTAAAACGTTTGGATTGCGAGAGTTCAGGAAGAACCAGTTAGAAGCTATAAATGCTGCTCTGCAGGGCAATGATTGTTTCGTGTTGATGCCGACAGGAGGCGGCAAAAGTTTGTGTTACCAGTTGCCCGCTGTGGTTGAAGGTGGACTGACGTTGGTCGTTTCCCCGCTGAAATCTCTGATACAGGATCAAGTCGAAAAACTGAATTCTCTTGGGGTAATTTCGATTTTTATCCTTGAGGATTGAAACAAATTTTATTTGTGATGAATTCAGATTCAAACTTAATACGGCGATGTTTCGTATGGATCTGAATGCGCGAGAAGTGCAGAATGAGTGCTAAGAAGTAGATTCTACAATATTTGTGCCTAAAATTACAAATTTTCCACATGATCCATAAATACCATGGAGTGAGACGCATTTGGAACTACAGTAGTATTTTATTCGAACCGTCGTCATCTTGTTTTTTTTTTGGCCCTTTTTCCTTAGATACCTGCTGCGCACCTTAGTGGGGAAATGTCCGCTGCCGAAAGTCACGCTATCACGCAGCAGCTTTTCGTTCGTGGATCCAGTAAGAAAACTTTTTTTTTTCTCTCGTGTATTTTTGCTTTTGATGAATTCGTGGTCTCACTCCACGAATGTTGCATAGGTGTCGCCTAAACTTCGTAAATTTTCATCAGGCTTACGTTTAATTTAGGTCGACTAGGTATTGGATTAGGCTCGATATAGAGTTCCTAAAGTTGAGTGGGAAACGGTAAATTATTTTATTAATTTTGGTTGGTGGGTTTCCCTTGATTCGGAATACTGGGTAAAGGTTTATGTTTTATGTGATCATCGTTTATTTCTATGTTTCGCCCCAGCTCTGCGACTTTTGTACGTCACGCCGGAAAAAATCAACGCTAGTGACAAGTTTAAAGACGTCATGAGCAGTTTGCATAAACGCAACGAGTTGAAAAGATTCGTTATCGATGAAGCCCATTGCGTATCTCAGTGGGGACATGACTTCAGGTGAGATTCGTCACAAGTTGTATTCGTTGGGTAGTTCGTAATACAATATTGTAATTCTTTTGAAGGCCGGATTACAAGAAGTTGTCATCGCTACGGAAAAATTATCCCAACGTCCCTATCATGGCCCTGACAGCAACTGCGACTCCTCGCGTGCGAATGGACGTTATCAAGCAGTTGGAAGTGCAGGATCCAAAATGGTGAGATCCATCGTTGCATTTTGTTCATCAATTTAATATCGTATAGTACAGTACGATGGACTGGGTAAATTAAAGTCTCAAGGCCTGACATGCCTCTTCCGAATCTAAATTCAAAACTGGGAAAAGAAAGTATTGCACGAAGGGAGAGTGTGCAAATTGGGTCGATGATTTGTTGTGGATTTAAGCGGATACACCTTTTTTTAATGCGTCTAAGTTAACGTGCAGCAATGGTTCAGAAGAGGAATGGTTCAAATTGCTTTCACCCACAGAAACTGTAGCATTTCGACAGTTAATAAATTCTTGTATATGCTCGCATATGACTTAAGTTGCAAAAACTGAAAATTCTTTGATCCATGAAGTGTGATAATCGCCTGGAGAAAACGATTTTATAAATCTTTTGCATGATTTTTTTCTCCGTGGTGTAAGTCGGAACATAATAATTTTTTGTTTGGGAAGAAAATCCTTCGAAAAATGCAATGAATTAATAATTTCGGATTACTGTTTTTCTCGTCGCACCAACGGAGGATGTGCTTGCACGTGTTTCATTTTCATATGATACCTTTGAGCTGATTTATTTGTTTTTCGAAGGTTTTTGTCGAGTTTCAATCGCACAAATCTCCAGTATTCGGTGTTGCAAAAGAAGCGTGGAACGATTGACGAGATCATCGAGTTAATTTTGAAGGACTTCAGGAACCAAAGTGGAATTGTGTATTGCTTGTCTCGTCAAGAGTGTGAAAATACGGCTAATGCTCTGGTCAGTGCTGGAATTCCTGCCGGCCCGTATCACGCTGGATTAACGGATAAGAATCGGATTGCGATTCAAAGACGGTGGATTAATGATGAGGTTAAGGTGAGTGTTCTTTTTTTTTTTTACTGCTGAGCACTTCGTTTTTTATCAATCCTCCTTCTATTTCCGCAACCTGGTGATTTTGTGTTCTATCTGTCTTTAACGAAGTATGCTTGGCGTCGAGGAAGTTCATGTGTAATGAATAAAACGATGGAGAATCTCCGGATTAATTTTCTCACTCCTTCTATTACGATGACGAATTGGTTTATTGAGAGGGGCAGTCACAAGTGTATTCTAATTTTAGGCTGAGTCATCCGAAGTTCCCGCTGCTTCCGGGTTCCACCTGTGTGCTGATTTATATTTTCAAACTTCAAATGAGCTGATAGGTTACCATGTGGAATATTTGTGAAATACTGTGTCTGTGATTCGGATCAGCTGCTGTATTTATATTTTTTCCGGGTTTGTATGTCTTAAACTATGCGCCATCAGTTTTGATGCACTTATGCGTGTGCTATTCAAGACTGTGTCACGATTTTACTAATATTAAACCATGAAAATTTGAAGTTGAACCTTTGAAGTAAAACGTAAATAAAGGGGACAGCAAAAAATTTGAGTCACGGAGGTTTCGAGTTCGCGAATCAATCATTTTCTGGGGAAAAGGAAGAAGAATCGTGGGAAAGTGTAACTAAGGATTTTCAGGGCCTTATATTACTTCAGGAAATAGTTGACAGGATGCTGGACTTGGAGGTATGGATTCATTTGCCCAATGAATCTTTCGAATTTCTTTTAAAACGCATGAAATTGAATTCTAAAGTTTTTCTATTTCCTCTGTTGATAAAGAGATACCCAAAAGGCCTCCAGAAACTTTGAGGTTTGGAGATTTGAGGGGGAAAGCCATTGAATTAAAGTGGTTTCTATTGGATTGTTTCTAGAGGAATTTAGGCAAGGATTTGATAAAAATTCGACATTTGGAGGCATTCAACTTGAGGAGGTTCTAGTTATTGAGGTTCAATTTAGCAACAATTATGTTCAAATGTTAAAACCTTGTTCTTTAATTTCAGGTGGTTTGCGCCACGATTGCGTTTGGCATGGGTATTGACAAGCCAGACGTTCGATTTGTGATCCATTTCTCACTACCCAAGTCCGTTGAGGGTTACTATCAAGAGTCCGGAAGAGCTGGACGCGATGGTGAAAAGGCCGCTTGCATCCTTTTCTATTCCTTCGGAGACGTAAATCGGCTGAAGAAACTCATTTTTAGTGAGTTTTTTTTTAAAGCATTTTTTCTTAATACGGTACAGTATTTTGTTGTAATCAAGGATGCCGTTTTTGCGATTGTCTGCGTTTTACATCTGACAAGAATTAGTTGGATCTTTTAAGTGGAATTTAGTGGCTTGTTGGACTTCTCTTTTTTTTAATTGGGATAGATAATTGTACTATGATTTCATGGTGCTACATTAATCTGCCGCGTCCCATGATGATTGATAAATCGATTTCGATTGCATCAACGTTAAAATACTACTGAAATATCAGTCATACAAATTTAAAATTTGACGTCTCGCTCTGTCGGTTTCTCACTGCGCAACGGTGAAATATTTTTCGAAGTCTAAGGCATAAATTATAAATACCAACAAATATCCGTTTTCATTGAAGTCATCGCAATAAAGTGCTTGAGTCACGAAACCCATGAGCCATGATTTGTAATGTACTGCAATCTTGTGTGGTGTAACACAGGCGACCGTGCGGCGAGCGTTGAAGGAAGACAGATTCATTTGGAAAACTTGACAAAAATGTCTGCGTACGCGGAGAACACCAAGGATTGTCGACGTGTATTGCAGCTGAACTACTTTGGTGAAACGTTTGATTCTCAGCAATGTGCCCTGAAGCCGGATACTGTTTGCGATAACTGTCAGCGAACCGTGAGTCTTGATGATTTATGCACGTTCTAACTTGAATCTCCGCAACAATTCTTCATTACTCAGAAGTAAACGTTAGTTGCATATGAGTAAACTCTTATCCCGGTTAACTGAGAAAATTCTTCTATAGAAAATTGTGGGTTCGGCATTTCATATACAGTACTGTACAGTAAATTCCTCGACAAACTTTTATAATGGCATGTTTCCCATTTAAGCAGATTATGTATCTTAACCTAGAAAAATCAGGTATTGTACAGATTTCCTTGAAGTTTTGCTAAAAGAAAATACGCTACCACACACTATCCTTAACTTCAGGGAGTGCGAACATTTTTGAAATTATTTTTCCGAACCGGAGATGAATTTGCTTCGATAATTTCACGAGTTTTCGTGCGTGTTGGGAAAAGACCGCGGTCGCCATTAATTTGACGACATTTTCGTTGTTTTTCACGTTGCAGGGAAACGAAGGTATGACGATCGATGTGACGGAAATCTGCAAGGAAATTCTAGTCGAAATCAAGCGTCTCTCAGGGACTCGTCGTAGTTACACGCTAGTGCACTACCTGGATGTAATTCGTGGCAGTATGGCCAAGAAAATCGTTGATCAAAGTGAGTCAGTGTCTGTAACTGGAATAAATTATTTTTAAGCTGGGAAGGCAAGGTTTTAATCAAAAAGCGTGATGATTTCATTAATTTTAAATATTTTAGCTTCATCCGTGATTCAGTGTATTCTATACTTGAAGTGAGACTATACTAAACTATGCTATGCTGTACTAAACTGCTACACTATACAGTAGTTCTATACTTTATAGTGACGAGAACCGCTACGGAAATTTTTTTCGAAGTTTTTCAGAGTATGCATTATTTGTGAAAAAAGCTCCTTCTTTCAAATTGTGATAAACTCTGAGTTGATTCCTTGACGGAAATTCTGTTTCTGTATTTTCATTTTTTGTGATAACTTAACTTCGAATTCTCGTGATTTCGCCTGCTAATGTTCGATTTACTCATAGAGCACCACGAACTGAAGTTCCACGGCATGCTGAAGGAATGGCCGAAAGTGGAAGTGGAACGTTTACTCCGCAAGCTCGTGACCGAAGGCTACCTCCGCGAAAAGGAGTTCGTTACCCGGGAGAACATCGTCATATTTTTCGTGGAGCCCACGTCGCAGTGCCAGACTTTGTTCACCGGCGACTGTAAAATCATGTTCGACTATCAAACCGTGGGCAAACGCGCCAAGGAAATAGCCGCTAAGACCCCCAATGTCTGCTCCAAGTTAGACCAAGCTGTGGCTGATCTGCAGAAGCAGTGCTACGCGGAGCTGGTCATGGTTTGCAAGACCCTGGCTGCCAGTCTTGGTCCAAACATCAAGTACACCAGCATCATGACGGTCGATGTAAGTATGGGAATAATCCCGTCTTTTAGCCCGTCTACCAGGTCAAGAGGGTCTAAGGCGGCTCAGCTGTCGATGGAACTCCGAAAAGAATGCGATCAAAGAACAGGGTCATTCTTTGAGCCTCACTATATAATGACGGATTGTGGCAGAAAATAAACAAACCGGTTATAAGAAATAATCCGGTTCTTTCTTCTTAAATACCCAGCCATTTATTTTCCTTCGCACAATAATGCGGTCATTCTCTCATTTGAAAGTGGTTTTCGTGATCAAGATGGAAAATATTTCCGTGGGATACCAAGTGCATCAGAATAAAATTTTTCCTGTGGCATCATTAACGTCTGACAGGAAAAATTACGGCAAATGAAGACTGGGAAAAACAAAATCACGTGGAAAACGTCAGTTTCTTTTATTTCTGAATTAAGCTACGCATCGTGGAAGATAGCAAGTCAAAAATGAATACCAGTCTTGCGAAAAATATGCACCAGTTTACGTCACAAAAAGCCTGGTCAGGAGAGCAATACAGTACTAATTACAGTATTGCTTTAGTCTTGAGTTGTCAGCGCAATTTTCTTGTAATATTGACACTTATCGAAGAAATTTTCACGAGAACAAAGCGTGATTCCATAGTTTGAAAACCGCGAATGCAGTCATTATATGTGTCTGTATATTGGAAATATAGTGTCTTGAGATTAATCGTGAATATCGCTGCCAGCTATGAAGCAGTTCCTTTTTCGGGTTTACAGTATTTACTTTCTCCGTTTTGATTATTGTTGGGGCAGGTGAACCTTTCCAGATTTTTAGCACTAATTATTCCCTTTTTTCAGGCTCTGAAAGAAATGTCCAAGAAGTTTCCTTCGACGGTGGACGAAATGCTGTCGATTACATCTGTGACGTCGGTCAACTTTCAGAAGTTTGGGCATGCTTTGTTGGACGTCACCACGCGTTACAACGAATCGTTTTTGGGTAAGGTTTTTTTTTTTTACTACAATAAGTGGTTTATGATTTTGCTACCAAAGTGGAAGCAAGGGAAAAGTTTTTACTACAATAAGTGGTTTATGATTTTGCCACCAAAGTGGAAGCAAGGGAAAAGTAATAGTGAGAATCCCCGAGCTGACGGTATTTCATTTCGATGGATACTCGAAGGTCTCTTTACATTTATATTTGGATTTTATGCTCAAGTGTCCAAAACTGCAAAAGAACAGGCAACAAAATGTTGGAGTGGAAGATAAACAATTCTAGTTTTCCTTCGACGCACCGTTATCCCGTTCTTTGGAGCCTTCATCGATGTCAAAAATGTATTTGAGCTCACGTAAAATTGTATGAAGTCTGCGAATTATTAATGAGTGCCTACGAAGAAATTTATCTGTGGTAATAATATTATAGGCGGATTCTCGTTTTGTGAATCTCGTTGAGCTTCTTAATTTTTTTTTAAATCAGTTAAATTCATGTCTCGTTTTTTTTTTTTTTTTTTTGCAGTGTTGCAAGCTGACGCTATGGAATCTGAATTGTCCAGCATCGAAGGTTCATCATCGACGTCGGCTTATAATAGTGATGCTGCCAGGATGTTCGAGAACGACGATAATTTCGTTTCGGGACCCAGTAGGAGATCTTCGGGTTACTCTGGAAGGGGTAGATCAAAAGGGGGTCGTGGTCGACGTCCTCCGTGGGCTCGGTGAGTCCTGCAGTAAATTATTCATCCCGTAAAAATCTTCATTTTTAATAGGCCGAATCAAACTTCATCTACAATTATTTCTTTTTCTTCTTACCATTCATCCACGATTTTTAAAAATAAAAAATTTTATATAATGCATAAATAAAGGAAATTTTTGGGTTTAAACGCATCATCGCGCAGATGCATTGGTATGCATCTGAGTTCGTATTTTGTTTCCAAATACTGTACTGTACTAAAACATGTAGAAAAGAATAGTCGAAGCAAAAGATTGACAAAATGCATTTCAAGTACTGTAGTGCAATGCTTCTGTGATGATAATTGAACGTTTTGAACGAAAAAAATACTCGTGAGGACAATTCATGTCAGAAAATTTATGATTTTCAATAAATATAATCAAATTTCAAATCCGTGTTGTCCGTGTTCTTCATATTTTTCACGTTAAAATTAGACTCGTTTTTGTCCATCTCGTGTTAACGTGGTTAACATTCAGATCATACTTGGTACTGTAAAAAGCTCTAACGATTTAAAAAATGATGTAAGACCTGTATCATTTTCGGGGAAATGCGGTATCAGTGTAATCCTTCCGTTCTTTCTGTCGAAATAAATTCAGAACATTACAAGAACGCTGACCGCATTGTAGGAGAACGGTGTGATTTGTTGATATTTTTTTTCATTCTTTCGATGAATTCAAGTACTAGGCTGACGTCAACTTCCGCTGATTCCACCTCAGTGACTCAGCTTTTCTGAAAATTGACTCACTAGGCATTATTAATTGCGGAAACGTTTTTTGAATCATGCTCATGATAATCCATAGATAGCTTTTTTTTTTAATTCGTCTCATTTTTTCCGGTCGTTGCCGTCTGCTGCAAGTCGGGGGAACTTCAAGCCAGCTAAAGCTGGGAAACGGGTGACGAAGCCGAAAGGCACAGTGACGGTGTCGAAAAGCATGATGACAGCTGCCCTGGCGATGCGGAGCAAGAAGCGTTGAAAACGTCGGGAAGAGAACGAGAATATACTCGTATATCGTTATGCCCGTGTTCCGCATGCGATGGCTTGTATGCCATTGATGCGCGTCTTTCTGTGATGCTGTGATTTTTTTTTCTTCCCAATTGACGAAACTTCGAAATAAAAGCTTTCAAGTACTGAACTGTGCTCCTTCGCCGCGCTTCCAGTGCATGATCGTTTCCAGAGATCTGATTTTTTTGTCGAATTGTTTGTAATTGATTGAAAAATATGGTTGTAAATAAGGAAGAAATCTGTGGAAAATGGGCCCACGAGTGATGGCTCAAATTCCTCTTTTCGTTGGATTTATGCCAGTGCACAAGTTTATGCATTTCTTCCAATGAGATGGGTTGGTTCAAGTTTTTCTGTCTTGCTTTGCTTGCTGTTGGCTTTTGGATGGATGGCTAGTTTCACAGAGTAATTTATGAAAAACTTCCATTTTTAGCGGCTGCTGTATTGAAATCGAGGAGATCAAAAGTTCGAAAGATTGCCCGACCATCTCTGACAGGGAATTGGATTCACCTGTTACAGTTAAAAATTTTATGCAATTATTGCAGACAGCCTTTTTACTCCTTTTGAATATTTCAAGCAATTTAAAAGTTTGAAGGATTCCAGTTTTTTATAGAAATGTGGTGCTTCACCATTCACTGTTCTCTATTTTGAAAATTAAACCTAAATTCCACAGCTCCCCTCAAAAAAAATATCGTGAAAATGGCTTTCGGTGTTCAAATGCCATCTTGTTTTCGGGGAATTGTGGTGTAGTTCTGGTCTGGAAATTCCGTTTATGATTTATGTTTTATTCGCAGGTTCTGATGATGCGTTCGTTCAATCATTTTTTTTTTCGCTCGAAAGTGTGAATGAAGTGTTGAAGTGACGTCAAACGAGATGGTGAGTCAGTTTTCAGACAATAATGCAGATTAATCATTAGGGTTTCCCTCTGTTATGTTCATATATACTGTAGTATATTCTTGGAGCGCAGTTAAAGCGCAAGCAGTGCTAAAATTTCGTGTGCTTTTTGAAATTCCTTTTGAGTTCTAACTACTGTAGTTCGTTTGTTTATCGTGGTGTCATTCCTGTCGAGCGTTGTTTTTATTGCGTTGTAGAAAAAGCAGAGCTGCGAAGCAATTTCGTGTGATGGTCCTATTTTGCTTTACACTGTATTTACGACCGCGGTTTTCGTCATTTCTAACGAAGAGTGTAAAGAGAAACCGGGAGATGAAATGTGCTGCAATCGTATTTCGCTTTTGATTGCATTCCGACGTCGCGATAATGGAAGGATTTTCGACTGGAAGAAGCTGATTTTTTGTACCCTGTCGTTGCAGTGTGTTGCAAGTGTAAAAGTTCGAAGTTTAGTGTGAGGTTTGAATGCATCAACGAAAGCTTTTAGATGAACGCATCCGGCTGAGCTCTGATGGGAAGACCTTGTGCTTCTAATCATAATCGGAGAGGAAATGCCTTATTTTGTGTTTTTTCTAGATCTTGAAAGGCTCATGGGAGGAAGTTCTACGTGACGAATTGTTCTACTTTATCGGACATTTGTCTCTTTCGTGACTCATGTTTCGTTTTTAACGGTTATATGGAATTCGATTTTTCTTTAAAAAATTCTTTCAACAATAAAAATGCTCTGTATTTTTGAAAATCTTAACTATTGCTGATCGGGTACGAAAAGCAGTGCACTCTGCTTATACCATATACCGGTGGTACCTCGCAATTCGACCCTAATCCTTTGCTGAACTACGGTCGAATTGCGAGACAACATCAAATGGCATGTTTTCTACATGGCATTTGACGTTTCATATCTCTTCACAGGTCGAATTGCATGGCAGAAGTCGAATTTCGAGCTGACCTCCCAGTAAATTCGACCGTTGAATTGCGGTTTGGTCGCATTGCGAGGTACCACCGGTATATATGTTGTTCACAGATAATTGCTTAATGTGATAAAGGTTTGTTATAATCTATGTACTGTATTCTACACAGTAAGGCCGAAGATCATGCAAAACTGAAAAAACGTGGAAGTTTGGTGTGCTTGAAAGATGATCAAAAATTTATTCAAAATGGCTGATGTGGATTATAAGAATATCCAGAAATACGAATATCCATCGTATCTCGCACCGGCTTGTAAATAAAGCGGGCAGGAATATTATTGTCCCAGGCTTATTTTCCGTGGGAAACTGAGTACAGTAGTATTCAGTATTTTCTGCGGCACAGTTTGGAGTTTCCTTGAACCACCTGAAATGTACCAGCTTGTTTATATACTGTACATTGGTAAGTTTTCCCGCCATAAATGGGTGCTGTACATACTTGAGGACTGTTGCGAACGGTGAAATGCCCAGAGGGCGTTGCACGTCGCGATAGGGAAAACTTGCAAGAGTTCTTCTGAGGAGTTGGCAACGCCCGCGGCTTTTCCGCCCTTTCCGGCGACGGACAGGCACTGCGAGAAGTGCGCGTTATTCGAGAGAGGAAAAAAAGGGACAGTCACGGCATATGTGAGCTGGGTAAATGGTAGGAATGGAATCGCTCGCGTCCGTGACTCGTGCAAGAGGAACTGGGCATGGCAGAACGTTTCTTCAGTGGACAGACCGCTCGTGCTTCGGGATCGAGTCTGGAAACTAGGTGGAAAAACAGGGAAATGTGAGAGTCCACTCGTGGCTGGCTTTTCCTCGTGTACCCCAATCCTGTTTCCTATTCAGGTTCTAACTGCGTTGCGAGTTTGCCGCTCATGAATAGCATTCTCCCGAGTCGTAGATTCTATCCGTGTCATTTGATTCTGCCTGACGTGAGGTTTGATTTGATGTGTCATGTTATGTACTAAGCGATCGTCGTGTGTTCGTTCTTACGCATTCGTGAAATTGGTTTTGGATTAGAAATTCCGCATATCGGATCACAATCTTACTGAAAAGGAGAGGATTCATGCTTTAGCGACATCTGTGTGATCGAAGTTCTAGGATCCAGGCAATGTTCTGAAATTTTTCTCACCGTTCATCAGTGTGAAGTGCCTAATTGCGCACAACTTGAGACTTGCATGAGTTATTAATTGTTCAATCTACTTGATTTTATTTAACAACTTGAACGGTAACTAAAATGTTCCGAAATGATGACGGTTTTGTTTAGATGTTGCTGGGGCATATTTCCTCTGCCCGGAAATTCCGCGGATGAAGTCGTGGGAATGAGTTCTTCGTCGAGTACGAGTTCTGACGCAGTTGGCAACCACGGAGTTGATGGGCTGACTAGTTCGATACTGAGTGCGAATCTGGAAAAGAGCGCGCGCACAGAGCCAGAAGGGAAGCGGGGAACGAGAGCGCATGTTCTGTTCGTGGGGAGAGTAGGAAGGGGAGTGCATGGTGGATCGCGATGTGAAGAGGGGGGAGCGCCGCGGGATGGCGACACCCGCTCGAAAGGCGATGGAGGAGGAGGGTTCGAGCCGGAACCTCGTTGGAGCAAGATTACACAGTGTTCGAATGACAGAGCTTGTATAATTGGACCGCGCGAAGAGCTGTGGGAAAGCCATCCTGCCGAGAAGATGAGCGTGGCGATAGGAACGAGGGAGTTGAGGGGGTGATACGTGAAGGGGGGGGGGAGTTCATTACCCTTGTGTGGCAGTTACGCTCATGAGGGGAAGAAACCTGGGGGCGAGGGAGAGAGAACCGAGAAACTCTGGAAAACTTCGCGCGCGCGCCAAAATCGAACTCTACCGGTACACAGTGTGTGAAGCAAGCGGCGTCCTCGACTACGCGAGTAGTTGCTGGGTCTGCCGCTAGATCGCGGAAGCGGTACACATTTCTTTCGCATTCCGGCGGGAAACCGAGCGGGCAACGGCTGGTCCTCCATTTTACGAAAATGGTCGCGTATGAGCGGTCGTGCCGCGCGGAGTCGTCGATTGTTCCTGTAGAGCGTGTAACGGGCGAAGCGCGTCCGCGTATGACGCAAGTTTTGTATATTGCGGTCTATTGAGCATTCTTGTGAACGCTATTTTCATCGCCGATTCGTGTGGCTTCAGGAAAGCCGCTTCTTTGTTGCCGGCTTGCTATGGACCGTGGTATCTGTCACCTTTCTCGGGGATAACAGAGGTGAAACGCGATTCTCCTGTGGTATCACAGCTATTATCTCCTCGTGATGTGATGGTATTGTCCGGTCTCCCAAGTTGGTAACGAGCCACTGTCAGGGTGTTCCCTTTCGTGGGAATCATCGGCTGTCTTATGTATTGATTCATATCACAGCCATTGGTTTCCATGAGAGTGGCATCATTGTCGGAGCGGCCTTGGATCAACGTTTCACGAGCAGCGTCGATCTCGTGGGGCCACGGGCCGTGATGCATTGTGACACAAGTTGTATCACAGTCAGTGTTCCCGAGAGAACCGCAGCATACGCCATGGAAAGCAGATTCCGTCGATTTTCAGGCGGTGGAAATGTTCAGCGCTCGTCAGTCCGGGGACCCAAGCAGCGAATTGACTCTGCATCATATCACAGCCTGGGTTTCCTAAACGGATGAGTTGGTGAGTTCGTCGATGATATGTTCCAGAGTCGTCTACTTTCTTACGGTGGGTGTTTGTCTGGTTCACACCTGTGTTGTTCTTGTGACTAGATAACACACTCATCCAAGAGGGTGCGTTCAGCGTGTTTTTGTGTAGCTTTTTTAGTTCTTCTGTATTAGCGTTTTGTTTGGGTTTACCCCCGGTTCCGTGGTCGAGTGATGTTCGCGTAATCGACTGCGGAGGGGGTGCGCTCGGTGATTTGTGGTTTTGTTTCATATCACAGTTTGCACCATCTCCACGGTTGTTACCTATGTTCACGGATGCCGGAGCCTGCCGCATGCTTTTTTGAGTTGAAGGGCCGTTCGCTGGGTGGGTGTCCGTCTGGTCGGGGGGTGTAAACTTGACTAGATGTTCACTCATCCAATGCGTCGGTTCATAGTCGTCGCTTCGTTTTGCATGCCATCCATTTTTCGTTGGAGATCCCCGACGGACGGAATTCGGTCGATCGGGGAGTGCCTACTTGGTGCGCATGTTTAGTTCGTGATGTGACTAGATAGCCACTCTTCCATTGCCGAATGACGCTACATCACGGGGGAACGCTGCTTGGGTTGTCTGCAGGTGGCACTAGCGGTGATTTGTGCTTTATCATTCATATCACAGTTGGTGCTGCCTTATGACACTGAGCGCGCTCGTCGAGGTTATGGCTGGTGGGTCGTTCTTTGGGTGGGGGGAAGGGCAGCTAATCCATAGGGTACATGGTCCGTGAAACGTTGTCGCTCGTCGTATCACAGTCCATGTTACCTTGAGGGTGATGCCTGCATCGTCGGACTCGTAATCCCTGTACTTACTTTGAATATGTTCTTGCAACTTGTCTTTCGGCACCTGAGTAGCAGCGCTGTGTTGAAAATTCGCTTGCGCTCTTTTCCGTGGATAATTGTTCGTTTTCATCGCGGTTGCAGACATTTTGAGTGTATTGTGTTCTACGAAATATCGGCGAACTTGTGATGTAAGGAAACGCGGAGAATGTGCGGGAAAATGCAATTAAATTATCATTTGTTCTCGAAGTTGTTGGTACTTCACGTCTATTTATTTGATGTACATTTCATTTGGCCGTTACTGGTGGAACTGTGACCGTACGCTGAGTGGTGTTGCATTTGAAAGTCCATCTCCAAAGTACCAATACCCGGCTACCCCGAGTTCAAATTCCTGGTTCAACTAGAGTGCGTAATGATTTCTTAGCTTGTGATGTTATTCTCTAATATACCTTGAGTCCATCGTAGATCCCATTCTTTCACACTAAGTTTCAATGTCGTAGGAAAGCATGTCAGGTTACAAACGAAGTCAGTTGAAAGGCTCTTGAACTTATTTTGAAAGAAGTACATTTAGTCTGAGACAAGTTCTCCCTGGGGTAGTTGAGCACATGACAGGAAATCTAATTTTCGTTGCACAGATAGCCTCTCGGTGTAAAAAGTAATTTTCAGACTGCCTCTATGCTTGTCAAATTCCTGTTCGATAAAAAATCCGAATGAAGTCACATTACTGAACATAGATTCATTCCTGGAACATGGACAGGTACGTTTCTAGCTGTCCCCGCTTGGCGAAGAAGTTTTTCGCGAATCTTTCGAACGCTGCTATTTCTTTCCATGCGTCCGAACTAGTCTCCGTTGTTCTGGGATTGTACTTGTATAAGCCTGCAGTTGAGACGGCTTTCGGTCGAGTGATGGGGGCCCAAAAGCGGTGCCCAGGTTGCTCGCTGTATCTTCTACTGCACTTCACCAACTTCGTGTTGAACCCTGATCCGCCCATGACACCTACGAAGCGAATATTTTCAGAATGATTAAAGAATTTGAGTAAAAGTCGCCCTACTCGGCTTCATCTCGTGAGTTCCGAAGCAGCACTTCGTCTCGAAAACTGCTTGTGAGCAGACTTAGATCTCTCTGGAGTACCGGTTTTATTTTACTGTTACGGAACTTCATTGACTGCATTTGAGGTGTAGTAATTTCATGGGACACTCTCGAGAAAGGTCGGCAGTATAGTATAGATTTTCTACAGCGTTTTCACCTCCGTTGACCACACAGTATTGTACAGAGAACATTTTATGGCAGGAATAAAAATACATTCGGAGTACTGTACATGAAATAGTAAATGTAATACCTGTATCCATCTTTAGTAGGGCGTGCAATTGATGTATACTCTCACTATGGTTATTGCGGAGCAGACAAAAATAGTTGATCGAGCTTTTCATTAGAATAATTTGCAACAACTAATCACGGGAAGTTGGTGTACAAGTATTGTGCTGTACAGTACTGTGATGCAGCAATAGAAAGTCACTTCGACTCATTCAAGCAAAGATACGGTGCTGATGTTTCTGCGAAATATATATTATTTTTAATTCATCAAGAAAATATTTAGTCATAATTGGAGTAAAGTGAAAATGAATCAATCTATACTCATGATTCTACGTACATATTATGATATACCGGTAGTTTCCAGAGTGTAGATTGTTTGCTGATGTACAATGCAGCAATCCACCAACAACTTGTGGTCATGTCATCCAATTTTACTAAGTCATATACAGTACCTGTGCCGTAAATGTATACACTCACCCAAGGTTGTCAGGGCGTGCATTTCTAAGGCCTTCTGAGTGCTCAACTTGACAAGCTTGTTGCGGGTCTCGCGGTGTGTCCGCCGCAGATTTCTGTCCAACGCCATCAGCTTGTCTTTCAGCTCTTTCAATTGCGACTCAAACCCCGCTGCAGGTTCTGCTGCAGCACTTGTTGCGCGTCGCACCAGTCTTCTACTGCGGAACATCCCGTCCAACTGCTCTCGCCAAATTCATGCAGAATCAACAACATGCTTTATCTATATACAATTGATCTATTTTATCAATTTTCCTATAGTCAAAGCCTCCCTTATTTGAATTTCCAGTGAAATATCGGGGCTTGGGCAAGACCAATGCATTTTAAAAGCCTCCCTGTATAGCTCGAACTTGTTCATCTTCAAAAGTCAAATTATTTATGATCACTGTTTTATTGAACTGGAGGTACATTTTAGACCACCTGTTTCGGGATACTGTATAGGTGAAAATTACTACTGTATCTTGAAGCTTTTCACACACAAAATTTGGCTAATTACCGCGGTTTGGACATTTTAGATTTATTATAATGACGAACCATTCTAAGTATCAGGCCAGAAGATTGATTTCCTTAAGAAACCTATACACGATTCAGCCCACATTATCTAAGTGAAGAAAGCCCTCAAACATCGTAGAAGTCTTTCAAATTGACTTGCATGATTTACAAATTCTTTTGAGTGCCTCATACCTGGAAAACTTACTTGCAAGTGCAGTATTTTCAATAAGGTGGGTTGACAAATTTATATAGGACTAATTTACAAAAAAATATAATTCCATAAATTGATCAAAGGATTCAAGCCAAGTTGAATCGCGTTCAAGTATGAGAATACGTCCGTAATCAGCATATCTTTATTTTTTACATTTCACGCTATGTTTTTCTACATGGCGCCCATTTCCAGAAGAAGAAGAAACCTCATCATCCGACCAGCAATTCGGACTTCGATCATTTTAAGCTCACAGGCTGTTTTGGACATCGCGCTCAACTCATGATCGAAGTTTTAAATTCACACTTACCTTGAGAGCAGCGGAGATTTTCCGTTGCTGGAGTTGGACCATCTGACGAAGACCATCTCGCTGTGCTGCGTGTTCTGCCCTCTCGTAGCGATTAGAGATGTCTGCAAAGCGTTTCTGGTCCTGCTTATACAGTAAAGGAAGAAGAATTCAAATCTAATTCTTGCAAAAAATCCGAAATCTCGTAAATGTGCAAGATGTATATTATAGAAGTCACAGCAGCGAGCAGACGAGAATATAAACCTGTCCGCTTCGCCTGTCTCGGTGATACTTCGGTATGTGCTTGGAGGCTATCAGGTCCCAAATCAGCTTCTGGCGAACGTCGGGGTTCATGCTAGGTTTTCTGGGTCGGGGATCCCCGAGACAGACACCTGAGGATGCATGGAAAAAAAGGGAAAGGAAATGGATGTCTTGAGTAAGAGCCAACAGTTGGGTGTTTTGTTCCTCATTTTAGGGTGTGAGCCAGCACAGCAGAGCTCTGTGCCTTGAGCCCTTCTTTGTGGGGAGGGGAGGGAGAGGAGAGAAGAATATACAGACAGAGAGCCCTCTTTTTTATCATGGGAGAGCCACAGCAGCAAAACTCTGTGACTTGAGCCCTGCTTTTTGGGGAGGGAAGGGTAGGGAGTGAGCTGATTCAGCTCATTTTTATCATGGGAGCCACAGCAGAGCTCTGTGACTTGAGCCTTAAAATAAAGCTAAACTGAAGAGCAGAGAAAGACAGATCCCTTGTATGCATCATGGCAGCTGGCGTCTGTTTATTCTTGCATCTATATATACAGTAGTATAGGCCTGGGGGATCCAATATTCCAGGACACATAAATACATCATGCAGTACACCAGGGCTTTTCAATTGCTTTTTGTATACATATGGGGCATTTTCCAGGTGTTCCGCAGAATTTTCCATGAGAAAAAGGGGAATATAATCTCTCCAAGAACAATAGAAGGGCTTTAAATGTGATGTATTCAGCACTAAAATAGAGTAAGGATCATGCTGCATCAATATGTTTTTCGAAAATGGTGAATAAAAGCTTCGAGAGGCATGTGAAGATCATTGGAGACAAGCAAAAATTAAATTTTTAGTCTTAACATAATTATTCTTCATCTGTAGAAAAATGAGGCCTCTGTCTGTGAAGAAAATAACACCCAGAAGAATTTCTCAGAATGTCTATAGTTAACCTTTTTGGAGCATCAGAAAGAGTTCGAAATTTTGTTTTCAATTCCAAGGAGTTTTGCGCATTTTCCCCAAGATCAGACTCATCAAATTGCTTCCGGGTTCCTAAAGCATTTTTTTAACCACATTCTCTGCAGCTGCCACACTATTTGAATCATTATAGTATCTGTTTTATGCGTGCTTCTTGCAAGGAAGATTATGCTGGCATAATTATCACCAATAAAAAAAATTCTCAAAACCCACCTGGCGGTATTGGCAAGATGTGGATTGAGCTTTATTTTTTATGGGATACAAGTATTTCAATTTTTCTGTTCATCAATTTCATGTGGAGATGAGAGACCACCCAGATAACCATGCAAAATGGACACATGTCCTACTTCCGGTCTAAAATTATTCATTGAGCCCCCGAGCGATTCAAAATCAATCATGCTGCACATCTTTATTTATTAATTGTATCTTATTTTCTTCAGGTCAAGAGTAGCTGCGCTGAAAATGCTCCAACAATTTTTTTCTCTCACCAATAGTGACTTGTCATCAGGGCATATTCCTGAGGCTTTTGAAGGACCTTTTCATTTCTGAACTATAGACCAGCAGAAAAGGAAGTGAAGGAAACAAGGGAAAATATTGTTGGCTCAGTTCAGTATGTGTTTATACGCTGAAAGCATTTCAAATTCCAGGCATTACTTCATATTTTCAGAATATGGAGATTATACCCCTCATAATTCAGACACAATTTATTCACATCATGATTTAGTTATTGTATTTTAGACATTTAGCCATTATTACAGCCAAAAATGTTGCATTTCAGCCAATGGTCACTCAAAAAATATGGCGCAGCACTGCATTGTCAGAAAATACATTTAATGCATATTTACTGGCTAGGGTTTGCCTTTAGAGAGTTATACTGATTAATATAATGCACACATGTGCTCTGATTGTGGTGTAAAAAAATTCAAACCTGAGAAAGTATTTCTTCCACTGGAGTCCAGATCCAAACCATTGAGGGTAAGTGACTGCAGGGATGCATCAATTGCTGATGACTTGATGATTGCTGCAACCCACTCTTCTCTGGCCTCTTTGCTTTCAGCTGACAGGTGGATTGCTTTTTTGCCCATCTGCACACATGATCCAGTGCAAAAAGGCCAATAAATCATACAGTAATGAAAAAACAGATGCAAAATATCGAATAGAAATTTTGTAATTCAGAGTAATTTAATTAAACTGTAGCATTAATCAAGTCAAACTTCTTTCCACAGTTTCTGAGGAATTTTTTGAAAATTATTGCTAGAAAACCCACTTTATTGTTCTGCATCTTCTTGACAAGTCAAAGCAAATGAATTGAACAAATTTTTGAGCTTAAATTTAGCTGTTTTCAGGGTTCTTTTGGCTTTTGAAGTATTACTTATCGAAATGGAACCACAATTTGCTATGCCATCCATCATTTTTCTTAAATATGATTTTTGGGGTGTAACAAAAAAAAAAAAAACTACTCTGTATCTCAATACAGAGTAGTTTTCCTTTGTTTTTTTTGTGTCTCAATGCAGAGTTTGTTTTTCTTTTGTTTTTTGTTGTTGTTGTTGTGTGACACCCCAAAAATCATATTTAAGAAAAATGATGGATGGCACAGCAAATTGTGGTTCCATTTCAATAAGTACAGTAATAATTCAAAAGCCGAAAAGAACCTGGAAAACAGCTGAATTTAAGCTCGAAAAATTGTATGATTTTCGCAAGTCAAAGCTCCAATGAATGTAAGTCTTTTTAGCTGATATACAATACTCCAGTTTATAAAATACTATGGTGTTCTTTGAAATATGTAGCCCACAACCCATATACAGCATATTTTAAATGGAGGTGTCAAAAATGATGACCGCCATTGGAAGACTACTGAACTTATGGTCATTCAGAATGATTTTCACAATTCAAAAAATTGATTTCAAAATTTTTTGCCTATGATTTAGTTTTCAGTTTTTTTTAAAGAGGACATTTTCTTGGTGCCACTCCATGCATATGGGGGAGGGAAACGCAACCTTTCTCCGTTTTGGAAAACTACCTGGTCTTTCAGGATGAGGACATTCAATGAGGAGATGCCTCCAGGCGCAGAACAGGGTTCCCTGGTGCCCAGGTCTAGGGATAGACGATTTCTTGTAGAGCCCTGCATTCGTCTACACTGTGGAACTAAACAGTAGTTGGCGAGATCCAGGATCTCCTCGGGTACTGCATCATCTTCCATGTTGTAGAACAGGAGTTGCCCCTGGTGCAACACTGCCCAAGCCCTGGGGGTTCAAAAGGGTAATAGATACAGGTTCTTAATTTTTGGGGGGTTATTATTGTCCATCAGCAGGACAATAGGTTTTCACTGGTCAAAAATATTTACAGTTATTGGATCCTCCCTGAGTCCAGGTCAGAGAGAGACCCTAAATAACAAATTTGACTGAAAGAGTTGAATTTTTTTAATAATAAGTTGACCCACTTTTCAAAAAATGAAGCATTTCTAAAAAGTGCCAATTGAAACATATTTTCAAAAAAATTTCTGAATATGCAGTATTAGCATAGCTCTTTCTTGAAATATGGTCACTGCATGTGTTCTGTGATTAATTCTAAGGACCATTGTCCATGAGCAGGTCAATAAGTTCCACCAAAAAAAAAATATTTAAATTTGGGCCTCCCCAAGTTCAGGTCAGAGAGACCCAGAACCAGCTTGACTGAATGAGTTTTTCTTTATACAGCAATATATTTGGGTCCCCCTTCCAAACATGAAAGCATTTTAAAAAATTACCATTAAAAATAAATTTTCTACAATTACTGCTGAACGCATTAGCATATAGTTTTGAATCTTTGATGAAATATGCTGGTCACTGTGTTCATTCTGGGATTTTTGAGTACAAAAGCCCAAAACTTTCAAAAAGCTGATTCTCAAATCTACACATCCTCATGTTTTGAAATGTTTTGATTATGCTTCTCATTTCCATAATGACATCATTCTTTTCAAATGCTGTAGCAAAAAATATGAAAAAAATACTTAGAAATAAAAAGATGTTAATTTATTGAAATTCAGCCAGAATTCTGTATAAATAATCAAGCACATAATTTGCACACGTTTCATCTTTGTAAACCGGGAGTGAAGAAAAGGAACTATTCTCCACAGGATTCAGCACTTTTCTGAAGACCAATTAGTTCATTAGCATAATTATTGTACCAGCGATAATTATCTCAGAAAATCAATGGAGTTACCCTGTGTGTCTCAGCCTCACTTGATGCAGCGGTTGCAAAATAATTTTGGATTGACTGCGAATGGGAAATGGATATTTGGTGAGATATTGAGAAAGAGAGATATCTAATGGAAGAGAGAGAGAGAGAGCAATCAAGAAAACGTATTAGAAATGTGTCCACGTGTAAGGGCTCTTGTGCTGGAAATAGCACCTCACCCATGGAATGGAAGGGGTTTGAATGCTGTGCTGGTCCAATCTGTATATAATTTGTCCATCTCTTGAAAGTGTCCCTGTATGGACCAATAAGGGGTTATTGATGGCTTCAGTAATCCCCATTTTCTCACACTTCATTTCCTAAGCAACATTCTTCAAATTTTAAATTTATACTGTGCTTGGTCGTTAATAATGTTCATATCAGCCTGATTATGTTTAAAACTACAGTACAGCATGACTCTCTCACAAAATTCCCAAAAATATACATGGATTTTTTTCTGATCTGTCAGTCTTGTGCTTCAATTTTTTAGTTCTTTTGGAATACGGATGCTGATGACAGATTTTACTGATTGAAAAATCAATTCCTGACCGGTATTCAAATGATTTTTGTCGGTAGAACTTTAACTCTCACCCTCCTTTCTTACAATTGGTTGTTACGACCGTGTAAAGTACTTACATGTCCGTCTGAAATTTACGATGTTTATACACGTTTTGAAAATTTCGGTAATATAACAGAATGTCTTAGACTTCACAATAAATGACCAATAAGAGAGTTATGATCTTGTTAATGTTGTGTTATTGATGCTGAATGTGGAGGTCATCCTTCAGTGTATTAAACATAGCTTGTAAGAAATCACCCCAGGCAGACCTTTGATTGAAAAAAATCTTTGTACTTGAAGGGGCTTACATACTTCTTCTTGTCTTATTATTATTGATGCACTATTTAAAAAAACAAAACAAATTAATTACTATATGCAGTCAACTGACTTGATTCGTGCAACAGACTAGTGTGTTGCATAATAGTCTGTTTTAAAAATTCAATTACTGTATTAAAAACTAAAATTGTTTACTTATTTTTTACCATGAATTTTAAACCAACAGAAGTCTGTTATGTAGATTTAGTCCATTGCGCAGGAAGGAAAACCACCTCCAGAGGCAGTCTGTTGTGCAAAAATATGTTGTGAGGGGGTCAACTGTACCACATATAGTTGCAGATTTTCCACCACTTCATCCGCAAAAATGGTACTGTTTTTAAACCACCTTGGTCCAACAAGTACAGTGATTGGTACAATGCTTTAAAATTCCTGGATTGTATATTCACATGCTTGGTCTTCACAAAATCCTGTCCCCCATCATCTTGTCCTCCTGGACAGGCTTTCATGCAGGATCAGTTTATAATGCAACAGCAGCTGGCGTGGGCTGAAATGACAACCAGCAGAAGTCCCCTGCTGCTGAAAGGACTCCTGCCTTTTGTGACCCAGGAGATGTGATTTGCTGAACGTTGATTGCAAAATCCCCAGGAAATCGGGAGTGGGAGGATTTACACTCCTGTAGACCTCCCACTGTACGTTAAATGACGTAAGGTCATGGAGGGGTAAGGGGTGGGCACTATACCCGATTTCGTATTGAACCTCTTCATTTCTTTTCTTTACTTTGAGGAAGACGGTTCTCCAAAAAAAAAAAGAAAAAAAACAGAACCTGCAACAATTAAGCTGAGCTGAGTATTTTGAGCAAAGTTCCACCCAAAATACAACAGCCTTCCTTTTCAAGAAGCTTTTTTTAGAAGCAGAAAAAGGCTTCTACAATTCCATTCAAAAGTAGTCTTACCACAAAAAGTCTCGAATTTATAAATTATAAATTGTGCTCAGGTTCTAAAAGAATCCAGTTAAACCGTATTACACTTCCATTTACTCAAATAAGAGGTGAATTTTGCATTCATGTCTAAATTTAAAATACTGTATCATATAGTGTAGAGTATGTTTCTTTAAACTTCAACAAATGTGATTTTGCTATGATGCACACTAACTTTTTGAAAATGTTTTAAGAAAATCCAAACCAAGTGTCAGATGGGGATCTCAATGTTTGATCCTGATTTATGAGGAAAAGGTGCATTTGTTACTTGCAAAAATATGGTATGTTCAACTTCTTCAAGTCTAACAATCAAGTCTAAACCTTCCCAATTCAAATTTGTAGTAAATTTGTGGCCTATCCTCTTGAGGGCAAATCATTTTAAACTCCCCAACAAAATGTGAGGACATCTGGAGGGTGACATGCAATTTACTGCATTCCAGTACCTCCCCATTCCCCACCCGTGATATGGGCTAAAGCATAACTTGGAGAAGTAAAGAAAAGAAATGAAACTCCTTCTGCCCTCTCCAAAAAAAAAAAAGAAAAAAAAACAGAACCTGCAACAATTAAGCTGAGCTGAGTATTTTGAGCAAAGTTCCACCCAAAATACAACAGCCTTCATTTTCAAGAAGCTTTTTCTTTTTGAAGCAGAAAAAGGCTTCTAAAATTCCAATCAAAAGTAGTCTTACCACAAGTAGTCTCGAATTTATAAATTATGAATTGTGCTCAGGTTCTAAAAGAATCCAGCTAAACCGTATTACACTTCTATTTATTCAAATAAGAGGTGAATTTTGCATATCATGTCTAAATTTAAAATACTGTATCACATAGTGTATGTTTCTTTAAGCTTCAACAAATGTGATTTTGCTATGATGCACACTAACTTTTTGAAAATGTTTTAAGAAAATCCAAACCAAGTGTGAGATGGGAATCTCAATTTTTACTCCTGATTTGTGAGATAAAGGTGCATTTGATACTTGCAAAAATATGGTATGTTCAACTTCTTCAAGTCTAACAATCAAGTCTAAACCTTCCCAATTCAAATTTGTAGTAAATTTGTGGCCTATCCTCTTGAGGGCAAATCATTTTAAACTCCCCAACTAGAAACGCTTTGACTCTGACCTGTCTTGGTCAAATTTCACATTTCCATTGTGCTACTAAACAGAGGCTACCTTTCATAGAACACCTGATCTAGAGCATGAAAAGTTTTATTTCAATGCTTTCCACAAGGGTTAAGAATGACAAAAAATGTAGGGATAATGATGGAGAAGCACTTTAATTGATAAACCCACAAAAATAAGGACATTTTCTCTGAATACCTATGAATTAATGGCACCACATGACAATGTAATAAAATAAAGAACCTGAACTTCTGGAGGTTTCTTGGTCAAATTACATCTGCTTGTTTTTTAGGTGTATCCTGTAAAAGGTGTCCAGTTGTATGTGTTATCCTGTTTTTAAAAAGTTCTGAAAGCATTGCGTGCCCAACTGACCTGAACCAAACTTGGGCCAAGCAGGCCCACTTGTAGAGGTAGCCCTTCTTGATGAGGTTGGCACCACTGCTGATGACTGTGTGGATCTCGCTACTCTGGCTTCTCTGATGAGTCAAAGTGCACCAGCCCTTCTTCCGCATCGTTTGTCTGGTTCCTGGCTCCACTGGTGTGGGTACTTTTGTATAACCTGCTGGACACCTGCTTGATGCCTGTAGAATTTGTCCATCACAAGCACTTAGTTCAGAGATCTGGTATTAGTGCAATGTTTAAAATGTTGAGAGGATTTTCAAATTGGCCATCTCTTGGATGAACAAAAAACATTGAAAATGCAAAAAAATTGGTTATCAATTAATTTTGGCCTATATTCAAAATTTTCTGGACATGAGTTGTTTCTTCCAGCATACTCATGATTGTAATGCCATTTTGTTCCATGCAGGATTCAATTCACAAATACAGTAAAATCCCAATTTTGTGTCATCATTTGCCCAGGCAAATTTTGTGGCACTAACTAAGCAAGGGTGGCAATAATTTGGGGACATTGTATGAACAGAAAATTCACCAGAAGGCTTCTAATATAGATGAACTGTTTTTATTGCATTTGAATTTATTTTATTTTGAAGTACAGAATACATCAGATTTTTCACACACTGGGCCAAGCAAAAGAGTGGAACTGTTTCTTGCAGTTTTGTATAAATCTTTCAATAAAACATCACAATTCCAAGATCATGATTTGTGATTTTAAATTTTTTTTAGAGATACTTCATGTTTTGATATGTTCTTTGCCATGGAGGACAATTCAAATTAAGCCACTCAATTGCATGTAAATTCAGAAATATAATTTCTTTACTTATCCTGATCATGTGGGCTTGTGATTCTCAGTAATAGCCTGATAATATCCCTAGAACTATGCCTTAATTTCTCTGATTTTGGCCCATTTTTCATGAAGGATAAACGACAGGAATATTTTTGTGGCACTAAGTGACTTGGCACTAAATTGGGGTTTCCCTTAAAAACACAATGGATGGAACTTTGTTCCAGGGAAATTTGTGGCACCAAGTGACTTGGCACTAAATTGAGGGTTGATCTTATACAGTATTTATTTGCTCACAAATCTATCAGGTTTTTTTAATGTAAAAAAGGAAAAAGGAGAATTTGGATTTATTCCTGAATGTTATGACCTCAAATGTCTTTCATTTACTCTCACCAAGAGCTTCTTACATATAACCATTTCTTTTTACTTTTCAACGTCTAATCTGCAAAATCCAAAACTGCGTTTGTCTCCTCTTATTTTGTCCTGGCTGAGACTTGTGATAGTTCCTAAATTTTGTTATTTTGTAATCCATCTGAGTGAATAATTTTTGTTTTGCATAGGAAAACATGTTTTAGTGTCAATAAATGCCGCCAAAATGTTATTAATTTCGAGATGATTTTTTTCATCTGTGTTTTTTACTATACCGTATATATTCGCTGCTGTACTGTATTATAGATGCCTAGGGTCCATTTGTTTCAGTGAACCCATTTTTTTTGCATTAATAATGACTGGTGATTTCAATATTTTATAATGGGTGTATTCAATAAAAAAATTCCACAGTTATAGGAATGATCCAAGAACTAATGCTCTATAGAGGGTCCTATAGCTTAACAGAGAACCAGCACAACAGAAATCTTGCATTGAGAAATTTTATATACAGTACTGTATTGTACAATAGTTACGTTGGAAAAATGATGACTGGCATGCATAAAACATCATGGTTACAGGTGGAACCTTGCAATTTGACCATCCCAAAATTTGATGGTCAGATTTGCAGGGAGGTTGACTTGCAATTCAACCCTTGCCCCACAATTCCAACTGCTTTGGCCATTTTTTGCATTTTTGCATTAACGAAGTGTCTTGCAATTTG